CTTTCTATAGTTCTGCTTAAGCCGTCTTCCATTTTGAGTATTTGGAACATCAGAAATATCCTCGTGGGGGTACCTCGTGGTTTAAAAGTCTTTTTTATCCGACCCTGGACTTGGGCGAGGGATGCCTCAGGGAAGATTTAGATGGCAATCGAAGACGCCTTGGTTTTTTCCCTAAGTTAATGGATTGCGTGTGACTAAATATAAATAAGGTTTACCGCAACAAGGAGACCCACTAGGGTGGACAGCTGTGTGGAGATAGGGACAGGGTTGAGGAAATGTTAGATGAGGGCGCTGCCCCTCCGTGTGTATTTTTAGCCAATTTCTCCTGGCTGCTATTTTTCCGCTCGTTGCTGATGCAAAGACAGGATTATCAATCCAGTTCAAACCCAGGGCACTACAGAATAATTATTACTCGCCCTTATTGTTAACCTATTTATTCTGCTTGTTATTGTTCCCGCCCACTCTCTCATTATTGATGCAAATAATACCAAAGTGTGTGTGTGTGTGTGTGTGTGTGTGTGTGTGTGTGTGTGTAGATAGATACAGATACAGTTCAACCTCAATGCAGCTAAAGGGCTATAACTATTTTCTCCGGCCCTGCAGCTCATTCGAACGAGTTTATTCTGGCTATTATTATTTTTCGGGGCATTACTGAGGCAGTCTTGATGCAAACGATGCAGAAGAGCATAGGCGGGGCCAGAGTGGGACAAGAGCCCCCCCCCCAGTAGACCCCTCTATTCACTATCATCCTTGCTTGACCCCCGTGGGAAAAGCGTATTCTATAACACCCACCCAAAAAACCCCTGCGCTTTCCCCCTTCTGTTCCTGGTGCGGGTACTGTAGAAGAAGGTTCTCCAACATATTAGACTCGCAGTGGGGTTAAGATTCCTTCCCATTCTGGTTATCAATATGTTCATGCTCCTTTCTGGTGAAGACGATGCAAATGGTGCAGAAATGGACCTGACGGCCATACTAAATATTCTCAGTCACGCAGCTTTGCTTTGGTTCTTCGGGAAATAAATGCTCCTCCCTTCTGCCCCTTCCTATAATAATAGTATTCTGTGAGCAGCGAATGTATATTTAATCAGTGTAGTGCGAAAATGATATTCAGTCCTATCTTAACCACGTTTACCCATAATTAAGTTACAGTGAGATGAATGGAACCTTAGTCTCAAGTCAAAGTTCCTAGGATTGCGGGACGACGAGGCCCACTGAGAATACAGTTGTCTTATTCCCTTCTACTACAGCTTAAATGGTCCGTGGTTCGCTTTTTTGTCCAGTATTGCAGAGTAGCATTGCAAAAACGCAGGCAATTTGTTTGTTTGAAGGCCTTCAAAAATCTGAAGTTCGTATTCCGAAGCTACCGAGAAACTCTGGAGACGAGAAATATTGTATGTTAGGTGAATATGGCGATTATCAAGAATGGCTTTTACAGTGAGTTTGCAGCACAGAATAATGAGAAGCTTTGTGTCGTCACTTGGTGATTTAGGGAAAATAATAAACGTTTTCTTATTGGAACAAAATGTTGTTATAATAGGTCGTACTAATTCTATAGTTGTTTAAAAGCATATATTTTACCTCCCATGTGGGGAGTTAAAAAAGCATATATGTTATTGTACTTATTGTACCTAACAGGTGATTCAAATAATAACCCTTTATCAAATTACTTTTCTGTATCCAAAGAACAATATTAGTGAAATCACTGAAGGTACAACAGGTATAATGAAATAAAAAAATGTTTGCTCAAATATACAGTCTTGAACAAGAAATAAATTTTCAATGCTGGGAATAGAGAAATGAAAGAAATTGAACGGTTTTTCATCCATTAAGTAAAGAATGAAACAGAGCACGATCATTGCATTAAAATGTTTTATTTTCGTGGATTTTGTTGATTAACAAACTTAAGGTCAAGTTCAAGGCATCACCTGTGACAATACGTCTAAATATGTCAAACTTGAAATGTTGTCCTGCGGTTGTTTTGGCTGTTTATAAACGGGAATGGTCTCCTTTGCAGACCAGACATTGACCTCACGGTCTTTAGGAAAAACCACCAGGTTCAGAATCCGTGGCTGGACTTCTCATTAGGATATCAGAGGGTATTATGTATTTGAAATTTACAAGAGCGGTGTCCGTGTGTTTTACTCTCTTGAAGCAGCAGATCTGCTGGGACAGATCCAGACGCAACCTTGAAGGAAAAAATGCTAGAAATATAAATTCCTTGGTAGTAGCTACAGTGCTGTGGTTTAACCGGCTGGTGCTTATTACGTTCTGCAATGGCTGATTTGTTAGGGATTTCGCGGATATGAACCGGGTGTGTTTTGTCCATTAGGGAACGTGCAGACCTTTCCACCCCTCACGCTCCTGCTTTTTCTTCTCAAACCAAGTTGGCTGCTCTAAACACCTTGAGAACCTTGCATCTGGACGCTTTATGTATTGGGACTCAAAAGAAGTCTTGTGAATCCTGTAATTGTGTGCGCTGCCCATATTTTCATTTAGTGGGGGAAGGAGAGTGGTCAAATAAATGTACACGCCAGAATGCACACGCAAAGCACAAGAGCATGAATATGTGGCTCCTTCTCCGGCCAGTCGGTTACAGAAACACTGACTGCAACACCTAAAGGAATACCTCAGGTTTTTTTGCAAATGCTTATGCAACGCTATGAAGTGTACAGTACAGTCGCCCTGTCTATCACAGAAGCTGTTGCTGAGTGCTATAATGAAACGAACGCTGCACTGAGGTGGACGAAAGGCATACAGAAAATTCACATCTACGACTGCCGTCTGTAAGCGGTGTATTCGTATCTTGAAAGCACATGTAACATTCTGTTCATAGCTCCAAGGGTACTTACTTGGAAGCAGATTTCGTGGAAAGCGATGGGGCTTGCTTGGAAGCAAACGCAGTTTAAGATAGGGAAAGTAACTTAGGCGGGTTGTAATAATCTTAATTAGGAAAGTCAATCTTTCTTGCTTAAACTAATGGCAACTAAAAACCCTTAACTTTAACCTAGCCATGATTTCCGATGTCAATGAAACACTTCCAGTTTTAGATAGGATCGGGCCCATACTTTATTTCTAATCAAATATGTATAGGGTCGGAATCAGCGCCATCTCATCAGGCAACAAAAATACGTTTTCAAATGCATTTGCTTTAATTTCTAACGTAAATACTGACACCAGTATCTCTAGGTCAAATTGCAAGAAAAAACAGCACATTGTTCCACAATTTGTATTTTGTTAATATCCATTCACTGTTAGGGAAATACAACCGAAATACTGTTTTAAACATATATTTATTTTCAATATTCCTAATAATTGCTTCCAGGGACATGATCCAGTGTACAAGTGATTCTAAACCCCACTGAGTTCAGTAGCAGAAAACAGGAGAAAATCTCTCACCATTGAAATAAGGGAGAATGAAAATGCTTAATTTTATCTGGTTCATGCCCTGTGAATTTATTTATGTATTTGTAGGCCATTTCTATAACAGCAAGTGTGCATTTAAGAACAGCAAATAGAGGGAAAATATTGGCCAATGGGACAGAATACATTTATAAGCATAGTTTATAAATGGTTCTACAGCAATGAAACTTCGTTTACATAGCTGCTTTTGTTTTAAGTAATGGAAAATTAAAAGCCAGGAGTCACTTGCAGCATCGATAACCCCAAACCAGCATCTCTCCTGATTGTCCATTTAGGTGCCATATGCAACCTACCTAGCTAATAGAGGGCATATACCCACAGTAACATGACAAATGCCGCAGACCTAAATCCCATTTAAGTTCAGCGACATGTACCGCCGTACATCTGAACTGAAGGAGATCAGTTGAAAATAAAATAAAATTGTACAGCATGGGCCCAATGGCAAAACACATTATACATTAAGAAAAAGACGTGATAAGCGAATTTTCACAAACATCTGCCAAATATATACCCGTAAAGAAGCAACCGTTCTCTATAATATCGTGTACATCTGAGCGACGGGCGCCTGGCATATAACCATACTAGACAATTTATAGGTAAGAAAGCGAAGAGGCATTTAACATATAATAAAGCGAGGTCTTTAGAGAACAAAGGGAGCATTTCGAATCTTTCTTCTTGTGCTCGTTACAACGACGAAGAGAAAGCCTATAATCTTCCGGAATGGAAACCGTTCTTCCTCGTTTAGTGGAGGCATGTGTTTTCCTATTTCCCCCACTTACGTGCACTGAATCCTTAAATCCTTAAATTGAGACCCTCGGTTTCTAACCCCAAACTAAACACCTCCGTGGTATCTACGTGGCTTTCGCTCAAGGTGAATTGTGGGGATGCCGCAGGCTCAGGGGATGATCCTCAGCTCCTTTTCCCTCCTCCTACCGAATCTCAGCAGAGGAAGTCGAGGATATTGCATTCAGGGGGGGGGGGGCTTTTTGAAAAAAGGAGAGCAAACAAATAAGCCCCCAAAATAGCCACCTTAACAGCAGGCTCACCATAACTGAGGGCCCATTTGGAGGAGTTGGAGGCACACATTAGCGGCCTATCACTTAGCAGCAAATAAAGCAGAGATAAGTGTGCCTTGGGTGCCTACTAATTCTGAGACTAGCGGCACCCTTAAGTCTTGTCCCTTTGCATAATAGCCTTTAATGGCTTCACAAATGTAAGCGGTTGCCAGGAGTCAATGCATAGTGTGTGTCCCCCACCCCTCCTCCACCACACACACCGCCACCTCTTCCTTTGCACAAAAATGCAACTGCCCCCAAATCTCCGAGTATCTAATTCATTTCCGAAAAACGAAAACCCATCATCACTAATATCCCAAGCCAGACAGGAGATGGCTGAAGGTGCAGACAACTGGACAGGCTTCCTTCATCCTATGTCCTCCTCGCCGCCCCATCTTAATTTCCCCTTTGTCTGAAAGGATTTGAGCATGCAAGGCTCTCGGTCACCTAAAGGACCTGGAGTCCTTCCGAACAACAAACCTTGGGCTTCCAAACCTGCCCCCTTTTCACCTAAGGCTGCAGCAGACTTATTGAAACCAGCGAGGCGGGGAGGGGGGGGGAAATCCGTGTAGGTGGTTGTCTGCCTCCTGGCTTTCAGTCGGTCGGATCTGGCATGTCCGCTCAGAGACAAGCTGAAGTTGACTGCCAAAAGTGCCATAAAACCCCAGGCCAGTCTAGAACTGTTTTCGGTTCTCCTAGACGCGCCGGGTTCAATGAGAGCCTGTAAAAGCCACCCGCCCCCCCACCCTCCATACAAGTGCAAGAAAGTTGTTTGCTAAGGCAGGAGAGGAGGAGCGAGTCTGGGCAATGGTGGCGCCTTTGTTATCACTGGGGAGGAAAAGGGGGGAGCCTTCAGAAATCCACTCTTGTCCAGTTGGAAGGGAAAGGAATCAAGCAATCTTTTCATACATATATATGGTTTGGGTCCTGGGGCTGGGGATCTTCATTATGTATTTTCTACCATATGTATATATGGTACAAATGTAAGCTAGATACAATTCTCAGATACCTTGTTTTATTCGGGACGGAGGGAAAATAAAATCAAAAGGCTGTCGTTAAGGCCAATTTGGCAAGCATCAGTGTTGCATATTTCTGCACCTTACCCCCCCCCCACTCTAAAAGAAAAGAAATAAAACAGTTTTATAGTCCCACACAGACCCAAGCAATCTGTAACTAGCCCTTTGATGACACGCTTATCTCTTATTTCCATCCACTCTCTTGGCAAATGCGACAAGGAGGGAGATTAATTAATAATTTCAAGTTCAGCTCACAACCGTTGAAGGCCCATAAAAGTTATTCCAGCGATCCAAAATAAAGAGTTCATTAAAGGGATATGTCCAAAGCGTTTGATTTGTGATTGGTAACCCTTGTAAAATAAGAAGAAAAAGAAGAGGGGAGGGGGGGGGGAGAAAAGAAAATAGGGAGCCAGAGAAAGAGCGAGGTAAAAGGCATATAAACATTAATGTTAATAAATTAGTTTACTCCGCTACAAAGTAATTACTAGATATTATTGATATTTGCAGCTTCGTATACAGTTAAATCGAACGCAGAGAAAATACATAATGAGGATTTTTTTCCCCTCCCAGGACCCAACATGATTAGATTTGTTATTGAGTCAGTTAGGATAAGTTCAGCAATAAATAAACAAATCGATCTTGACATTCAAATCCCCGGATCTCCAGCATGTACAGTAGAACTTTGAGCTTCTGGTGTATTAAAAAAAAAGAAGTTACGTGGGTGGGTGGTAAAACAGCAATTTAAAAAAGGATTTCTCCCTCCCTTTTAAAAAAAAAGTTACCCCCAAGAGATCATGACATCCCCTGGAATGATATGTGCGCGGGGTTTTCTTTTTACACCAATTTCATAGTGGGTTATCTGTGGCCTTGTGGTAGTTCTGTTTTCCCCACCCTGCCCCCCGCTATAATCAGATCCAGCCAAAACACGGATCTTCCTAAAATTAAGCATATTAAGAGGGTACACATAGGAAAGGGTGGGACATGGTTGCTGTAGGTTTTCCTGTCGCTTGGCAGGATTATTCCACACACAGACACACACCACCAGCAGCACTTCCACCTGGTTTCCTTTTACTCTTGGGTGTGGACGCTACTTCTAAACACAGCCAGTTGCCTTTTTTTCCTGCGCATGCTTCCTCGTAAGTAAGCTCCACTGAGTTCAATGAGCCTAAATCCTGAATCGGTGGAGTCGGCTTCCAGTCCTGATCACTTCTCTATACAGTCTTCCTCTCTATAAGGCCGCCTTTCCTCCGACTATAGTCAAAGCTTTAAAAAAGAGGTCTTTCTGCAGACTGGGGTTAGTGCTATACAGTATAGAGCCACTAAGCAGTTAAACGTTAACGCTGAAATTCAGACCCGCCGAAATCCTGGCTCGTCTGCCTCCTGTCCCTGCTAATTTTGCATACTTCTTGCTCGCAGATATATGTCTGGCTTGGTGCATCTGACCAAATGATTCCAGTCCACGCCATGTGCCATCATGGAAACGCGTTGGCCGTAGAGGTGTCGCAAGACTCTTTCTTGCTGCGGCTCACCCGCTGGAATTCTAATGCTCCTCACGAGTCCCTTGCAATGAACGGCACTTACTTCCGAGGAACACCTTTCAGGATGGGGAGGGGCGCGCGCCTAGGGCTCATCCAACCTCGCTGTGGGTTTCTCAGGTAGGCAGCTGCCCCTAGGTCGCTTGCTGCTCTTTCACCTGATGGGTTGCAATCCAAAGACGTCCTGGCATTGCATGTAATAATGGACAAAAATAAAAATAATCGAGCAACTGGGGTTTCAAAGCGAGAGGAGGCCGGGGATGGGGAGGGTGTGTGTGTGCGGGGAACGGAGAGGAAAAGCCTTGTTAAGGGAGCATAAAAGACCGTGAAATGCCTAGAGCAGAGCTAGGATGAAGCAGCCCAGGCTCTCTGAGGTTAGTACGTAGGAAAGGAAGGCGTTTAAGCGCCTTCGGAAGTCGAACATGAACGCGAGCATGTCATCCATTCACCATGAAAATCAGTACAGACTTGGCCCTGGCACATTCTTCCCCGACCATGCCTTCGGAGAGACAGAAAAACAAAAACCCCTGCAGGGCTGGGCTAGTACCTTCCGGAGGAGCCCTTCCCAAGGACCCCGTCGCTTGCGGAGCAGCGCTTCCCAGAAGCCAAGATCTGGGCAGAATTAGGAGATTACACGGCATCTCATGAAAGCGACTCAACGTGCTTTTAAAGGGGTGGGGGTGGAAGGGAAGAGATGGTGCGGGGGAGAGGGAGAGAGATCCGTGGGCACTTCAGCGGGCTAATAGGCTCAAGATAGCTTGATTGCGCGCGCGGGTGGGAAGAGAAGGGCTGCAGGCCGAGAGAGAGAGCGAGGAAGGAAGGAAGGAAGAAAGGAAGAAAGAGAAAGAAAGAAGGAGAGCCGGACAGAGGCCAGCAGTCTTTTCTGTCCTCCTTACTGTCCACGAGGCCCGCGTGAGTTGCACTTTAGATCTCGTGCTTTTTAGCCAGAAGACCAAAAGTGACGATCTGTTGCTTCCCTTGAGATGGCTACAAAAGAGGAGGGGGCGGGAAAAGCGGGGGGGGCAGGAGGGAGGGAGAGAAGGAGAGAGGGCCCATACTCGCAGCTTGTCAATTTCAACATTTGGTCACGTGACCAGCGCCTCCCTGCTAAGGATGGGGATAGATTTCCACGTCAGCTTTACGTCTCCAAATTTCTTACTTCACGGATCTGCTTCAAAGAGGCAGCTGCATTAGAGAATCATGTTAAGCTCGGCTAATGCGGAGAGCCCGAGGTAGCCTAATGATGGATTTTGATGAGCGTGTCCCTTGCTCGTCTAATATGTATTTGCCAAGTTGCACGTACTACGTGTCGGGTCCTGATTTCTCCAGCCTCCCTTCTTTCCTGCCCCAGACCCCGTCTTCTCGCCCCATGACATACTCCTACTCCTCCAACCTACCCCAGGTCCAACCCGTGCGGGAAGTCACCTTCCGCGAGTATGCCATTGATCCGGCTAGTAAATGGCACCACAGGAACAACCTCCCGCATTGCTACTCGGCCGAGGAGATCATGCACAGAGACTGCCTGCCCGCCGCCGCCAACCCGGCCGCCGCCGCGGCCGCTGCCGCCAGCATGAGCGAGATGTTCGGGAAAAACACCGCCGCCGTCTATCACGGCCACCACCCGGCTACGACAGCCACCGCCGCCGCCGCCAGCGTCTCCTCCAATTTCTATAGCACCGTGGGCAGGAACGGGGTGCTCCCGCAGGCTTTCGACCAGTTCTTCGAGACGGCTTATGGCACGGCCGACAGCCACTCGGACTATGCAGGCGAGAAGAACGGGGAGAAGATGCCCCCGGGAGGGGGAGCCGCTCCGGGGCCGGCCACCGCCGCCGCCGTCGGCGCAACGTCAAGTTCGGACGGGAGCTGCGCCAGGGACGCGGCATCAGCGGCTGCGGCGGCGGCTGCCGCGAGCGCCGCGGCCTCGGCTGCGGAGGAGAAGGAGCGGCGGCGGCGGACGGAGAGCAGCAGCAGCCCGGCTTCGTCTTCCGGCAACAATGAGGAGAAATCCAGCAGCTCCAGTACGTATAAAGGCAGCGCCCTGGCGCTTTTATGAAGCGGACTTGGAAATCTTAGCGCACCGCCGCTGTTAAATTTTTATATGCTGTTTTATAAGCATATAAGGTTTATGGAAGGGCCTGTAGATTTCCCCCAACAAAACTTTGTTATAAAAGGAGAGATCACGTGGCGGGGACTGAAATTGGCCGTGAAATACCCACCGGCCAATGGATGCCTTTTTAAAACAAAAAAAGGAAAAAAAGGAAAAGTCCCCCCCCCCTTAAATCATAAAAAAGAATAAAGAGAGAGAGAGAGAGGATGTTGGGGAGAGAAAGGCTCTGTGGTCAAACTCTTGAAAATATAATAACGCACGTTTTGCGCCTGTAAATGCACCCAAAAGGGGATTTCTGAGTCCTTTGATATCCATGTAATCCTGTGATTATTTTTCTTCTCTCTTTTTTTGGATTTTTTTTTTATAAAAGCCATGTGTTGCCCCAGAAGCCTAGTTAGAAACTTGGATTCAAAGCCATCCCAGTTTTTTAACGATTGCCCGGGAATAGCGTTTAGCAGAAAAACTAGCTGCCTGCAGTGTAGCAATATAGTTAAAGGAACAGATTAAACTAAAGCTGGCCTTTTTGTGTCTAAAGGAAGCCATTTTCCTAAGACAATGTGGCAAGTATGTGTTGCCTTCTGCCCAACAGTTTGCTACTTACAATTGCTATTCAACCTGTCACTGCCTGGTTTTATTTTTTTAATGTCGATTTTTCTTGCTCCTCACCCCCTCACCTTCAAAAGCCTAGGAAAATAGCCTTGTAATGAGCTGTAACAGCAAATGGGGACGTGTTGTGTGTATGTGTGTTTGCAAGGAAATATAGCACCAATATTTAATGTAAAAAGCCTTTAAACATTAAAGGAGGGGGGGCTATGAACATTAACCCCAGTGTGGCTATGAAGGAGCGAAAGGACTTGAGAGAATATAGCAGAGGGGTTAATTTTAAAACACACACACCCCAGATGCGAGTGATAAGATGTAATGAACTAGTGGTTGTCCAAGGCGCTGGGGTACTGTTTTGTTATTTTTAAACAAAAGGAAGCTGCACACAAAAGCAAAACCAAGTTTAAGATTAAAAAAAACAACCTCGGTCAATGTACAGGAACCCATTTGGCTTCTCAGATCCTGGTGTCATAATGTCCTTCAGGGGTGAAACAAGCGATGAAGCTCCCTATGTCCTCTCTTAAAACTGAGCTGCAAAACTGGGTTGCAAGAACAGTGTCACAGCTGGGTTAGGTTACAGAGAGTCTGCCATCAACCTTCTTAACCTTCCCGCGCCAAGCATTGTATTATTCGGAGACTGCTTGTGCGATGGCCATCTAGATCTTGTGCACTGCAGATTCTGCTGACTAGGGAGTCAGTAGTTTGGACACTGTGGGTTTTAATTTCATAGCATAGCGCCTCAGGTGTACTGCCTGAAGTGATGCTTCGAAGTGAAGATGTTGGGATTTTGGAATATTCCATGCAAATATGTTCCTCAAATAAAGGTCAGGCTAATACAGCTGCAGAACGGAACAGAGCGTCAACTTTATGTAGCTAATAAACAGGCCTTTTCTCAATGGTTCAACCCAAGAATGTCCCTTTATTAAATATGAATTGCAGTCGTCCCCCAGCCCTATCTGATCCCAGACTTAATGGCTTCTGCCTTTTATTTTTGTCATTCCACAGGTGGACAACGCACCCGTAAAAAGAGATGCCCCTACACCAAATATCAGATTAGAGAATTAGAGAGGGAATTCTTCTTCAGTGTCTATATAAACAAAGAGAAACGCCTCCAGCTCTCCCGAATGCTCAACTTGACCGACCGTCAAGTAAAAATATGGTTTCAAAACAGAAGAATGAAAGAGAAAAAAATTAACAGGGACCGATTACAATATTACTCAGCTAATCCACTGCTTTAAAAAACTCGTAGCGTTTTTCAAGATGAGATTAAATTCAGATCTCGCCCATGACAAGGTCAAGCCACAGGGTTACCTATGAGAAGGAGGTGTGCAAAGTGACGGAGGACGCTGGGGAAAAACACCACACTAATATTTTTTTCCGTCCCCATAAAAATGTAAACCAACTGGGGTTTCCCGCTACTTTCCCCTCCCCCCTAAAAAAAGTTCTTCTTAAAGCTCTTGACATATCAACTGGAAACGGTTTACACCCTGGACCCGCATTTCCAAACACGCCACCCCCATATTTTGCTCTGAGGGCAATTTTATACCTCTTACCTATAGACACTGCAACTCATCCCAACGCGGGTTCACACGTGAAAAAGCGGGGAGTGAGTTATTGGATTCGTGTCGGTCTAAAACTATGTTACTTTGGTTTTACTGTGGAACATTGCTTGAAAGGCTACCCATGGCTGCACCGGAGCCTGATGGACTACTGCAAAAGAAAACCTACAGGAGCCCCCGCGACCTCTAAATGCACAGCCGCCGTCCCATCACCTTCCCCTCCTCGACCCTTAAAATGACAAACCTTCCTCCGCAAGAGCGGTTACCCTCTTGACCAAGTTCAAAAAATTTAAGCAGTTGCAAGGCCAATCATAAATGTTTGTAGAGGTGTAGTAGTGTTGAGTCTAACCGTGCTGTTGATAGGGAGTTATGGCGTGGAAGGTTTGACAGTCTCCTTTTGAAACCATTTCAGGTATTAATTCGCCATATATGGTAAGGAAACAATCACTGAAGAGTCAAACACATAGCCACGTGCATTAGCTCTCGTTTAAAAACCCCCAACAAAAAATGAACAACAACTGTCGAAAAGTGGCCATCCCTTTGGAGACAAATCATTATGTTCTTATTTAAATGCTTAAAGAAAATTAAAAACCAAACAAATAAATAAAAGTGCACGGTGGGGTGGAAAGAGAGGGAGAAAGAAAGACTAATCTAATAGCTCCAAAGGGGGAAACCGTAAAAGGAAGCTTCTGGCTTCTGTCTCACAAACTTTCTTCAGGAAATACCTGTGGAGAAGGACAGTTTGGCAAATACCACACAACACTTAATTGGACCCTGGATGTGTGCAATGCACTGAGATCAGATCATTAAAATAACTAGCGTTTTCTTTCCCTTAGAAGCCCAAGCAGAAGGCAAACAATGTAAATATGGTGGATTGGTTTTCAGATCTTTTTGTTCGCTATTAAGTGTCGAAAGCCCTACTTAATCGCTCAGGCGGCAGAATCAAAGAACTGAGAGTTCCCTGGAGTTATTTTAAATATATATAAAAGAAGTATATTTCCCTGCAGGAACCAAAGCGAGAGTGAGAAATAGAGAGAGAGAGAGAACAACGAATTTTAAAAGAAAGAACTATTTAAAAGTCTATATCAGTTTACAAAGGATATTGTGTTTTATTGTAAAAGTCGCTTGCTGTCGAGAATATCTGAATGTATATTTCATACGAGAATGGTGTTTTACAAGACTTGTACATTTTTAAATGATCCGTTTTGGTTGGTATATGTTTTTTTAACGGTCCTTTTCCTTGGAAAATGTCGAGTTTGTCCTTTTTTAAAAAAAAAATCTTTGCAAGAAAGATAAGGCGACTAGAATGTTGTAAAAACCACCAGCTTCGAAAAGGGACACGATTTCTTTTACACGGTTCACAAAACGCAATACCTTTATATTCCAACACTGTTTGAAGATATGTATCGTCATATATGTAAATACGGTTTCTTTTACTATGCGAAGGTCTTTCGTGGCATGTATACAGTGGTACGGCGCACAACGAAAATAAACATGTGGGAAATTTATAATAATAATAATAATATTTTTTTTAATCCTTGTGTTGTATTCATGGATATTCCTTGATCTGGGCTCTGAGAGTTTGAATCATGGCTCCTGAATGGGATGCTTTCATGGAAATTCCATTCACCTATTGCTTCTGGTCCTTCAGGATAAGGCAGTGCAACATGTCTGGTATTTATGAATGCGTAGGCAGACTGCAGCGAGCTTGAGGCCAGGTTTCACCGGTTTGTAGATGTGGGAGGGGGTGGAGGATCACTCCTTCAAGTAACTGCAGATTACAGGCTTTATACATTTGCTCACAGGTGTAAAACCTATTAGAAAAGCTGGTGATTTTTTCTGGGCTGGTCCGCTCTTGTTTATCTCGGGCGCCATATTTCTGAACACACTCCTTTAAGTGCTAAGAAATGTTTGTGGCAGGATCTGATCCCCAAAACGGCAATGATAGCAAGGCAGAATGAAGCATATTGGTTGAAACGTGTTGGTTCCTCTGTGGTGACTCCTAGGGAAAGAGGATGGGGAGGCATTCCTCGTGCAAGTGAGGCCCAGATGGGCTGTGTGTGGTTTTCGTTCTTAATCTCTCGAGCGGGGGTGGAAATTAAAAATTAAAAAACAACCCACCGAAGACCTTTTTGAGGATGTGGCATGAGGTTGATTTTCCTCTCTTACACTTAATCAGGAGAGAAAGTACATACTGTTTTCTCCTATTGTTTATTGGCTTTGAACTTCTGTATTGCTTTGGACATCACCCATAACCTTGAGGTGAAGGGCTAACTGGCTCTGGGCTTTTGCTGACAACCCCCACCTAAGCCAGACAGCGTCTGGTCAAAGGAAATGTACAAAGATGAAGCGCAGGGGGAGAGAGGAGAGAGAGAATGGAGCTCACTTGCTTGTTTGTTTATTTGGCTAGCATGCTACAAAGGAATGCAACTCTTAAAAGGGAGAGATAGAAAGATAGATGGAGAGAAGAGAAAGAGAGGGAGAAGACAGGGAGAGGAATAGGCGGGTGGCAATAAATGTTCAGGCAGCAACTTCCTTCGCTAGTTAAAAATTAACTGGTTATTCATCTCTAGGTTGACTCATGGAGTTTCTCCAGTTTTGTGGAGAGGCTGCTGGTGATTTCCTGGCCCAGTTAAAAAAAGGTGGGGGGACATCCCATATGTGTTGCCGGGACAATACAGCTATAAAAGTGCCCTCGACTTTCCCCCCCTCTTCTATTTGCATACTGGGAAAGCTGGGCTATAAACGAGGCGGAGGTTTGTTTCAGCCATCTCTGAGCTGTGGAGGGTAGATCTGCGGAGGGCAATTGTCTGCGGTAGCATGCGTTCGTTTAACGCGGGGCATTTGGAAACCGGCTGGCAGGTCAGCTCTGCGGAGCAACGCTGTTGCCACAAGATGGCGTTCTTCAGATCAATGTCAAAGCCGCAGTGGGAGAAGAGGGGGAGAGGAAGGGGGGGTTGAAATCTTGGCCTTTGTTCCCCTTGCGTTCTAGGAGCTGCACATTATATTATTTCACTTTCCACGCTCAGATTTGCAAAGGTAAGGTGAAGCCGATTGCTCACTCCTTCACGGAGAAGCACAAGGGTTGAGCCAGGAGCTTCTCTCTCACACACACTCTCAAGGCTGACTACTCCGGGCTTCCAGCGCTTCCAGAGGGTGAGTATTTCCTTTGAGGCTAAGTTTGGTTGATTAAAGAGGAAGCAGCTCTTATCAAGGTGCAGCTGGGGTGACCTCTAGGTCTACTTGCTCTCGATTAAATCCTTTCACCTTTATTTTTATTTCTTTTTGGAAGTGGAACTCCAGGGGTGTGGTGTCTTTTCGGAAAGCCAGTCATTAAAAGGTTGGCTGTGGAAAGTATTGTTTGAAGGCTTGCTAAGTTTAGAGAGCAACTCCTCGAAAAGAGTGGAGAAAAGGTTTTCAGGTTGAAGGTCTGCCAAGCAGCTCACGCGGTGGTGAAACAAGCGTAGGTAGGCCAAGACGGCGGCTTTCTTATAAAAGCTGCATCCCTGGGAATACAGGATTATGGATGTCCACGTTTGTCTGGAGGACGCTAGGTGTCTTCTATCAACTAGATCTATAGCGGCGTAGACTGAAAATGGCAGCTATTGGACTTGAGCTGTGGTTTGCTCATTCCAGTTTGGCCGAGTTTGCCCGCCTATGGTTGGTTTACAGCGATATTTATTAAATGCCTTTTTCTTCCGAGGCAGCGTCACTCTCCTCCACTCTAAGCAGAAGGAGCTGGAAATCGATAGAGCTGGATGTAGAGTAAAAGCTCCTTTCGCTTAACACCCCCACCTCGGAGCGATCTCATGTAAAGCCAATTCCTGGGCGGAGGTTGAATTTAAAATATCTCTGTTGATCCTGTCTCTATTGATCTGCAGTGTACTTGCTGTAGAGAAATTCTGAGAGCGGAGCCATAATCTGGAAGGCCTAACCCTTGTATACAATAACAGGAAATTTACTTAACTGGACACTTGGAGCTACGGTCATCAGCATACTTGCTGCAGCGAATTTGCAGGGATCTCGTGTTATGATTATTCTGAGCGGGCCAATTACTTAAATAGGATTGAGGGATACCTAGTTTTCTCTAGATTGCTGCCTATACAACATCCAGAGGGGATATTCTTGAGCTTCCTTTCGCGTAAAGCTCCTGGGATCAGATGCTAACGGTGAGAGCTACCAGTGTAGCACCCAGGATAGATTAGGAGCAGCAGTCCTGATTTCTTAAGCAGTCGACGAGCTGACCTTGGGATAAATTACAGATTACAGAAGCTCGCGATGCGATTCCCCCCCCCCACACACACTTTACCCCACTCAGACAGGCCCAACTTTATTCTAGCAGTCTGCCTGTGGTATTAACTTCTTCGGCTTGCATATTTTGGTCCGAGTCATGTGTTATGTTAGAAAGTCTCTTATCTTGACTACGCACCGCCCTACTGAACTATGATTTCTGAAGTCCAGTGTTAAAGCTTTACTCGGTTATTAAGTTGGGGTGGAGGAGGCGAGGCGGGAAGACGAAGGGAACTTTCCTTCAGTGTTTATGGAAACAAAGGCAACCGATTCATAGGAGGGAAACGTTCCGCCCTCAACTTTCTTGCATTTATTTAATCAATTTCTTAGGTCTCATTAGCAAATCATTTCACCAGTCAGCTCCTGCTTCTGTGGTAGAAGCATGGTGTCCTCTTTTCCGAGGGAACTTTCCTCCAGTGCTTATGGAAGCAAAGGCAAGCGATTAATAGGAGGGAAACGTTCAGCCCAAGAACTTTCTTGCTTTTATTTAATCAATTTCTTAGGTCTCATTAGCAAATCACTTCACCAGTCAGCTCCTGCTTCTGTGGTAGTAGCATGGTGTCCTCTTTTCCGTGGGAACTTTCCTCCAGTGCTTATGGAAGCAAAGGCAAGCGATTAATAGGAGGGAAACGTTCAGCCCAATAACTTTCTTGCTTTTATTTAATCAATTTCTTAGGTCTCATTAGCAGATCACGTCACCAGTTACCTCGTGCTTCTGTGGTAGTAGCATGGTGTCCACATAAAATGATAAAAATTTAAGCATAACAAACTCAAATGAGAGGTTTTCCCCTTCATTTTAACAACAAGAAGAAGAAAGAAAAAGAAACCAGCAAAAATGAATAAATACGTGTATTCAGAAGCATACTTTTTTAGTTTTGGTTGCTTCTCTTTCTTTCATTTCATCCAAAAATATAAATAAAAAACAGGTTTCCACAGTGGTTAGTCTCTAGATATCCTCTGGTGGTAAAATTAAGTTTGCTGTAGATCTAGGTCAGAAAGCAACCTTCCTTGTAGCTGATTCCTTATATTCACTCTTCCCCACCCGCTTCGATTTCTAATAAGCTGGGATAGCGTGCTTGGGGGAAGAGGGTGAAAATGACTCTACGTTTATAATATGCTACGATTGCTTTTTCGCACACAAGCACGCCTAAGGGTCTTTAAAGAGGCGTCTTCCACTTCGACGTCTGCTTCAGATATCTAGTATTCCCCATCCCACCCCAAATCTGTGCAAAGGAAATGCCTCTGAGAACGAACCATGGCCGAACTTCAATATAATTTTATATTATAATTTTACGCTGTAACTTAGAAATGCAAATAGATATCCCTCCGCGAACAGCTGCTGCCTCCTAGTTTGAAATAGTGTGCCAAACTCACGTTGAAAAGAAAAGAAGAAGCATAGGTTCAGACATGCGCCTCGCTTTGACTTCAACATATTATTGCCTAGCCTAAATTATTCGAAGGGAGAAATCCAACTTTGCTGGAGTCAGATCAATGCACTCTCTCCAGATTTCGTTGCTACGTGCACAACATAATGGGCTACTAGAACCAGACGGGAGTCTACGACGGAAAATGCTAGATACGTGTCTGCTAGCCTGGAGCTAGGCTTGCTAACCCAGAAGTGAGTCGCATTAAATTCAATAGGGCTTCAAGTCTCAGGTTAAGTGTGCGCAGGATTGTAGTATTTAATAACTTTCTTATGCTCCGGATCCTCTAGCTTAGGCCTTGGAATGGCCTTATTTTGAATGTGAGCCCCACTGAGACCTGAAAAGACTTGTGCTCTGCTCCCATTCCTTAGGAGACGTTGATTTGGGAGAGATGCCCTTGACTTCAACTGAATTTACGTCCAAGTAAATACGCATTCATATACGTCTGTGGTCCCAGCCACTCTCGCGCGGAAGGATGTCCTATTGAAACCAGCAGGACTTCCTTCCCGACCGACGCGTTTAACACTGGGGTGCCAGGCTGCGATCCTGCGCTCGGTTGCCCGCACATAAATCCCATCCCTATCAGAGAGAAGAAGGAAGGTAGTCACCAGCAAACCGGTGAGCAGGATTTCAGCCAGACCAGAATCCCAGCTGCCAGGGAAAAAAATGGGCTTAAGGTGCAAACGAAGTCCAAATTTTAAAGGAAATAAATCTCCCAAACCCGATCGTCGCTCACTCTTTACCCTTCAGGCCCTCTTCCCCCCTCCTTTTAACCTGAAAGAATTTCGAAGCGAAGATAAAAAATTACTTCGGTAGTCGTTTGACACCTTTTCTTGGCGCAGAGATGCAGTTCTTAAAACGCCTGATGGAAAGCCGCCTGTTTGGAAATTTTTCCAGAGGGAAAACTGCCTTGGCACACAGTCACATTCTTGACAACTGACACTTTTAATATTAAATAAGTGCGCACTGATTGTATTAATTTGGGTGGAGATTTACAAAATGCAATCTGCGGCTATATATTTAAAGGCAGCCAGCCTTCCGACTCCCATGATAGCTTTTACACTTTTTCCTTCCTCTCCGCGCCCCCCCCCCCGCCACCGCCAGCCCCTTCCCCGCAAAACCTCAATTTACCCATGTCAGAAATATAAAGCCCGTTTTAATTAGCATACAAAATAGCATCCCTTTCTTAACAATGTTGTACCTTTTTAGTTCCTCCTGGAAATAAGTAGCGGATAAATCATTCTCTTCAGCGAGTGGGATTTTAAAGGAAGAGAGACAAAGTGGTAGGGGGGGAAATCCCTCCTTCGATCTAACTTGGCTTAAGTTATTGTGTCTTCCTTAGCCCTTCCAGTCTTTTTTAATTTTCAGTTCAAACTCATAAAACAGCCTAACGACTGTACTAATGCAGCCATTATATTTCTCTTGGACCAATAACTGTGGTGTTGTTGTTGTTGTTTAAAAAATTAATAGGATATCTGTGTCTCCGCAGTGTACAAAAGCTCGTCTCCCCACCCCTCACCTCAAACTACCAGCCCTTTGGGTGGCTTCTGAGAGCCTTCGGTCCATTCCATAACTCAACTAAGGAGACTCTAGGCTTTGCCGACCCACATGTTCCAGCGCAACCTGGTTGTAGAGCTGGCTGGTTGTTTGCTGGTGCTTAACCCGCCAACCCTCCACCCACCCACTTCCCAATCTCCCAGACGAGTTTGTTGGCAGGAGCAGAATGAAAAAGCAGTCATTTCTCTTCTCTCCCTCCCCCCCGCCCCGCGCGCCCTGCATAATAGTCTCAAGAAATGCTATAAAGTCCTGGTTAATGTCCGAGACACATTGTTAAGTGTTTAAAATGTTACCGCTACACACAATGCACGCCAAAGTAGTTTAGTTTGCTCTAGAATTGACCATTATCTTTTATAGTTAAAAATCAAGTGCACATTATTAGTTTTACTTCACTGGCTTTGACGATGCTTTTGGCCTTGTTAGCGATTAAAGAAAAAGGCGCCGAGAGCCGAGTTCACGAGCTCCTCCTCGCGCGGTCCAAAAGCTTCCCCGAGTCAAATGCTAGCCTTCTCTTTACCATTGACCTCCCCGGGCTTTGGATCCGGCCCTGGGTGCCTTGACCATCAAAGCCCAGACGCTTTGGGTCCCACAAACGCAACCATAAAAGGGGGCCCTGGATACGAGGGGCTGCTTCCTTATTGCCTTATACTTTGAGTGAAAAGGAACCAACAGTACCCTTGATTGCAGAGGGTGTGTGTGTGTGTCCAGCTGCAAGCGGTTCTAACCTGAAAGGGAAGAGGTTTCAAACCATTTTCCTAGCCCCGCTCCTCTGGTTTCGACCGCCGGTTTCCCCTTCGAGTCTTCTCTTGAATCTTAAGAGCAGAAACCGAGTCTTGCTGGGATGGATCCGACCAAAGGTCCAATTGACCTCCAAAGTGGCCCACGGGATGCCCCTGGACCTCTTTGAAACGGGAAATGGTCAGTCGCCCGTGCACTTATGAGGTGCGAATTCCCGTATCTCCAGGTTTTTCGCCTTCGCTAGACTCACGAATCGGCTCGACCTTCACTGTAGCACTTATTTAAAGAGATGAATGGCGGAAGGGAATTCTTTCCATTGGGATCTATAGATTCGCAATCTTTTTATTTAAACTGGGGGGTGATTATTATTTTTAAACAGACTTCTATTATCTTTCCTTTCTTCGCCAACGGACCCTTCCCCAGGTAGCCGGCTGCTGTTGTTGTTGCATAAGTAGCAAGATTTTTCAAGGCATGCGCTTCATTTCTTTTGGATCTGGCAGATGAGGGGTGAAGGCGGGGATCAACACACCGCACAGAGGGACGAGATTCCCCCTTCTCGAAGTTTTGATCTACCTGATTTTAGCCCCTCCAAGTCCTGGGAAAGGCGAAGGTGGGCCGTGCGCGCGGGTCCCGTTTCACTGCGCGGAGATCTGCTGTTACAGCTCTAAGCCCATTGATAATACGTTTCCAATGTGCTAGCCCATAAAAGTGCTCCTTATATGGCATTAATTTTGCTGGAAGTCATATTGCCCTCCTAGGAATCTGATAAGAACTTGTTCCTCACACATTAACACAGTGTAAGTTAAGTCGAGTTGGGGAAACACGGACAATATTACTCCAGGGTGTGGGGAAGGCGGCTCTTCTTATAGGCTGCTGACCCCCTGCCTCTGGTTGTTCTGCCTCCATGCTTAACTTGTGCTGGAAGCCAGCAGAAGTGAAAAACCCAGGGTGCAATTCTTGGCTGGTGGGAGAGGAGATGAGAGGTGAGGGTGATGGGTATGGCAGTGGTGGAAGTGGCTTAAGAAGGACGTCTTGCCTTTCCATAAAGATTTTACGGGCCCGGCAAAGTTGCAACTATCTCTGCCAGGCTTCCCATCCGACAAGCCAGAAACCTCAGGAGGCCCCCTTCGCGTTAACTTGCCTATAAGAAAACTCGCGTTCTGTGTCCTGCTGCCTTCTGAATGTTTTAGAAGCTAAGCGGAGGGGAATCCCAGAAGTAAGGGAGGGAATTTCCCCACTTTTGTAGGCAAACCCCGGGCATTATTAGGCATGCGAGGCTTGGCAGATCAACCCTACCCTACCCACCCCTCCGTGGTGTGGAAAGGGGACAATGTGCGGAGTGGCATATGAGCATTTTGCAGGACTCGCCCTGCATTGTATGAAAGCCAAGGGTATGCCGTGCCAGAGAGAGAGGGTATATCTGAAAGGCACCCTCTCTGCAGCACTCACTACACCGAAGGCTTGGTCAGGAAAATAAGGCAGCGCCTTTGCCTCCCGATTCCCTTGGCATTCTTAGCGCTTTTGAGGGCTTTATGGACGAGGGAGTGGGTGCCAAAACGGAACCGAGCAGAAGATTTACAACACAATATTGAATTGTTCAAAAGAATATTCCTACTCGCTTGGGAGCAGAGACAGGCGATCATTTAAATCCTACCAGCTGGGGCGGTTTGGAAGAAGAGATACTTAACGCAGGGATTTGTAACCTAAAAAAAAAAAAAGTTAAACAAATATTTGTTTTCTTTTCTTAAAAAACAATAATTCTAAAAGACTCCATGGACAATAAGAGATGTTATTTGTCTCAAGTTTTTATTATTTCCAAACAACGTGTGCCAAGAACATGAGAGACAGAGAGGCAGAGAGAGAAGTGGAGCCCTTCTTTCGCTCTCTCGTCCCATTATAAAATCTATCTATCTGCCCCCGTCTGCCGGTCTCACTCTCTTGTCTGCTGGTTGTCTACCATCTCCGCCACAATTACGAACTGGCTACACAGTTTTGTCTAACAGTCCTTTTTAGCCTTTTATGGGTTGAGAATGAGGATATTTTGAGATAATTTGCTTGTGGCGCACTTTTGAATCTATAGTGGGTGTGTGATTATTATGCTCCCCCTTGGGGGCGAAAAAACGAACACCAACCATTAGAATTTAATGTTAATCTGAGGATATCTCGCATCCACTTTCTGTGAGACCTTTTGCTACCCTCGTCCCTACAAGACACACCAGATATTTCTGCTTCGCATGTTAGTTTAAGACCAGATACGGAAGACTTCGATACAATACTTGCTTACTGGGTCAACAAAGATGGGCTTATATTGTTACTGTTGCTTCTGCGGCGCTAGACAGGAATATTTCACAGTGGCGCTCCTCAGCCTCTCTGCCAGGCGGGGGTTCACTTCTGAGCCGGTATTTCTATATGTACAGTTAGCTGAAAGTAAACCCACCCATCCCACACTGAACACAGTGGGACTTGCTTCCGCGTAAAACATGTATATGCCAATATTCAAAGATGGGAGCCAGGCTTAAGAATTTTCTTCATTAGTGTCGTTGTCATCTTGAGGAGACATTGGGTGACTTTATGATGTCCGTAAACCTTCAGTGTTAGTGAGGAGGTCAGATTGGTTTAGAACTTCCAGTGGCCCGTGATGCCATAATCACCGCCACTAAAAATAGGTAAGCAAAAGCATGTCCCAGGGCTTGACAATAAATACTGAGGTTTTAATAATTTCATCACAGCCATGGGCTGTATGAGATGGGATTGGGAGAGCAAAAGGGGGAGGGGGAATGTTGATGGCGAGGTGGCAGAAAGAGAGAGGGGAGTTGGGATGTTGAAAGGTTCACTTACAGCTCGCTTTATGACCTGAACGCTTAATATGCTCCTTTGCATTTTTATATTAGCGCATATGCTTAAAGAGGAAGCCTGGCTAAATTATGGGTTGCATTAAAATCGGGGCAAATTGTTTTCTATTGTTTGTCTCCCCTTTCTTCTCCGTGTGCGCGAGAGCCCACGCGCGCCTTTCCCCCTCCTTTGCTCACACGCAGGCAAAAGGCAGCCTATATGTGGCAACATCAATTGTACCCCGAGTACCTAGGCAAGGGCAGCTATGTGGCACCATCGATTACACACACACACACACACACACACACACACACACACATATATAAAATTCAGCAGTGGACCTGAGAGCAGCTCATTGCCTACGAAACCAAACGGGGAGGGGTTGCTGGCGAGGGCTGGGATTCCATTGGCTGCACGCACTCGCCGTGGCGCGGGGGTATCTCTAATCATATCCAGCATGTTTTGCACAAGAAATGTCAGCCAGAAAGGGCTATCCGCTCTCTTCGCCAAATTATTCCACCACGGCCATGGCATGCTCGGAGAGCCCCGCTGCAAACTCTTTTTTGGTGGACTCCTTGATCAGCTCAGCCTCAAGCAGAGGGGAAGGCGGAGGAGGCGGAGGCGGGGGCGGCGGAGGAGTTGGAGGAGGCGGAGGCGGAGGAAGCGGCAGCTACTATCCCAACAACAGCGGTGTCTACCTGCCACAGGCGTCCGATCTGTCCTATGGGCTGCAAAGCTACGGGCTTTTCCCGGTCCTGAGCAAACGCAATGAAGGCCCTTCTCCAAGCGTGGCGCCGGCTTCTCACGCCTACATGTCAGGGATGGAAGTCTGGCTAGATCCCCCCAGGTCCTGCCGCCTGGAAGAGCACGAGAGCCCGCAGGCGACCTCCTGCTCCTTCGCTCCCAACATCAAAGAGGAGAGCTCCTACTGCCTCTATGACGCCGAGAAGGGCCCCAAAGAGGCTGCGGCCACCGACTTGTCCATCTTCCCAAGGCTGAGCTCGGAGGTCTGCTCCATGAACAACGTGACAGCCGCCGGGGTGCCCGTCCCTGGCTACTTCCGCTTGTCTCAAGCCTACGGCACCAGCAAGAGCAGCGGCAGCAGCAATGGCAGCAGCTACAGCAACAACAGCAACCACCACCATCAACATCATCACCAACAGCAGCAGCAGCAGCACCATCCGGGGCAGATGGTGGTTCCTTCCCAGTTCGCCCCGCAACCTCAAGTGCGCTTTGAAACTCCGCCAGCGTTGACTCCTGCAGTCCCACCGCCGGATTCGGGGAGGAAAGACAGCGAGGATTCATCCCCACCCAGCACCTTGGCTTGCGTGGCCCAAAGGGGTGAGGAAGAAGGGCAAGCTTCCTCTCCGGCCCCCGAAGAACTCTCCCCGGCTCCTTCAGAGAACAGCAAGCCCTCTCCAGAGAAGGAAACGCTAGGTAAGCAAAAAATAAATGCACTACTCTCTACCCGCCTAGCTCCCCCGCCCCCGCGCACGGCAGCCGGCACCGTTGCCACAAAAACCAGGAGGGGTGGGATGCGATAAGGGGGTGAGAATCGCCCAGAATACTGGAAGCCCCCTTCGCTGGCCAAAATGGCCATTCATAGAGCGGCTTAGCATAACATGCTGAGCTGCCATTCATATTTGGACGCTGGGATGCTGTAAATAAATAAATATTGATATATCCACCCCTTCGAGTTTATGAGCCATACAAAAAGAAAAGAAAAGCTGAGTATGGGTAAAATCCTAAAGGCAAAGGGCTTGAAAAGAGACAAAATAGGAAGAAAAGGAAAAAGAGATAAATGCAGCTCTGTATTTCCTCGCCTCAAGTGATGCTGAGGTGACTGCAGAGATAACATAGATGTTTGTAAAGCGTCCAAAGTAAGCAAGGGGCCAGCGCCAATAAATAAGCCCATTAACAGGCTAAGTTCTAGTTTACGATCCTGGATGCCTTAAAAAAAAAAAAAAAGCAGCTGGGTTAAAATTCTCTTCTATGAAGCACTATCAAATTAGACTGCTGGAGTCTGCGCTGCGAGAGGCTCTCCAGAGCGCCACAAGGCTTCTGTGTTGAAATATACGCAGGGTCATTGGAATGAATGGGAGCTGTACAAGAATGCCAGAGTTCCTGGTCGGTGCTCAGTCATTCATTTCAACGCGCGGGGATGGCGAGTGGCTTTTGCAGAAGAATTTTCTATTTCATGATGCCCATTAAAGGGAATAAGAAAATAATAATAAGAAAATAAAACCGGGAACTCCGCAGGGTAAGCTTTTAGTTGTTGTTTCTCCCACAATTCTGAAACAGGATGCAATGAAGCATGTTACGTGTGTGCACACACATATATGCATATGCATATCGTTATCTAAATGCACACAGAGGGAGTTGGGTTTCCCGCCCCAACCCCACCTCCAGCTACATGTACTTCCAAAAAATAAAGAGAAAGGCATATGTGCTTTAAAAAAAAAATATGTGCATCATCAATGTGTGCTTGTAAGAACCATCTCAGCGCTAAATTGCTCAACGGTTTAGATTTAGTTTGAATTTGGAAACGCACAGCCCGTTCCTATGCTTGCTTGTTTGTTGCACCACTGAATTAAACGGGCTTGATTCTCAGTAACGCAACATTCCTATACCCGCTTACCGGGGAGTAAGCCGCACTGAACACAGTGGGACTTACTTCTGAGCGAACATGCCAGGGATTGCTCTGGAAGGGTGTGTGGAGTAGTTTAGATGGGATTGCAGCCCTCATTCGCCAGAAATATTAGGCATAACAATTCGAAAACGACCCCACCCCCAACCAAAAAAACAGCCACCCAGGGCTTCTTCTTCTTTTTTTAATCGAGCGCTTCGGCAGCGTCGACCACATTTTCAAATAATCTGGATTTAGGGGAGGGAGCAGGGGGCGGTCTCGCAACGAGTGTTTTGAGAACAAACGGCCAGGACTGAAGCAGAGGCAAAACCCTGCAAGACGCCACTGCCAAAGGCATTTGTGCGCATCGGTGTCAACTCCAAAAGCGATCCGGTCTCTCAGACCAGCGAGATGCGGCAAAGTCAGGGAGTGTGTTGCAATGCTCGCTCTCCTTTGGGGGCTACCAATTTAAGAGGGACCCGGACAGGAACCCTGAAGGAAGGCCAGAGTGCCCTTCTCAAATTTATATTCGGTACTAAGTACAGAAGCGTCCCCCAGCCCATCCACGCTACGCCGCCCAAGTTTTCCTGGTGTCGTTCTGGTAACCTTCCCTTTTTTCCTTATTTCCCCCCTTAAAACTAGGCAATTCAAAAGGAGAGAACGCAGCCAGTTGGCTCACCGCAAAAAGTGGCAGGAAGAAGCGATGCCCTTACACCAAACACCAAACTCTGGAGCTGGAAAAGGAGTTTCTGTTCAACATGTACCTGACTCGTGAGCGTCGCCTAGAGATCAGCCGCACAGTTCACCTAACAGACAGACAAGTCAAAATCTGGTTTCAGAACCGCAGGATGAAACTGAAGAAAATGAACAGGGAGAATCGAATCCGGGAGCTCACAGCCAACTTCAATTTCTCCTGATGAACCCTAGGCACGCATCTTGATGGTCTGAACAGCTAGGACGGTTCCACCCCCCACCCCCCGGTCTCCTCCCCACCCCCTAAGCCTCTAGCTACTCGCACCTGTGTGCGTCCGAGCCTTTCAATTACATCCTCAGCCTCTCCATGGCCTCTTGGTAATTGATTTCGTTGGGATGAAGCCATAACTGATGCACACTACCCCATCCATGTCCGCTGCTGCCCTCAGTAAATGCCCGGTCTGGAAAGTCTGGTGCTGAAGGGAGGGAAATGGTTTTCAGAACCCTAGATGCCTATTGTCCTCCCTTTCTCAACACCCCTCTCCCAAACTCCATTTTCAGAAAATTGAGCCAAATAAGACTGAAGGCAACTTGCGTTCTCTCCCACCCCACTGTAATAGTAGCTGGTGTTTTGGATCTGAGCCGAGGATGGTTTTGAATAATTAAAATCTGGCCACGCCGCTGCTTAATAGGAAGCATGCGTCTAGCCGATCCAGATAGAATCAGGTTATAGAATATGGTGTCAGGAGCCAAGGCTGGCGCACTTATATGTTTGTTTGTGCCCAATCCCCCGCATACCCCAAAATCCATATTTAATATTACAACTTTTAAAATTGCCACGAAAATGAGACCTCTTCCCCCTCCTCCTCCCCCTTCCCCCCCCCCAAAAGGAGAGAGGAAAGTCTTTGTCTGCTTTATTGGCTAAAATCTTACACTTTCTGGTTGTAGGTAATGACTTGAGGTAGTTTTTGCTTTGGATACCTTTGGGTTACCGCTAGTTACGCTTGGCAAGCACATGAAAGGAAGGAAGGAAGAAATCTCCCCGCTTTGGAGAGGAGAAACGACTTTGTCCACGGAGAGGTGTGTTATTCTATGTATATTGGACCACCAGATTTTCCCCCTGACTTGACTATGGGGGACAGCAAGGGAGGTGAAAGTTTTCCCCCTGGTTTCCTTGATACTGTGAAGTTACATGCGTTGAAAAAGGTCAAGCGTGTAGTGCAAAGAGAAGATTTTTTTTTAAAAGAAAAAAATATCTATGAATACAGAATATGTATAAATGTCTATTAATATTAATATTATTAATATTATTAAAATGCCGATACTGTTGCAAGCAAAGCATTCTATAGCGTTATTCTCGATGTTAGCTCTATCTCTCGTCCATCCCCTCCTTACCTTAAAACCAATGAATTGTAATGCTGCGTGGAAGTAAAGCAAAACAAAAAAACAAAAACAAAAAAAACAGGACAAAATGGAGACGCTGTTTATGTTTCTCTTGGAAGAAGAATAAAAGGCATGGAATGAACCACCCTCTTTTTTTAAAAAAATACCTCGTTTGTGACTGTTTATTCTCATGGTCCTACTTTCAGATCTCCAAGAACTTTTACAACAGGAATAGTTTGCCCGAGCCCCCTGCAATTACTTTAGGAATCTATTTAAATATTACCTAGACGGTCGTAATTTGTCTGGGCCATATAGCAATGGTGCTGTAAGGTTTGTCGGCTTTTGTTCAGTTTTATGACTTGCTAGTATATCTGGATTGTTGCTGTCTTGGACGAGTGGTTTTAGTTGACTGAGGGGCTGCACAGGCAGAGGAAGCCAAGGGCTACTTATTTGCGAAGTTAGAGGACTTGGGCTTCTCTTTATTTATTTATTTATTTTATTAAAATAACTCGGTGGTTAACTCACGAGGAAGGATCCACTATTGTTTTTTATTTTTATTTTAAACCAAACAAAACTACCCCACTAGACGCTCGGAGCTCTTTTCAACTCCAGAGGAAAACCTAGATGCCCCCACATACAAAAAAAGGCGATTCTGAAAAGGTGAGCACGTGGGAACGAGGATCTTGAGCCTTGTTCTCCTTGATCGATCAGCTTTTCCGCCATGTTTATTCTTCCCTTCGCTACCTGCCTGCTTGCGGATGCGCTTAAGCGGAGAATGTTTTGGCATTAAGGTTCTGTATCATTGCACGTTGATCAGCTCCAGAATCCAGACAAAGGCGAATCGGGTGGGGAGGAGAGAGAGAGGGGGAGATTGGAAGGGGTGGGAGTGGAGGCGGTGGTGATGGGAGCCTGAAAGGGCTGTGTAGCCATTTCTTTTTCCAGACTTTGAACCCGCGCATCTTGATCGCCTTCGATAACCTATGTATACGAGGATTCTTGCCTCTCGAGGCCTGCCTGGCCCCGCTGCCTCCTTCTCTAAGTTGCATTTTTAATATGCATCATACCCTAATTCGATCGTGGCTAAGTTAGAGAACTATGATGGAACGTAGAGAGTAAGATTAAACGGAGTGACGACAAAGTGGGCACAAAGGCGTTTCTAATGATTTGGCGGGTCCAGAAGGAGAGAAAGAACTTCATTTTTTAAAAAAACACACACACAAGAATGTGGAAAGTTTGTAGACCGAGATGGAGTAGACCGAGACTTTGGTGGAGAGGGCGGAGGGGGGCGGTGGGAAGGGTGAGGTCTTGTTGCTGTTCGGTTTTTTGGGGGGGGTGGGTGGGGGCTTTCCCCACCCCACCCGCTCGGAATCTGTTTCTTTGGGGCATTGGTGTCTCTCCATATTTATTCGAAGCGGGATCCTGTTTCCTAAGGAAAGCGGCAGTGGGGAGCCCTCTTAATTAGGAGCCTGAGAACTGGTCGGTGGTTTAGGTAGTTTCATGTTGTTGGGGCTGGATCTCAATCTCTCTCTACAGCACGAAACTGCCTTAATTACTTCAGTTTGAAATCATCAACCGGGTCTAATAAGAATAAGAATAAGCGCCGGAGTCCATTCGTAGTAATAGCGATACAATACTAATAATACCGCCTTTTACCGAAGAAATCTGGCAAGCTACCTTTCCTCGGCAGGCGTTAAGTCCCAATGCCATTGGTTTGCCTTCTGCGCGCCGAAAAACCCAGCGCCTTTCCGGCCGCCTCAATTAATCCATTTCAGCCAAGGTGGAAGAGGGGGGAAATGTTTGAAGGCGCTATTGGAGGAGACCTTCAAGCTTAGCTAGGATCGGTTGTCTTCGGGTTTTCTCATGCAGGTTTCCTTCAAGGTCAGGTGCACTCTGCCAGTTTAGGAACGTCCAGATTTTATTGTCTAATCCGTATCATTGCATACTTTGATTATTGTCGCTGCTCTTGCTGGTGATATTATTCGCATTATTCGCAAAAATGTCTGTTGCCCTGCTTTCCTTCATATGTAGTGGGTGTGTTTCAGTTACTCCGCTGTAAAGAGAGGGAATCTGGTAGCAATTTCCAGTCCTGCTTACTGGTTCTATCTCATTATATTTTATTGAGCTATATTGTGTTATGAGGTCTCGCCGCCGGCCCGTTTGCGCAAACACACACACACACACACACACACACACACACACACACACACAGCCCTTGCTCTCCCTTTACTTACAGTGGTGGCCTTCAGAATCACTCTGTTTTCTCTCCGCTGTTTCTCCCCCCACCCCGAAGCTAGAACAGTCCTTCCAATGTCTGCAGGGAATGCAGACCCTAAGGGCATAAGGGGCGGAAAGAGGGAGACCGGGGAGGCAGGAAAACTCGGGAGGGGGGACCCCAAGGATTTCTCTGTAGCTTACAAGGCCTCGGTTACGATCATTATTGGAGTGTGTCCGGGCGCCTGCATTCCAATGAGGCGGAATAAGCAACAGCGACCTCGCTTGGGCTCGAGGCTGCGCTGTGCTGTCGCCTTGCCATTTATGCGCAGCAGCCCAGCGAGAGGCGAAGGAGCTGCAGCGCCTTGTTTACACCGGATACACACATTGTTTACAGCTATTGTAAATGAACAAGACCTCTCCCTTCCATGTCCTGCGGTGGGTACGGGTGCGTGGGTATTGGGAAACGCACGGGAATACCCTTTATATTCTTTTTTTTCCCCTCCCCCACCCTTCAAGTTTCCGAACATTTCAGAGAACAGTTAAAAGGGCTGGAGAAATCAGATTTGTTTAATTCTGCCTCCCACAAACACACACCGTCCCGTCAATTTTGGGGGGAGCCTTTGCCATAGTTGAATAATTTAAATGACAAGTTCACACGATAAGTGTTTCGGGGCTTTGCTGCTTATAATATGGACATTGTGTAGTTATGTATGTGTCTGTGTTTGCACGAATGCACGTGCCTACGGCTTGGATCTAGAGGACGTACATGGTCCCCCCACATGAATACAGAAAGAAGGGCATTGCTGTATGCAAGCAGCTACCATGGCCAGCCTTCTGTATGAAGTCTGTGCTGCTTCTGAATCATTCGACCCTCGTTTCGTCATTTATCTCAAGCAAAGCTTATTTAAAAGCTAAAAACACAACAAAACAGACAAACCCAAGAACCCGGAATTCTCCATATCAGTGCACAATACATTACCTCCTACAGAATATTATCCAAATCCTATTAGGACTACCTTTCTTTCTTTCTTTCTTTCTTTCTTTCTTTCTAAAAAGAGAAATCTCTATATGCCTCTGTGTGTACACACATATATATGTGTGCATGAATGAGAGGGAGAAGGGGGTGGAATATATGGGGGGGGGAGAGAGAAACATTAGACAATTATATTGCTTAGATATGTTTAGGAACATACTGATTACTTCAGACTCTGTGTAAAATAAGTAAATAAAGTGCGAGCACACAGTTATAACCCTTAAACGGCGTTTTTATTTTTCCTTTGATCTGTCTGGTAGGTAGATTCAAGGGTTAAAACCTAATAATGTGTGTGTGTGTGTGTGTGTGTGTGTGTGTAACCAGATATAGTTATTAAAACTCTGAAGCTGCCACCATATATGCACACTAACTTGAAATAAATACTGTTGAGATCAGTATAACATTTTTTAACCTGGGCGAAAATTTCCCGAAATGGGCGGGTCAGTGTATATGGGTTGTTTATATGTCACGGCTACTCCACACTTACTCGGGAGTAAGTCCCAAATTTATGTGTTCAGGGTAATGTCCAAAGACTGGTAGCCGCCTTATTCCAACCCGAAGCCTATTTCATTGGAAGTAATTAACAGTTCAAAGAAAGCAGGAATTCGGCTAATGAGGAGGCTTTCTCCATTTTCATATTATTTGTCACTAAATGGAAGTCAGCTATATGAGCTACAAAGCCGAGCTATTAAAAAAATGATTCCTGTTTATACTGAAAATACAATATCTGCACCAAATGAAGAAAATGGCGAAGCTAACATACGAAGTACTTTGTATTTATCCCTTTCTATCATTTCGAAGGTGAATATAACAAATCATCTTTAAATTCTTTAATTTTAATGGTTCAGCAGCCAGCTTTTTAAAGGGAGCTCTGAAATGTTTATTCCTTTATTGTAACGCGAGCCTTGCATTTCAAATGTCTACACGTCTACTCAAAAGTAAGCCCCACTGAGTTCAATGGCGCTTCTAGGTAACTGGGTAAAGAGACTGCAGCCTTAGACTGCAATTTTACCCAGAAGTAAGTCCCACTGAGCTTTAATGGGACTTACTCTGTAGTAAGTGTCGGGGATTGCAGCTGGATCATTCCCGTTGTTTCCCACTCTCAAAGGCTTAATCCGGAATGAAAAGTCACTACCGCCTCCGAAACCCCAAAAAGTCATAAAAACATTTAGGAATCCTGCTGTTAAGATTATTTTTCTCCTTCGAGGAGGAAGGAAGTTCTGCCAGCATATTTCACAACAGCTGACTCTCGATTTTAAACAAAAATGACGTAAGACTTCCGTCTTTCCAGGAGAGTAACCGACTAATAATAATATTTTCCTCCTCTCTCCTGTTGAGGATATCGCACTAAGGCGATCACATACTTTAGCTGTAATTACATAGGAAGACATTTGTCTACATTTTTTTTTTTTAAAGAAATGGCTTTGTTGAGGCATGGGAAGAGATTTCCAGCAACGCCCCTGCGAAATTGTTCCTGCTGAGGATCTGTGAAATATTAATTGTTTCTTGTAATCTCGGGACCTTATGTCAAAAAAAGAGAACTGACTGCTAATTTAAGTTTTTCTCAAGACTCAGCTATTGGAGAAGTATGAAAGGGGAAAAGAACGCTGACGTGATGTAAAGCTAATGAGAACCATACTTTTTGCGCTCACAATATTCACAGACGAATTTCATTAGCACGCGGTTTCCTTGCTATTTGCCCCGTCTCTAGCCTGACGAAGAGTTAAAAAAAATAAAATAATAAAATAAAATAAAATACAGAGATCCTTATTCTCTTCCCCCTCCTCCCACTAGCAGAACACAGCATTTTTTTTCCAAAGAAAGAAAGAGAAATAAATAAATGGGGGGGGGGGACGTTTAGGAATCCTCGGGAGAAAGACAACGAATGCAAATGTCACCGACAATCCACCATTTAGTCATAACTTTAATCCACAACACTGGACTTGATCTGAGAACCGTATCACCTTCTCCTTGTTTTTCCTAGACGGCGGTAACCCTCCGCCGCTTACAGAAGCCATATAAGAACGTGCCAGAGAGTAAATAACTATTTGCACCTAAAATCCGACGGCTCGGGAATGCGATCCGCCAGCGGGGATACTGCATAAAAATGCAAGGGCGAAAGAGGGTGCCCCTTTAAGGCAGGCGACAGACAGGATTTTTGCTCCTATTTTGCTTTCATGCATGCTTAGGAATTAATCGTCATGAAGTGTGTGTGAGTGTGTGTGTGTGTGTGTATAGTGTATAGTGTATAGTGTGTGTGTGTGTGTGTGTGTGTGTATTCCTTCCCCACCCACAGACAGACACACAGTCTCACACACTCACAGTCTCCAACATAGCTGTGCTTTATCCGGTTCTTGACAGAATGTGTAGTTACACTTCAGAGAGAGAGAGAGAGACAGAAGGGATAAAATGCCCAGTGGCCGTGGATCCCGCCGCAGTCAACTTGATCGAGGGGGATGTGTCCGCTCAGTTTTTCTCCCGCATAAAAGTTCTCTTCTGCATTCCTCCTCTTGACTTGGTCTCTTCCTTTTACCAAAATAAAAATAAAAAATATAAAGGTTATCTAGTTGTCAAAGAACGGGGCATCAAACAACTTCTTGATAAAATGTCACAATATTATTTAAAAGAAAAACAGCAAGAAGGGCAATTGTCTCCCACACCTGCAGGTTAAGCTAGTATTTGTGGCAGAATTTAAATGTGTCTGCGGTTCCTTGCCTTATTCTGCTGCTGGAATTATTTCGGGGGCTGCGCAGGGGGTGAGGGGAGGGAGAGAGAGAAGAGAAAGAGATTACTGAGGAGCCAGGAGGTGGGTGTTTGGGATTCCTAGTTGTGGGTCCGATTCCACAGTGAGGGATTCCTGGCTGTGGGTCCGAGGACTCTTAGATCAGAGGCGCGGATAAAGATGCAAATTTCGATATCGATTTGAGATCTCTCGCCCCCAGCCCCAGTTATCCTCCTGCTCTGTTCGGCGGTGGGCAGATTCCCTTTTCGAAAGGGGAATCGTGTTGGATTTGACTTTTCCCTGCCAGCCCCAGTTAGCTCTGAACTCAACGGCACAGTATTATTTACAGTGAGTTCCCAAACTAAACACAATAGTATAATTTAACCTTTCCAGGCACTCGTAAATTTTTACTGCTGTGAAACACAGCGATGCAAATGAATATGCTCGTAGTTACTGACTTAATAACAACCCCGTGGCTCCCGAAACAATAACTCCTTATGAAATATAATAAATATATATTTAAATACAGTATGCCGCCAATGTTATTTTGCTTTTTTATTGCTTCAATTATTGTATAATTTTATGTGAAGGTCTCCGATCACAAGGAGGGTAGCCTGTCTTTGTGTGTGTGCGCGCGTGAGTGAGTGAGTATGTGTGTGTATGTGTGTGTGTGTGTGAGAGAGAGAGACTTGGCTTTTTTTTTTTTTGCAAGGAACACGGACCATTGATGGGATGATTAATTATGATATAAAATAGTCCGCTTTAGAAAGGTGGCCATACCCAAAATTCTGATCTTTTAATCTCGATCAGCCACAATTAAAACAAATATTGCCGTACAAGTCGTCTATCCCTTTGCATAAAAACATATGGCTTTGCTATAAAAATGATGACGGGAAAACACTGACCCATTAATAGCCTGCGGACTGATTTATACTTTATTGTTCTGCTGCCCGGCCATGTGACGCGAAGCAGCCAATGGGCTGACAGGCAGCCTTCAACTTATTAGGTGACTGTACTTCTTCGTGAGGACCAAGTTGTTACATGAAATCTGCAGTTTCATAATTTCGCCAGGTCTTGCCTCTCCTTTTTTTGCACTGGGGCTGGGGCTGGGGCTTGGCTTGGATGGCTATGTCTTCTTCGGGGACGCTCAGCAACTACTACGTGGACTCTTTCCTCATCCACGACAGCGAGGAGCTGGTGCAGTCCCGCTATGGCTCGGCTTCTCTAGGTCAGCCGGCCAGGCAGGCGACCCTTGGAGACCACCCCGAGTTCACCCCGTGCAGCTTTCAGTCGAAAACCTCCGTCTTCAGCACTTCCTGGAACGCCGTGCACCCGCCGAGCGCTAACAATGTGCCCACCGTGTACCACCCGTACGTGCATCACCAGGCACCAATGGCAGCGCCCGACGGCAGGTACATGCGCTCGTGGCTGGAGCCCATGCCGGGCTCCTTGTCTTTCCCGGGCTTGCCGGCCAGCAGGCATTACGGCATTAAACCTGAACCGCTCACGGCCAGGAGGGGTGACTGTACCACCTTTGACACGCACGCGCTCTCTCTGACTGACTATGCTTGTGGTTCTCCTCCAGCTGATAGGGATAAGCAAGGCAACGACGGCGCGTTCTCGGAAAACAATGGCGAGAGCGAGGCGAACGGAGACAAGCCCCAGATCGACCCAAGTAAGTGCCATCCGCCTGGGCTTGGGCGGGAGGAGGGTGGGCGGGTGGGTAGGGGGCTGGGTGTCGAGAGCCACCGTCTACCGTGAGCTATGCGGCAATGGCTGCTGGGTGGGTGGCTGGGTGGGGGCTTCTGTGGTCACAGAAGAACGTCCAGCGGCACCACTGAGCTTCTCTCTATCTCTCTGTGTGTAGAATTGTGTGCGTAAAACGGGAATATGGTTGCGCATGCATATACGCGTGTATGTACATATTTGGTGTCAGTCTTTGTAGGCTCACGGTCTATGCAGCCAGCTAGGTCTGTGTGTGTTTCTCAGCGTCAAGGTGCCAGCAAAGTCCAGCATGACCTCCCTGTCGCAACAGTGTGCAGGGGCGCGTCACCAGCATGTTTTCCTGGGCGCACGCTTCAGCTACAAAGCCACATTGGGGGGATGGGAGGAGAGAGCCGGGCGGTGTAGGGGGGGCGGCGTGAGAGGGTGGTGGTCGCGCACAACCCAAGTTACTTGGGAGAGGCGAGGAAAAACAAAACATTGGATGTGAATCTGATCCCTTTGTGACGACTAGCTGAGCTAGGAAAGCCAAGAACAACAACTGTTCTTGTGTGTGTGTGTGTGTGTTTTTCCTAACTTCATTTTAGCCCTCTCTTTGGCGACTATTTATTCCACTCCTTTGCTTGTTGCTAACACCTTCGCTTGCCTTTAGAACTGAGCTAGCGGATCAATAGTGCAGGCACGGCAAATAATGCCAAATGCAAATGTGTGAGTGGGTGTTTTCCCACCTAAAGCAAGCCAGGCTTAGCTTGAAGACAGGGCCGGGTGGGTGTGTTCCCTTATCTCCTTGAAAGCGCCCAGCGGTTATATAAGAGAAGGTCAGAACTGGAAAGTGAAACATTTTCCGTATGACACTTATTCTCAGGGGTTGTGCACCGGTGCTATATTTTTTTTTCCGGAGGGGGAGAGGAGAGAGAGAAATCAGGGGGCTTGGCTGAGAGGAGGGTAAGCAGCAAAGGCAGGCTTTGAAATTACACCCTATATAAACACTATGAAGAAGTGAGGCGGTGGCCAGTGGGGTTTTCCCCTCCTCCCTTTCTCTTTTTCTTTTTTTACTACGCGTAATTCTACGTGACCTTTTCCATGTGTCTCAGTTTGGAGTCCATTGTGTCTGACCCCATCCTGTATGTCTGTCCAAAGGAAAGGAATGTCGTAAACCACCAATATCAGGGCATCCATGCTCTTCAAAAGGAAGGTGGTGGCTTGGGGGTGGGGGTGGGAGGAGGTGCTGTTTGTGTGCCTATGGGGTGGAGGTGCAGTCATAATAGCAGTGCGGGGGGGGTGTTGGTGCGGGGTTCTGTCCTTCGCCAACTTAACCCTCTTTGGCGTCGTTTTCCTTGCAGACAACCCGGCCGCGAATTGGTTGCACGCGAGATCCACTCGGAAAAAACGGTGCCCTTACACCAAACACCAGACGCTGGAGCTGGAGAAGGAGTTTTTGTTCAACATGTATCTCACCAGGGACCGACGGTACGAAGTGGCCCGGCTCCTGAATTTAACCGAGAGACAAGTGAAAATCTGGTTTCAAAACCGGAGGATGAAAATGAAGAAAATCAACAAAGACCGAGCGAAGGATGAATGATGCTCGGCTTCCAGGTTTAATCACGTTTCAAAGAGCAAAAATCTCCCCTTCCAGCGCAACACAACACAATCCTCCCCTCTTCTGTTCCCAGCATACCCCGAGACTGTGTCCAGGCCTCATGTGTTGTTGCTATTATTATTATTAATATTATTTGGGGTTTCCCACCCCCCTGGGGTTGTTGCTGTTGTTTTGTCCTTGGCCAATGCAGCTCTTGAATGTATCTCGCCAGCGTGCAATGAGATATGGCTGTGCCCCGGTGCTATTATGGAGGTACCCAGATTTATCATTTTCTAATCATAGGGAAGGAAAGGGGGGCATTAAACTCGGAAGGCTGATCTGTTGGCTTGTCTAAATCTACCTGTCCTTCACGAAAGAAAGAAAGAAAAAAAGAAAGAAAGAAACTACCTTTTTAATGCACAATTCTTTACAGACTGTGTAGGTTAGTCGACGTAGTTAATTTTATTTGCTCTTTGCGCGGCAGAGAGAGGTCTGCTCTAATACTTGAACACTGTGTTTTATTGTGGTAATTATATTTGTGACTCAATTTTTTGTGCTTGGGTGCTGTACCAGATGTGATTGTGTAAGCTAGGATTCAATTTGAACTCAGGTTGTTTATTATAAAGGTTGCATAGAGTATAGCTCGGTAGTGTAAGGAGTCCTTTTTTCTGTATCATTATTAGACAGTGAACCTTGGATTGTACCGGGGGAAACCAATTCGTTCGCTCTCTTTCTATCCCAGCTTTTAAACACAAAAGTGGGGGCATGATCTGGGATAGCCAAGGACTTGTGGATCCCCCCGTTCTTTTGAAGCAAGTCATTTTCGTATGCACACTTGATCGATCTATCTATCTATATATATATAGTACAGTCTTCGTCAGTTGTATATATCATAATCTATATATTAAAGAAAGAAACCCTTAATAATCAGGCTAGCTTGAATCTTGTTTTTGCACCCGTGAGCAATTTTCAGATAACGGAGCTATACCTATATGTGAAAAAGAAGGTAACTACCTATGGTTTACGTTTTGAGTTTAAACGAATTTAATTGATTCTTATTGTAATGAAGTTTAATTTTATTGATAATAAATTATACACTCTAAAAAAACCTACCTTTTGGTTATTGTAGATTTGTATCGATTATTAACATAAAAAATAAAAAGTCCTGGACGTTATGTTTATGCAGAAGCTACACTGTATATTTTGCAATAGTTACCTCATGGCCTACTGACCAAATAGTTGTGTCCAGAATGATATTTAACTTTTTGCTAAATAAAATATATATTGATTCTTTTAAAAAAAATATTGTGCTGTTTTTAAGATTATTAAGAAGGCAAAACCTGCCCATCTTTACCTTTGGAGAGCAAGCAAAATCCTAACACTGGTCCTTTAACACGGTTACTCAAAAGGAAGACCCACTCATTTTGATGGAACTTAACTTCCAAGCAGTTATGGTTCACATGGCAAATCCTTCTCCCGAACGAAAACGCGAGTGGAATCTGGGAGAGGAAGACAGTGGAGGCTATCCAACGATTGCAAAGAACCCTGAACTGGAAACTAAGGATATTAACTAGTGTGGGTGTCTTTAATTAGTTAAGATGCTGTGAAATAATAATAATAATAATAATAATAATAATAATAATGAAATTGATAAACATAAACCAAAGCAGCAGGACAAAATTTCGGTGACCTTTTGCAGGAATAATCTAGTTAGTACCCGCCCCCTCTTTCAACTCTCATTTTTAAAAAATCAGCTTGGCTTCCAGAAGCAAATAATCCATAGAGTATGAAATTTCATCCATGTCTCTTCATAGAGAAAGCATTCCCAAAGTAAAACCCATTCCAGCTGCTTTCTGTGTCATCGGTGCAGTCTCGCCCGCGAAATAAACACACCGCATTTGACGCAGCCAAAGATGGAGGCTTATCGGGCAACAATGGACGCTAGAAAGGTTTTTTGGTCGTTGTTTATAAAGTTCAGGTTAGAAAATCGGGCTGGTTGGCAAAGGGGTGTTGGTGATGGAGATTAACCAACGCTTTAACGAATACATGCAGGCGATGGGGTGGGGGTGGGCAGTCCAAACGGATGAACAATAAAAGGAATTCTGACGCGTTGGGAGTTTAGTCGTGCCTCGGGCAGGCTCGGCTCTCCGCTCAGAAATTATTATCCTCCCCCATAAAAAAAAATACCAGTTAGAGCAGAGTTGTGCACAAGACCAAACAGGGACTCCTCTGTAGCTCATTGCAGAAGAGTTTATTTTAAAGGCACAAACAAGCCCGCACACTTCCAGCTAACAAGTCTTAGCTGAAGAAGCTGTTAAGAAAATTCAGAGCCATAGTGTGCCATAAAAGAAAATGACGGCTGTAACCGTTTATGGGGTGTAAAATGCTGCAGGGATGAAGGCAAGAACTCAGTATCTCAGGCTTTGAAAATGTTCGAAGGTTCAGAGAGGCAGGGGAAATCACTTGGAGTTTTGTTGGCCTTTTTAATTTTTATTTTTTAAAATAAAGAAATCTCTGGTAAATTGCATTAAATTAACACGAAGCGAAACAGTTCTTGTCTGCAAAAACAAGGGCGGGGGGGAGTTCTAATTAATGCCTGTCCCAGTGGTTTGGGATGTTGCGACGCCCTCTGTTGTTGCAGACAGTGGGGACTTCAAAGAATCCTCATTGGAAGTGCGTAATAAATGGCAGGTCTGCAAACTGTCTGGAATTCGGCCCTTAATGAGTTTACAACTGTCCAGCCACAATTAAGATTTTCTACAAAAGCCCTTTCATTTGTTTTGTCTGGCTGTTTTAGATAAAGCGGCTCTGCGGAAATAGCTCGTTTTTATTAGCCCTTTCCCCTCTGAAATGTAGGCTGTAAGGTGAACGTTTATCTTTAATGAATATACCGCTGGAACCTTTTCTATAATTGCTACTGCATGGCAAAGTAGATTACCGAAGCGTTTGCAGGGATAGATATCAGCTATGTTTACACGTTCGTCAGATTCCTGCACCTATTTTATTGCTTGCGGTTACCAGGACAGAACAGCAGATGGCAGTGTTGTTCCACGAAAACAAGGGCGATTTCCGCCATGAAGCCAATGGAAAAAATTCTAAAATGTCGACTTCCTAGGAGCAGCATATGCGGTTTTGAAACTCCTGATTTGATATTAACAAAAGGCGATATTATATATGTCCCCACTACTAAAAGGAATACCTTAATGCTTCAGTATTTCGTGTTTCCATATTTAATACTCTTAAAAGTCAATAACTGCAATGGTAAAGTTCTCCGTCTGTAACTATTAGTATTAGTATTATCATGCCAGTTCTGTACAGATTGATATTTTCCCCTCTCAGCTTGAAGCATGCTTCAAGAATACTGCTAATTTGACCGCAGTAAGAGCAAATAATATGTCGTGCGCCTGAGTGCACGTATCAAACACATGTACAGTGAGAATATATTTAAACAGTTTAAGCTTATACAGATGCATTTGGGTGAAACATCCCGTGTATATTGTAATCGACTAATGAAAATGCATAACGGATATATAATGTAAGGGATATATAATGCACAAAGTCAAAGCAGATATTCTCACACAATATAATCGTTTGTATTAACCCGTTCATGGCTTAGGCAATTTACCTGGGAACCTGCCCCAATGAATGCAGCAAGGCTTCTTACCTCAGAGTAGACCTGTATAGGACTGCACTACGCTATATTGAGGCCGCATAAGCAATTTTTATAGCCGGGAATCTCAAAGCGCTTGGAATGCGGATGTTGGCGATTGAATCGCGGCAGAGTTGTTAAAGAAACATGCTCAGTGTGTATTTAAAAAACAACAACAACACACAGTTAGACGTGGGTTTTTAATTTTATTTTTTAAAAAATGCTCCGATCAATTTTTTAAAAAGGTATTTATTAGGAGTAAACAGTTTTCACAATGCAATGGGAGAGCTTTTGAATTGCTGAACGTGGATGGCTCCATCTTAATCTCTTATTCAGCCAGTGATCCCTGCCTTTGGTTCCATTCTGCTCTGGGCCAGAATCCTTCGGAAACCACGTTCTTTTCACCGGGCTCTAAGTTGGTGGCTCGGCAACAAAATTTAATTTGAAAATTATTTACCGGCCACTGAATTTCTTCACCAGATGTCTTTGAGGCAGTTAAAGGCTCCCGCTCGCTTCCTTAAGCAATTTCATCTCTGTGGGACCCGGTTTAATTATGCAGTGCAGATGATAACAGTTCTAGTACACCGCAGGACTAAGATGCCTGTACGAATCTAGGCTAGAACTCTTACGGCATTTTATTTACTCTTTCATATGTGTGTGTGTGTGTATTGTATATATTGTATATATTGTATATATTGTATATATTGTATACACACCTCTCCTTCACTTCTGAATTCTACGGCTCCATCGATTACTATATGAGCCATATACACAAACATACATACCGAAGATAGATGAATGGACTCGATATTTGTGAATAAATAAGACAATCAAACCACAAATGTGTGCCTACTGTACCGAAATTAAGAGCCAAGAAAGACAAATAACATTATTGGGAAAATGCTTTAAGTTTGCGTCTTTTTTCCCTGCCCTGCCAGAAAAAGAAAAAGAATGTTTAGCCGTCAAATGACCCACTAAATGTGATTATCAAACATATTTCATTGTAATTCCTTAATAGGAATCTAGGAGGATAAAACGAACAACCTGATTCCTAAAAAAGACTGGAAATTTATTGTGCATTTATTTAGGATGGAACTTACATATACTGTACATATACAAATCCCCAGTAGAAAATGTCGTTTATATGAACGAAGGACTGGTCATGGCAGCTTTTAATGTTAATTCTTATTATCTCGTGTGTACTTTTAATGTAGCTTGTCCTCAATGACTTCAGCTACAGTAAAATGCAAACACGAATATATACATTTGTTGTAAGTAATTTGGACAATGGGTGATCAATGGAGGGAATAAAGAAGGCAGCTAAAACAGCGGAATAATACCCCAAGTCCAAATTGCAGAAAATTCTTTGCTTGATTCCAAAATAAACCACCCTGCAGAATGACCAGTTGGTGTGTGTGTTTTTAAATCATCCTCTTTATTTTTAACTTTTTATTCTGTGGGTGGAGGTTGTTTTTAAACGAGGTTTGTTTAGAGAAACCTAGAAAGCAGCAGTTTCTAGGTTACAATTTTTTAAAGGGGGCGGAGAGGGCGCTTTGGATGGAATGAGTGACCTAGGGAAAACTTTAAATAATTAAGCAGTATCCATTCCACCGTATCTTTTATTTTTTATTTTTTAAGTGGGATGGAGGATAGAGGCATCTTCTAAAACTGGACACCATTAAATTTCCGCATTCATGTACCGGTAATGTATCCCGGAAACATGGCTTAGAAGTGAATAATCATTTCCCCCCTCTTTTTTGCTATTTATGCTGGAAGTCTGTACTTTGGAGGTGATTCGGAGCTCATTGCGAAGGGACATTCCGTTTAGCGAGGGTTAGTCCTGAGACTTTATTATAAAACGCCCTATTTCCTGGAGGGGAGGCCGTGGACAACGGTGTGTGTGTGTGTGTGTGTGTGTGTGTGTGTGTGTGTGTGATGGCCTTCCCAATTTAAGTAGCGCTTCCAAAAAGTGACTCTAGGCAAACGCGATTTTAAAATATATTTATATAATCCCAGCAGAACTGAGACACACACACGTCTAAGAAAGCAGTGTGCGGTTTGATCCTCCCAGACCTCGGCCTCAAAGCTAGTTGCACTTAACGGTGTCCTTTAAAGACTCATCGATAAAATTCTGTCTTGCTCTTATCAATACCCAAGTCTAGACTGCCGGTTCTGTTTGCTGCTGCTTTCTTCTGGCATCTTGGCTGCGTTGTCACCAGAGGAGCAATTTATTGGCAGAATGCCGTCTAATTCCGCTTCTTTGATCTGGCTCGTCGTCTTTGGCAGGTCTTCTTTCGCCTTCCCTTCTAACTTCTTAGCCCTTTTTTATTTTTCTCAGGAGGCTTTTCTTTCTTTCTTAAAATTTCAAGGTGGTTTTTTTTTTTTTTGAGGGGGTGTTATTATTATTGTAGCCCCGCAATCTTGCACCACACGCCTCTCCCCCCCCCCCCCAACACACACATTTTCTTCCTTTGGGTTTGACAGCCATCTTGGTGCGTTGACCGATCTTGGCGGAATGAAAACCAAAGACGTCTGTCGATGCAACCAGACTGTTCTCTCCCAGGAATAGCAAAGCAAACCTCGAAGGGCGGTCTTCGCGCCCAGGACCGGCTCCAGTCCATATCACTGATTGTGAAGACGAGTTCATGATAATAATGTTCTTCCTTTCCAAAACTGTACACCAACACCTCTCTCCAGCCCCTGTTGCACCCGGGCCTCCTCAGGCCCCTTAGTTGAGCCCTCCCCCCCTCCTTCCCTCCCCTGGGTTGCCAAAATGTGTCCCTGCGAAATATGGGCCAGGCATAATTTTAAACTGGTGAGAACCTCTTTGTACACACAGGATACCAAACACTATAATCTAAAGGGAGAATTTCCGGGGCAATCTCATTGTCCTCCTTCCAGTTTATGATGTGCAATATAGCAGGGCAGTAAAAGCTGTCTTTACCAAAACTCCCCCGTCTGAGGGAAGGAAACTAGTTTTACGATCCGTTTTAAAGGAAGGGTAGGGCGCAACATCCTCAATGGCGTGTCCTCTTATTGCTTGGTGGGGGCCGAGTGTTTAGAAATTAAGGAGCTGCCTTATCCGAGATCTGGGACACACACACACACATACACACATATGCCACCGCTCTCGACACCACCAACACCACCACATAAAACCAGAGGTAGGTATTTATTTACCCCGGGGGCGGGGGAGGAAAAAGAAGAAGCTAGGAGAAAACAAAGAAACCTGAGTCCGCATCCCAAGTCTCTTCGATTTTTTAAAAAAATAAGAGGTGCTGAAAGTCCGTTTGTTTTTATTTTATTTCCCACTGTATCATTTTTTTGGGGTGGTGGTGGCTGAAATATGCATGCTAATGGATAGAAGAAATCCGCACTAGTAAAGGCAGACCGGCTGCATTATCACCGAAAAACAAAACAAAACAAAACAAAACTCCCTCCTGGATATAAACCTTCCTGGAGTAAGAGGAACAGGCAAAAGTAGACACATGCCTTCATCTTTCTTCTTCTTCTTCGTCTTCTTCTTCTTCCTCTTCCTCTTCTTCTTCTCCTCCCCTTTCTTTTTAGGAAAGATACCCACCCGTCCTCCCTTAGATATACTGTTCTTTTTCTCTATTTGTATTTTGTTGCTGAGGAAGAGAATTTGGCAAAAGAGGGAGAGAGAGATGATAGAACACGTATTTAGCAACCCTTCACTCATCTCGCCAGCAGCGATTAGCCGAATATGTCTGTCAATATCTTAATAAATCTGCGAGCAAATTGGGAAGCCCCTCATATAAATATTTCACTCTTTCCTTTCCTGAGGAAAAATAAATGTGAGCAGGATACAGAAGGATTTGCCAAATGAGTTCATTCAGACACACACACACACTTGAGATAGACAGACGCAGATAACACATCCTGCATAATGGTGGTGGTTGTTTTTACTATGGGGGTATTTTTATGGGCACCTTGCCTTTGTATTTTTTTTTAATGTACTTTCCCTCCCGCAGCTCTACCCCTCCCCTTTCGGAATATGGAGGAGCTGAAAGGCGGAGAGAGATAAGAAACAAGAAAAACAAACAGGAAACATACATGGAAACTCAGAGTTGTGTTTGTGGTTTATTTCCAGCTCTGCAGGAAATATGACTGAGGAGTGGGGTATATGCAGGAGCAGAACAGAAACGCTTTTTCCTCCCCTTAAAAGACAAAAAAAAGACGAGGAGAAAGGGGGTAGAGAGGATAAAGATGCAAAGAGGAAAATGTGGATTTCAAAACACTGGTTGACGTTTCTTATTCTAGCTCCCCTCTGCCTCGGGGCTGATCTCGGCGCTCCCTCGGCTTTATCCGGAGTCGCTCCGGGAACCCGGGCCCCGTTGGAGCTGCCCGAGCGGCCAAGTCTCCCCCTCGCCTTCGAATCGGCCAGGCGTCGGCTCGATCCTCTTCCCCTTCCATCATAGGACCTTGTGAGCCACCCTGATCTATACCACCTGTGATGCAGGAGGAGATTGGAGGATGGGGTCATATGACTGGTCACGTGGTGGAGGCAGCTCAGTCCAAAAGAAAATGGGGTTTGGTGTAAATCTGGGGGTGTAATGTTATCATATATCACGCTACCTCGTAAAACCGACACGGAAGCCTACCGGACCACAAATCACCGGTCAAAATTATGAGTTCTTCGTATTATGTGAACGCTCTTTTTAGCAAATATACGACGGGGGCTGCTTCTCTCTTCCAAAATGCGGAGCCCACGTCTTGCTCCTTTGCTACCAACTCGCAGAGAAGCGGCTATGGACCAGGCGCTAGCGCGTTCACCTCCTCCATGCCTGCCTTGTACAACGTGAACAGCACCATATATCAAAGCCCGTTCTCTTCCGGATACAGCCTGGGCTCCGATGCCTACAACCTGCATTGCTCCTCTTTTGATCAGAACATTCCCGTCCTTTGCAATGACTTAACCAAACCCAGCTGTGACAAAGCGGAGGACAGCAACCTGCACAGCCAGGCGGAGAGTAATTTCCGGATATACCCCTGGATGAGGTCTTCAGGTATGGGGGAGGAAGGAAGGAAGGAAGGAAGGGGGGTGGGGGACAAAACCGAGATGCGGGCGGGGAAGGCCGGGCGGAGGGGGGGGCGTTGGATTGAAAGCGCTGCCAAGCAGGCGAATGGCAACTTCCACGCGGGTGCGGGGGCAACTTCCACGCAAGGAGCGCGCGCGCGCCTGCCCTGCCTGCCTGCTTTTAATTAGAGCAAGCGGCGCCATTGCGCAGAAAGCCCGTGGCATTGTATGTAAATGAGTCTCATAAAACTTTTTATTGCCCAATTAATGGGTTCTAGCCTCGTAAATTTATTTAACTCTCTCTCTCTTTCTCTTTCCCCCCCGATATGGAATGGGAGCGTTGGGTTGAATTTTTGGTCGAGGCCCTAGGGAAATATGGGAAGGGTGATGGCGAAGGTGGCCGGAGACTGGCAGGGGGAGAGCCTCGCTTCTCCTCGCCCGCACTGGCGAAGGGGGGGCGGGTAATGCTGAGTGAGAGAAGAGCCGGGGGTGCGGACTGGGATGGGGTGGGGGACGTATCAGAGAGAGAGAGAGAGAGAGAGAGAGAGAGAGAGAATATGAGGGAGGAAATGGAGCTTTCTATTCTTGGAGTGAGCGAAAACGTTTGATTCCCTCTTATTTATCTGACCCACCCTCCGCAAGAAATATAGACGGTCAGTGGTAGGCATGTCAATAAAGAAAGGGGTTATTGGAGCGACGCAAATCCGAACCTGCAGTTAATTTTGCGGGAGGACAGGAAGACCTGCTCTTTTAACTGGGAGCGAAAGCGAGCCCTGAGTTCCAGACACCGCTTTGACTTCCGCCAGAGTCTGGAATGTGGCGGGCAAAACCGGAGAGAGTTTGCTTTCAGTCAATCGCCCTCTTTTCCCCCGCCTGGGTTTGTTTATTTAAACTACATGGTTAAAACCCGAATTCCTCCACCCACCCAGTCTCTCCCGGCTTGTCGCCTTTGCCCGGGGCACTTGAGGGAAAGCTAAGCCTTCAGTTTTTAGTATACTGTGCAGGAAGTCAGTGGGATTTGCTTCCGAGTAGACGTGTCTCAGAATTGGACGGTCAGCTTCTACCCACTTGGCCTGGAAGTTACGCCTTGCTGGACTCAATGGAGCTTACTTCTGAGTAGACAGGAGCAGGCTTGAAATGCTGCTGTTCCTTTCCGATATATATATATATATATATATTGGGGTGGGGGTGGGACTCGTGTGTGTGTGTGTGTGAGAGAGAGAGAGAGAATAGGAAATAGGAGGGTTTTGTTTTTTATTTGTTTGCCAGTGTTGTAAAACTATTTCCTGGTCCTCTAACTTCGGTGGTTCTTTCCCGGCCTCCCCAAATCCTCTCTTCAGGTCCGGATAGGAAGAGAGGGCGTCAGACCTATACCCGTTACCAAACTCTGGAGCTGGAGAAAGAATTCCATTTCAACCGCTATCTGACCCGGCGGCGGCGGATAGAGATCGCCCACGCCCTGTGCCTGACCGAGAGGCAAATCAAGATTTGGTTTCAAAACCGGCGCATGAAATGGAAGAAGGAACATAAAGAAGAAGCTGGAGGCGGCGGCGGCAGCAGCGGCGCCCCGGCGGCCAACGACAGCACATCAGCTACTGCCTCTGTGGAGAAAGTAGAGGAGGAGGAGGAAGAAGAGGAAGAGGAAGCGGAATGAACGGACAACTCCCCCCCCCCTCTCCCGGGCTCTCGCTCGCCGGAGCCCAGCGCTCGTCTTCTGTATGCACGTGACATTGTAAACGCTCTCTTCAAATAATAATTAAAATCTATTTAAAAAGGAGACCCTTGCAATCGCCAATTCCAATTATAAGGGATGGGGGGAGAGGTGAGTTCACCTCGACTGGCCCTTCCGCATTCCCAGAGCATCCGAGACGCAGCTCTGTGTAAACTAAGAGTAAAATTATCACTTGAACACCCGGACCAGTTTGGCTGTGAATGTCCAAACCTGTTGTATTATTATTTTTTGTTACATAATAGACGGATAGATTTTTCTCCCCGCCCTGGTATCTGTGAGGGGAGGGGGGTGTCGTAACTTGCACATAATAAGAAAAAGAAAAAGGGGGGAAAACGCTGGGGGAGCCCCATATAGTTTAACTTCCAAATAAACTACCTGACTGTACTGGTCCCAATCAATCGCTAAGGGACAAGTGCATTAGGCTCACACTCAAACTACCTAATTTACGCTGAGGATCGATGTACTTCCAGTTACTGAATTTTTTTGTTGTTGTTTCTTTGTTTAAAATAACCTGAAGAAGGATTTGGGGTGGGTGGGGAATTTTGAATTCCATGCGGAAGAAAACAATGACTTAAACCACTACACTCAGCTGCAGTGATTTGTACTACCTATTTTCCAAACTACCTATTATCTAGCTCCGCCTACCTATCTTCAAAATTATGCTGTATTTTATTAATGCAAAAAGGAAAGACGACAATACTTAAAGCGGACTTCCTTGTAGGACCTCAAGCGTAGCGCATAAGGTATAAAAGGGAAAACAATTGAAACGGGAGGTCTTCCCAAGTCCGCCACAGGATTTGATGCCTGGTATTGTTGAGTATAATTTAAAGTTTTTAAATAATAATAATAATATATTTATTCTAAGGCTGTTATTAAGTGGAAACAATATGCTGCAATGTAAGCTTTCGTCACACAAGTCTTAGCTAGGCCGAATTTGATGGTTAAACCATCGCCAAGGATTTGTACAAAGCGGTTTCATCGCGTCCTTTTTGTGCGGCTCTGTTCAAGCCCGATTTAGTGTTCCCTTTTGAGTTTTCTACCATTCTGCTTGATGCAACTGAAAAAAACACAAAGCAACAAATTGAAAAAAAGATGTGAATTTAAGCACCGGCCACATATACCTATTCTCAGCCACCTTATTCCCTTCTCCCTATTGCCAGAATGTGTTAAGTCTGAAGCAGCTTTAATTTTCATAACAATGAACGAATATTGTATATTGGATCGAGGGAGGCTTGAGCCATTTCTGATTTTCTTGGACCTCATTGATAAATATACCATGTCATCTGCTGGGAAGCCTGTACTTGGTTAAGCAAACTTTGTAGCATGAAGCAACGTTGACAACTCTGTATAAATAAATTCTGCCTTGAAAGTTTTGGCTAAACTTTATTCATAAAATGTACGTTACAATGTGTTTTTCCACTGTGAACATTGAGGTATCTCGTGTTAAAATTGAAGGGGGCGGGAAGTGCGTGTGTGTGTGCGTCTGCGTGAATACTCTTCGGAGGTGCTGTCGTGTATCGCCCACGTTCGATGTGTTTTATGTTACACAGAAATAAAAAATGCTTGTTGACAAAATATCCTCTCTTTTTTATTATTAAAAGTTACATATCTATATAAACATTTATATACACGTCTGAAGGGAAGTTCTCTTTCTGGCACACATGCAGACCCGCATCCAAATGCGAAAGTCCCGAGTATATACAAAACAACCCAAAGCAACTAACGATAACTCTCTCAACCTGGTACTTGGAAATGAATGTTAATATAATCACTAAGATCTGCTCTCACAGTGATCTACTTTATATATGAGAATGAGCGAGCAGGCTGCTAGCCGCCCAGCAAGCAAACCCAAATATTACTTGGGCGGAAATCTCGTGGATTCCAATCAGAGTTCCTTCCCCATAGTATAATGGGGATATAAAAAGAGAGATTTTGCTTAAGATGAGTCTACTGGTGCGTTGGAAAACATACATCTGATTTCGAAGTAGGTCCTAATTAACTAATTCAGGATTTGTTTTTCAAACGCATCTCGCGAGGTATATATAAACTGGTATAGTCCGCACTTTGGAGAGGAAGTCACTGAAATTTCTGGAATGGAATGACTATAAGGCGCTTTAAGGCGCCGTCTGGAGGGTGCACGCTAGCCCCCGGAACACGGAATTAAGGACAATGCCATTAGCAAAGATATAACACGTATAGAACCTATTTCCATAGCATATTCCCAAAATATTTCTCCTACGAGCAATTTTTCTCCCCGCCCCCTTTTTATTCATTTAAAGCAAAACTGAGTGCTATCTCTCATATATATATATATATATGGAAAGATAAATAAGAGTGGTGAGTGAATAAGGGCAGATTTCCTGCTGCTCTGTTAAAAGCGTGTGGCACAGTTTTAATATTCCCCCTATTATAAAATACAATTCAAAAATTGTCCAGACTGTGGGTCCTTTAAAAAATCTAGAGCTTGCCTCTCTGGTAAAATGGCGCCTCTCTAAGTCCTGCCTCTTTCTTAGTGAGGAGGAAAGAGCCATAAATCCGTTGTTGTTTATGAAAATTTACAACTTTGCAATACAACTTTATGAGTGGTTCCGTGCCTCCATTGGTTGCCGATGGTCATGTGGATGGCAACCGTGAACATGAACTTTTTTATAATTTCCCTGGCGAGAATAGAGCTGCATTCTTTTGCTCAGCTCTGTCCTGCTTCGGATCTCTCTGGCTTTTCAGTTCCCCCCCACCTCCACCACCCCCGATTTTCATTTGTCCTTTGTAAGTCAATAGGGAGCCGGGTGGATGGAGGTTCAGAGCAGGCAGTCGCCTAGAACGCAGGTCTTGGATGGCAATTTCCAGTTCCTCCGCCGGAAGGTGTGGCATATTGGATTCAAAGCGCTGGAGTGGCAGATTTTCAACTCGCAACCTGGCTAATTTCCTGCTTCTTCTGGCACCAAAAGGAGGGCGATTCGTCTCCGGTGCAGCCAAAGCGACAGCTGTCAAAGTAGCAGCGGCTCCTGCAAGCCAGAACCTAAAAAGGTGAGAAATTCAGAGAACTACCAGCATGAGCGAGCAACCTCTGCTATAACATTAGACTAGACAAACCTGGAAAATCAGCATCCTTCTCTGAAACAGATTAGACATAGAATGTTGATCCGCCAAAGGTGCGATGGTGCCAATTGACTCTCTAAGCTTCCTGGATTGCGCCGGGTGCAATCAAAACAGACCAGAACTGCTAGTGAGCCTGTAGATATGCTATTTTAGCACCGGCTGCAGCTACATTTGCTTAAGAATAACCTGTGGTTTTTTTGAAGCCACGGGAGATTTTAGAAACCGTCTCATTAAATGTTGCGTTGATAGTAAGGCAGAGCTGGAATGCTTCTAAAATGTGTATTTTAGCAAAGCGGGTGCGTTTTGACTTTTTGTGTGTTTAATGCGTGGTTGTTGTTGCTATGAGATCTGTCAGTGTAAATAGAGAGTTTAGGAACTTATCGCTTCATTTTAGATGTTAGGTGGAAATTAATTCCGGTAACGTCAGAAGATAGATTATGCATGCACTGGATTGCTCCATCTTCAGATGAAGATGTACGTACAATAGCATGGTAGTCACGTATATCGTATGGCGCCTGGATAACATTAGGAGCTTTTTAAAGTCCCGAAATGCAGCTTGTTCCTTAATGATAACTAAGGATTAAATGCAATAAGGAAGCTTACTTCAGAATCACAAAATGCGGCTTTTTGTTTGGTGGAGACGGGGGAGTGTTTGTGTGGATGTGAGAGAAAAACAGGTTAATGAAATAATAGAAAATTATCCTCAAAATTGGTATAGGTGGAGGGATGTGGTGAAGCAATATTTTCGTAAGGGTACGTAATTTTGTGTGATGCGCCCATTTTGTGTCGTCTCCTTAAAATGGTTTTCTGGGAGGAAAATATTTCGGATTGCATATCTTCAAATATTCATTTCAGTTGTTAAAGATGAGAAGCAATTATCTTATGTGTTCAGAACGATGGGTGTCCCCCCCCCCACTTCTCCGAGCTGATAAAGAATTACGTGTGCATTGCATTGCAGTATCTGGCTGACTGCAACCGCAGTGAATGTCGGATTATTTATCGCCAAGTACTCAGTGCTGCCACTGTGTGGTTGAAGGTGGTACTGGACGCAGAGTGAGCTGGGGCAACCGCCAGTATCACACACACACACATCCAAACACACACACAGCCCCGCAGAACGTAGCGGGTGGTTCTCCATTGGAAAACTCTATTTGTAAAAATCGGCCTTCAGTTGCCCACCTCAAGCCGTATCGCTTTAAGGATTCTTTTTCCGCGAGAGCTTAAAAAATTTACGTGGCAGACGGGATTTGAAGGGGACACCCCGGAAAGATATTGTTGTTGAACTGAGTGTTTTGGCGTGGTGAATTGGAAGGACCAGGAAGGGCTACTAAGACGTTCAGTCTAAACAATAGCTGGGATTGCGAGAACTGTTTGGATTAGCGGCTGTTAGTTAAATGTTGCTTTCTGTTACATCTCCGAACATAACAAGGATTTGCAAGTGGATTTATACCTTAGGGAAACGGAGCTTTTAAGCTTAAGAGGCCCCCCGCACCTGTATTCTAACTTTGTTTGACTTATGGCTTCGACTGAATGAAAGCCCGAGAGCAAAGGGGGTGGATGGGGGAAATCCTCGCACTGTTAAACGGGTAGTCACACATTTTAAATCGATGGGTACTGCTATATATATATTTTTTAAAAAGTTTTGGAGTTTTGCATGTTTTCTTTTAAACGGGGCCACTCCAGCTGTTTACCTTGCTTGGGTTAGGAATGTGTCTCCGGGAGCTTGTCTGGGTTCATTTGAGAAGCTGCAGTCTATGGCAAGGCTTCTGCTTAGCAGATGTGGGTCTCGGAACCTCTCGTTGGGGAGGGGCGACTTTTTCTACTGGCAGACCTTGATATATATAAATTTTGTACATTGGACTGCAACCATGACATTATTATTATTATTATTACATTGCATATTGCTAAATAACCTCGTTAAGAGACCTGGCGAGCGTTGCATGCACTTTCCTACTTTAAATTCTGCTTTATTTGGTTCTTGGTGAGTAAAAGAAAAATGAGGGCGATGCCTTCGTTATATTGCGCTGAATTTACAGGCACTTCCCTACAGTTTGTATATTTACTGGCTGCTGGTCTTTGCAGGATGATTTGAGAGTGGCATTTTGGTTCATTAAAACTGATGGGAAGGGGAACCTTAGCACAACTTCCTGAAAATATTAATAGAGAGTGAAGAAATGTTTTACCTGTCCTTCAACCGTATGAAGTTTCCCACTTTCGAGTGCCTTGTGCATCCTGACGTTATATATCTGCACTGTAAAAATGTTTGAAATGTGATTTACTCATTTTTTGTTGTTCTCGGCGAATGGTTAGCTTCCTGTTCCTCTGCTTCTGAGCTCTCCCACCTATACTATCGATTGCATTTATAGGTAACCTTTTAGCGGAAAGATTGGGGAAGTCCTTTGAAAGCACTCGCCATTATTGGAGGTAATCGAGAATTCCCTGTGAAACCCCGATGAGGGGCGCAAACAATGCACACGGTGGGGAGACGTTTTAACTTACTGCTGTTTTATAGATCCCGTAATGGGACTCCGGAAATGAAACAAACCAGATTGCAACTGGGACAAAGCTCACGGCTTTCAAGCCAATTGAGGGATAGTTTTTAAAGCGCCCATTCAAAAACCCGAGTCTGTGGAGGGAAGTGTAAATCGCTACCCAGGCAATTGGCACAGAAAACATTTTGTGGGCCTCTGTCCTAAAGACACTTTACTTGGGACCAAAGTCCTAATGGGCTCAGGGGGGGGGGGACTTACTTCTGAGTAAACGTGCTTAGAAATGAATCAAATGTATTAAAAGCTTGGATCTATCAGATGTTAGCATTAGTACCTCTGCTACCTTAGGCCTAGGCGTACCGCCTTCTTTTCATCACCCTAAAATTTCCACCACGTTTGTGGGGGAGGGATTACAGTGTGGTGCTTGCTAGGTGATGTCTGGGGGAGTCCACAACAGCCAGGTTAAATATAAAGATGAAAAGGGGCAGCCCCCCCCCCAAAGTACTGGCTATAAAGGGTATTTGTGCAGAGTTCGCCATGACGGGTTTCCCCTCTGCCTGCCAGACGGAGACAAAAACAAGGACTAAAGCTGCAGATATATTCCTTGACGAGTTAAAAAATGTCAACAAGAAAAACAATGTCGTGTTCTCAGCTACTTTGGAGAGGATTCCTTTGCCAAAAACAGTAACAAACAAAAAAAAAACCACCCACTGCCAACACACAATAACAACCACGTCGAGACATCCTCACTTCTTTCCTGCTTTCCGATTTACTATTAAAATTGTCTGGGTCAAGCTTAACAGACGAGATTCTTTTCCTCAGCCACCAAGAGGCTCAAAGAAGAAGAATCATTGCAGAGAGACTTATCTGTGCGCGTGTGTTTTTTTACTAACCAAATAAAACTAGGCTAAGCTGTATTCGATATTATTATTATTATTAATTATTATTATTACCTGAATCGAAACCTTTTGGGAAGCCTTGTATGACTAAGCTTATTCTCCCCGCCCCGCCCCAGACTAGGAATATGTGAAAATAATTGAAGCTTTTAATTGAGGTGGTTTCTTTTTAATTCGGTCAGTGAGCAGAAGTTCCCGTTTTCGAACTTGTTTGACATTTTCTTATTATATTTTTAAAATTCTTAGATACCACATAAATCAACCAACCGGCTGCCTTGCTTTCATCTTCCGGGGAGGGGGGAGGCTGAAGGGTCCTGGCGGGAGAATCAATAGGGAGTTTCCTGGGTGCTGCTTCATAACGCCTTCAGTCTAGACACCCTAACTTTGCAGAGGTGCCTCTTTTGCTTACAGATGCCAGCGGGGCTGTGCTCTGGGTGTCTACAATCACCTTGATTTATTTATCTATACAACAACACACACACACACACACACACACACACACACACACACACACACAATTCCTCTCTAGCCTTCCCCCCGCCTCCAGCTTTTTGGCACAGCGGACGATAACCGCTGTTTCCAAGTTGCCATCCATCTGCCGGGCTCCGGCGGCGGCTGAGATACGGCGGCTGGGGGGTGTTGTTTGTAACTTTGCTGGTTCGGTGGCGGCGGGTCCCAGGGGAGAAGGGCCCTCCGCCGCTCTCTCATTGGTTGCCGAGCCATCAGCTGGTGCTATTTGCTGCTGTCGCTTTTGGCGCTCGGCCATCCAGAAACAAACCACTTCGATGACTACTAATAGTTATAGCCAGATGTACTAATACACAACAAATCACGGTCCGGGATCTGGGGAGCGTCAATGAGTTCCTATTTTGTGAATCCCACTTTCCCGGGGAGCCTGCCTAATGGGCAGGAGTCGTTCCTCGGGCAGATCCCCATCTACCCAGCTGGGTACGAGGCTCTGAGGCACTTCCCAGCCTCTTATGGGGCCGGCAGCCTGCAGGACAAGACCTACTCCTCACCTTGCTTCTATCAACAGTCCACCAACACGGTCATCGCCTGCAACCGGGCATCCTATGACTATGGAGCCTCTTGCTTCTATCCAGACAAGGACTTGGGCGGCGCCTCCTCGCCCTCCGGCAGTGGCAAGCAAAGGGCCAGCCACCCTGGGGACTATCTGCCCTGCTTTGCTTCTGACCAGCAGTACAAACCCGAGAGCGGGCCGGCCAAAATCCTAAACGAGGAAGGAAGCGACCGGAAGTACAGCAGCCCTGTTTATCCTTGGATGCAAAGGATGAACTCGTGCGCTGGTAAGTCACAGGGATGCAAGCAAGACTCAAGGGGTGGGCGGGCGAGTGGGGGTGAAAGTGAAGGTGAGGGGGGAGAGAGATAAAGGGCTTTGGGGGAGGATGGAGGAATATGAGAGGGGTTTTTTTTTGCAGGGGGGTGAGCTGGATCTATGAAGACCAGTGTCACCTGCAAGCAAATGGGTAGACTGAGATTCCTCTCCAGGTTCTCCTCTATCCTGACACTCTGCTGGGCGGGGTGAGGTCGGGTGGGGGGGCTACTTTGAAAAAGTATGCATTTATTTATTTATTTTAAAGGAAGGGTCGCCTAAAGTCTGAGTCAGCAGATAAAGGTTGCAATGCCAAACAGTCATACCTGAGAGCCAGTTCGGTATAAAGTACTAAGATCTGGTGCTCGTTGTAGGCTTGGTTGGTGGTTACTGCTGCTACTAGTACGAAATAATCATGATTAAAAGAAGCCCGCTTCCATGAGAGCCAAAGACTGATGCAAAGGAATATGCCCTCTGTATTGACTGCTCAATATATTTGCAAGACAGATCCTCTCTTCCCCCTCCCTTCACCCACTCATTAGTGTGTAAGTATTAGCTACTGAATGCACGTTTTCCAGTAATATGTGCACGCACACAAATCATCTGCTGGGGGCGGAGGAGGTGGGAAGAGAGGAAACTTGATCAATGGCCAAATTCCCATTGATTTCAATGGATCAGAATTTCATCCTTTGTTCCTCTTAAAGGAAAAGATTGGAAAGGAGAGGAAAAGACATGCAAAATTTAAACTCCACAACGCATTTTTATTCAGGTTTTTCCTACATAAGTTTACCTTCTCCGTTGTGAGTTTGTTTCTTCTGGGGTCACCACACTGCAGTAAATATAAGACTTTGGGGTGGGGGCTTCTTGCTTTAAGAATGCATATTAGGATTTATTTCTTTGTAATTATACTTCGTTTCTAGGCTGTCATCCTAAGAGCACTTACTTGGAAGTAGGCTTTACTGAAATCAATGGCCTTGCAAATAAATGAGCTCAGGAACTGGTATCTGTTGCTTTAATTATTATGAAAGGTCGTGGTCCAGACAAAGTTAAGCACTTTCAGGTCGCACTTATTTTAAATAGAGCAGAGTTAAGGACGTGCGCCTGCTCGAGTATGCCTCTGAAAACCAATGGAACTGCTTAACTTTGTCCTGCCCAGGTACCCTATCGGCGTGATCTTAGGCAGGTTCACTTATAAGTAGGTTCTGTTGAGTTCAATGGGATTTACTCCCAGGTAGATGGGTATAGGATTACAGCCTGAGTTTTTGCCGACGCCACAGCGAGATAGAAATGTTACACACCCCACACAGAGTCAGTCACAGCGTGTGCATATGTGCCCGTTTGCGTGCCATATGAGGGTATTTTCTGCGTGTTGAGCGCGGAATTTTAGCCCCGACGTCAATACGAACATTCGCTTCCCAAAGTTCTGCTACCAACTAGATATCCCTGGGAGATATTTAACCCGGGAAACGTTGAGGAAGGGACTGAACTTTCCCCACGCATCTCCTTATATCTTCCTATGCAAGGATATGGGCTGGGGGTGGGAGGGGGGGGGGAACACACGCACCAGCGCAGCTCGAAGCAGTTTTCCTCCATTGTTAACAGAAAGCACGAAGGCCTCTCCAACTGAGACCATCTTGTCTTTCCTTCCATAGGTGCAGTATACGGAACGCACGGCAGACGGGGCAGGCAGACCTACACCCGATACCAGACCTTAGAGTTAGAGAAGGAATTTCACTATAACAGATATTTAACCAGGAGGCGACGGATTGAGATAGCGAACGCTCTCTGCCTCACTGAGCGGCAGATTAAAATCTGGTTTCAAAACAGGAGGATGAAATGGAAAAAAGAAAGCAAACTCATCAATTCCACCCAGCCGGGAGAAGAAACAGAGGAAAAGTCAGGGGAGTAAAACAATGCTTACAACGAGGCGGGGGTGTGTGTGGAGTTGCCACCATACCCTTTCATTAGTTGCTCTTTACATCTCCCCTTACCCCTCCCCTCTTATGTTCCTCCAGGAATATATAGATATAGATATAGATATAATTCGTATTGTAATGGTTCTGACGACTTTCAAAGGCTTGATTAAAATATATACCTATTTATATATATCTATATATATTTGCAATTAACTGTGAATTTCTGGATCGGTAGGATAAATGGTCATGGAAGGGAGTGGTGTACATAGTCAGGTCTCCAAAGTGGAGGTTAGGATATGCTTCAGATGGTATCAAGATTCTTTAAAAAAACCAAAACCACACCAAACAAACTTTGAAGTGGAGCATCGGTGTTAATATGAAGGACTGGAAATTGGTGGAATTGCTTCCAGGGACAAAAAAAGGGGGAGCGGCGGTCGCTTGCTCAGAGGGAAACCTCCATATTCTAGGACGGCCAGAGATGTACAGGCGTCTTATTTATGTCTTTGCTGCTAACTCGGGATAGATTGGTGCCATTGTTCGTCTCCTTTTCACCTCAGACCTGAGCCTATTCATTCGGATTTTTTAAAAAAATACAAAACAAAAAATAAAAAGACTCCATGATTAAAGTTGCCACTATGGCGACTTTATGGCACCGAAATATTACAGTACAGATTAGGAAAAGCGTGTTTCCTTGTACATATGATTGAAATATATAGTTAGGATCCCACCCCACCAAAAAAAAAAAAAATAGGGAAAGGGGAAATTTCAATAATGAGATTAAGCGTTTTTCTGTTGTTGTTTTTTTAAATACAGCCTTGAAGTGTTGATGAACAGCTATGGATGTTTCAAAATGGCCACATATTTGCGTACTGTTTTGTTCTAATTAGCAAAAGCCTGCATTAAAAAACCCCAACGAAGCTCAAAATACTGTAATTAAAAGCACAAAAAGTAAAGGGAGAAGTATCTCTAAGCAGGCAGAGATGGGTAGAGTTCGAATTAGAGGAGTGTGTGTGTGTGTGTGTGTGTGTGTACACATGTATATGCACGCTCACAAACACAACTTGACTATCGAGGGTAACTTTGATTTCTGAGTACTATTGAAGGAGTAGGCAGAATACTGAATCGTGGCTGTTTCCCCAACCCCCCCTTCACATTTGGTTAAATTTCTAAACAACGACAGTAAATGATGATGGTGATGGAAGCAAAGTCGAAATGTAGCTACTATTCTATGCTTTTATTGAGAATGTGTGGAAGAAGGATCCGGCGCAAGCACGGTTTGCTTTAAATAACAGTGACAGTGAAAATGTGTCTTTATATATGCGATTAAGTGTGTTTGGCGTCCTCTGTGTATATGTGGAAATGCAAAGGTCTTTTTCGATACTATGAAAAGTGTACTTTTTGGGCAATGACTATGAATACTAATAAAAGTGAAATAGTGAAATCCTACCCCTCAAAAGATCACTACCATTATATATAATATGTTGTTGTAAAATTGGGTGGGGGAGGGAGAGAATATGCCATGGTGTCATAAAATGATACTGGGGTTCGCTTGCTTTTAGTTCCATGCTGTTTAAAAGAGGCTTAGAGAACAGCTCAGCTGAAGGAAATTTTGAAATCGGCACTGATCTTTAAAAATACACAGCGATCGATCCCCAGCAACCCCTTTTATCCTGGTTTTTCAAGCGCCTGAGAAAAAAGGACACCATAGTAATTGTTGCTAGAATGTTGGGGTTTATTGCTTTCCTCTAATTGGCTTCAATAATAATTAGTCTTTTCCCTTCCTCCCGCATAAGAAATCCCTATATATATGTGTGTGTGTGTGTGTGTGTGTGTGTGGCTCTCTCTATTTATATAGCTATTCTTTGTAAAGAATCTCTAGCAGAATGGGGGATGTTAGAAAATAATAAAGGAATGTGCAAGATTAAAAGGAATCTTATTGAAAAGGAAAGGTTGAATATATTATTTCTCCCCTATGCTTCTGAATTCTTGCTGGTTTTCTGATCTGGAGCCGATAGCCCTTAAAAATTGGTCCATACTAATGGAACTGTGTGAGAGATGCCATAATTTTGCTATAATGGGCTGTAACCTCGATTCGACCCCAGACTTGCGAGTAAGCCCCTGGCTGGGCCGGAGGGGGGGGGGTGTTGCGGAGGTGAAGATTCCGCTTTCCTCCAGAGGGTGGCGCACGAGGCCGACTGACAGTCGCGAGCTGGCGGCCGGGTGCGCGCGCCGGTGCGCGCGCCCCAGCCCTTCCAGCATCCACCCAAACTCCCCCATTTAGTGCACGAGTTTACCTCTAGAGGTCATCAGGCAGGATTTACGACTGGACAACAAAAGCACGTGATATGAAGCCGTACCCCATATTTGGGTGCCTACGTAGGAGGGAACCAAGTACATGTCCCAGTCATTTCCATAATTCATCATAAATTGTGCTAGGGTGCTATAGACGCACCAAAAAACGAAGCAAAGAGCCACAAATCAAGCCCCCCGATCAAAAAAAAAAAGCAACAAAAAAATCCCAACCAACAACAACAACAAAAAAATCATCATCAACAAAAAAAACAAATGAGCTCTTATTTTGTAAACTCATTTTGCGGTCGCTATCCAAATGGCCCGGACTACCCGTTACATAATTATGGAGATCCCAGTGCCGTGAGCGAGCAATTCAGGGACTCCGCCAGCATGCATTCCGGCAGGTACGGCGGCGGCGGCGGCGGAGGCTACGGCTACAATGGCATGGACCTCAGCGTCGGCCGCTCGGCTTCCAGCCACTTTGGGGCAGGGGGCCCCTCGGAGAGGGCTCGCAGCAGCTACCCCGCCAACGCTGCCCCCGAGGCCAGGTACGCCAGCCGGGCGGCGGCGGGGGCCACGGGGGCCACTCACTCGCCTCCGCCTGACCCTCTGCCCTGCGCCGCCGCCGCTGCCGTGGCGGCCACCTCGCCTGTCAGCGGCGACGCTCATCACGGCGGCAGCGTGAAAAACTCCACGGCCAACTCGAGCAGCACTTCGTCCACTTCCAGCAGCGGCGCCAGCAGCAGCAGCAGCAGCAGCACCAGCGCCAGCAGCACGGGCAACAACCCCCACCACCTAGGCAGAGAAGGGCTCAGCACGTCGCCAGACACCGAGGAGGACGCCCCGGCCAGCAGCGAGCAGGCGAATCCCCAGCAGAACGACCAAAGCACAGCTCCACAGCCGCCACAGCCCCAGATCTACCCCTGGATGAGAAAACTGCACATAAGCCATGGTAAAAAGCATGCCCGGATTACAATATCTATGTATGAGAGAGGGGTGGGGAGGGGGGAGTGTGTGTCGAGGGAGAGAGAAGGTAGATTGTTTGCAAAAGAGGAAACGTGGTGGGCAAGAAATGTGCTTTCTCTTGCTCTCTGTGTTCCTCTGCCTGCTTGTCTGATCGTCTGGTCTATGCGGAGGAAATCCGCCCCCCAAACCCGGTCCCTCCTGGAAAAGGCAAGTGGGACTTTGGAAATCGGGGTAGGGTGAGCCAAGCTCTCTTTAATAACTCTTCTAAGTCTCCCGGACTGTGAGGTGTAATTGAAATTTTGGGGGAGGGGAGAGAGAGGGAAAGCGTGTGTGTGTGAGAGAGAGAGGGATCTTGAATAGTGCGTGTCAGTCCTTGTAATTTATGACGAGGACCGTCCAGTGAAAAACACCGTTACTAATTATATCAAAAAAGAAGTTGAGTAAATAATGTGTGTGTGGGTGTGTGTGTGTGTGTGTGAGAGAGAGAGAGAGAGAGAGAGAGAGAGAGAAAGGGGGTGTGGGGGGAAAATATTTTTTCTGGGAGGGAAGTAATTCGAGGGAAAACTTAAGAGAGGAGATTGGAGGGGGGCAATTGGGGGGGGGCTTAGTCCTGCAGTCCATAGGGCACTTGGAAATTCTTCCCAGTGACTCCCAGATACAGTGTGTTCAGATCAGGAGTGGGACCAGAACTTCAGAGGGTGCTTGGTTTGGGTGTTTATGTTTGTGTAAAACTCACTCTAGTAACAACTTGCCCAGGACCCTAAGCATACTGTCAGGAGGAAGTAAGTTCTCATGAAGCCAAATGGTTTTGTTTTCTTTTACTTGCGAGTAGTAATATGTTAAGGATCGGGGTGCAGAAGGGAGCTGCCACCCTGTCTTCCCCAGATTAAATAAAATTCCTCAGAAGAGGCAAAGGGGAGGCTGCTCAAATTCAGAACCCGGGATATTATTTGAGGGAAGGGGAGAAGAGATAGATGCGGGTGGAGAGAGAGAGAGAGAGAGAGAGGAGAAGGAGCTACTTGTTGATCATTTTCTCCCAACTTAATGCCCATACCAAACAGAGAAGGAAATCAGGGAGAGGAAGATTGGAGAGGAAGGATCCGGGGTGGCGGCGGTGGGACGTCTCCTCTTGCCAAAGGTCTAAACCGTGTCCTCCCCTTTCTATTTTTTGTTGCAGACAACATAGGGGGTCCCGAAGGGAAAAGGGCTCGGACTGCTTACACCCGCTACCAGACCCTGGAGCTGGAGAAAGAGTTTCACTTCAATAGATACCTGACCCGCAGGCGGAGGATTGAAATAGCGCACGCTCTTTGCCTCTCAGAGAGACAGATCAAGATCTGGTTCCAAAACAGGCGGATGAAATGGAAAAAGGATAACAAGCTGAAGAGTATGAGCATGGCAGCGGCGGGAGGAGCCTTCCGCCCTTAAGAGGAAAACCCCCCGGCCCTGAAGCTGCTGCTGCTGCTGCTCCTTCTCCTTCTTCCTTCCCCGGAAGAAAACAAAACAAAAAAAACCCGAGTAACTGAGCAGTATTATAATTGAGCTGACCCTGCGTGGAATGTCAGTAGCCTCTTCCCGCTCTCGCTCTCCTTCTGCCCCTCGTTCTGTAGACCACATTGACTTGCTCCAACTTCTCTGGGAGGCTGAAGATTCCCTCGCCCATCGTTTCATCCTGAGCCTGTTTTAATTGAGCCCCCCACCCCGCCCCCGCCCGCGTCTCTCTCTTCCTCTCTCTCTCTCTAGCGCGTGTTACGAGTAGATCTGCTTCCCGTGCATTTTATGTCTTGAATGGCTTTTGTCTTGAAGGGGGGGGGGGACGACAATGTAGATGTTTTAACTTATTTATATGAAGCGAGTGGTGTTACTTGAAGTAACTGTAAAGTGGGAGGGGGGAACCGAGGGGGGGGGAAGACACCCTAGACAAACACAAAAGTAAAGGAGGACGATTTGGTCCCTCGTTCGCTTCCCCTTCCCTTCTGGCTCCCCTACAAGTCCTGTTTGACTCCCAATGTTCTCTCTCTCTGTGTGTTGCACTCGTTGTGCTTTGCTGTGCATGTGTGTTCAAAACGTGTCAGTGTCTGTATAGCTCCAAGCTGTGGCCGAGATTTCCGATCAGAAACGACCTATCTTATTTCCCTGTGTCCGTTAATGGCTGTTGTAGAGGTGAATATGACGAAATACAAAAACGGAACGTGTCCTAACGTGTAGTGAATAGTGAATCTGTGACGAAAACTGTAATTCCAGACAGTATGTCCTTTGCTTGTGCCTTTGTATATGACTCTCTTTGCACGAAGTCTTAGAAGTGGCTTTTTTATTAAGCGCAGCTTCAGTAACGTATTTCCCACCCCCTCTTCTCTCTTATAGCTTCCTTCCTTTCTTTTGGTGAACAAAGTTACACATAGAGTCAAAGTCTGGCTGTTTGAGCAAACAATAATAATAATAATAGCAGCAACAACAACAATAATGTGATCGGCTTTTGAAAAGAAACTGTTTTTTTTTTTAATAACTGACTGGAAAAAAAATAAACTTTCTATTGTAAGGGTTTTCCCCTTTTCTTTCTTCCCCATCGAACCCCCGGTTTTTGTTTTTGTTTTTACTTCTGCGGGTAGTTTGGTTTCTACCCTAACGGAGATGTCCTTAGCTTCTTCACTCTAACTGGAGCAAAGTTGGAGAAGGACCTAACCCAAATTCAAAGTAGATGCAGACACGATTGCCCCAGATCCCTTGGAATTGTAAAGTTATTCTTTGGATGGAGGGCTCACAATAACAGACCCTCAGCCAACTCCTTGTCTTGGAAAGTGGGGTGGGAGGGAGAAGGAATGCCCCAAACTTCTGCTCTTTCTTGGCTGGGGAGGAAAAGAAGAAGAAGAAGAAGACTGTCCTTTCTTCAACAACATTATCATCTCCAGAACCTGCTTTATACTATCTCCATCGGTTCATCCTCATAAGTTAAAGAAAGCTAGACCTGCCAGAAAGGTCTTGCATCTGTGAGCACCAGTCCAACATGGGGGAAAAAGTATTTAAATAAACCAGATACACCCACCTTCTTATTCTGCACTCTTAAAAAAAGGTATTGGGGAAGGGTTTTGTGGCTGTTGTTGCGCGGGTGGGGATAAATTCCACCCTTCGACATAACAGTTATTTATTTATTTATTTTCGCTACAGCTACTCTTTCTTTGCTAGGAAATGTAACGTTACTTACCCTCACCAGAGCTTGAATGGTTAACTCTCCCGAGCTTCTAAGCGCAACTAAAGCTTTGCACATTTACAGACGGCTTTACATTGATGCCTTCCCTTAAAAGTTATAAAACAGTAAACTTTATAAGCCCCAGTTCCGGCTATATGACATTTGGGTGCCAAATGAATAGGGTTTTGTCTATGAATTAGATCGTAAAATCATCCATAGTACAGACAGATAGGCTCACTGGCTATAAAAAGTCACGTGGTGCCATTAAAGTAAGTTTTATGGTTTTGGGGAGTTGTCATCCAACATTATATACCACATAACATATAATCACACTGACGATGGACTTCATTTGACTCTTTTGCAGGCTACGTGCGCCTCCTGGCCATTCAAATTGTCAGGTTTAGGTACAGAAGTATCCATTCCCCCAAGTTCTCAAATACTCTCTGAAAAAATGGCTCATTGCAAGTTAAGGTAAGTTTCGTGCACAAGTTGCTTAAGTTTATTTGTACAGTGAAGAGCTCGCCTGTCGTTGCCTGGCTCCTTCTTAACGCTGCCCCGTTGATTCGGACGGGAAGAAATAATATTTGAAAGGTGCAGGTTACAGTGGGTGGGGGGCCGTTGTCCCTCCTCCCCATTTTTATCTAACCTCTCCTTTTTAAAATTTTATCCTTCAAATCCAGGCAAACCACAATAAGCGACTTTGGCAGAGATGGATTTTGAGGCCTAACTTTAATTACTTTGACTACGGCAAATGATAATGACTTCCTTTGCTTCAGGAACTTTTCCGTGCCCAGTGATTTTGTTTATTGAGGGAGCAGAGAGTCCGCAGGCGATTTTTTTCAAAAAAATATATTTTAATGAAAGGAACATAGATCTGGCTATATCTGTAGACTGGGCATCCCTGTCTTTGCGGGGCGGGATGTGTGTGGAATTGACGCAGTCGTAGGTTTTCCAAGATAAGTTTTCCAACTTATCGTCTCTAAAAGACAAGGAAGGTGCGCTCCAAGTCTGACTTTTTACGTGGTTAAGGTTCTTTGAGACTTATCTCTCCTTCATAAGTACCCTCGCCTACCTACATCTCTCTCGGTGTCCCTCTCTGTGTGTACATAGAGTGTATATATACGCAATTTACACCCTTCCCGTAGATTCCCCACAACCCCAGTGTCTTCATTTCCCACTGGTTCCTTTATCCCTTCCCATGAAGGAACAAATTGACTGTAACTTTTACAGGAGGTTCTACGTGCCATTGGAGTGCTTGGAATAATGAAGGACAATACGCATAGGTTTATAGGCGATAGTAAATAACCCCATTTATATAGATATCCGTGTATATATCTACATGCACACATTACTGGCTGGGAATTGCAGGGTAGGCCCCAGCTGCCTGTTTATTTCAACATTCCTTTTTTCTATTTAAGTAGACTCTTCTCACTAGAGTGTGATTACTCAGCAATAAACTTTATGACCGGATTCAACTTTAAGTCTTTGAATTTCCAGGGTTGAAAGAGAGCGTGAAAGAGCATCCCTTTTTCCACTGCCCTTCTTCTTTTTGTTTTGTTTTGTTATTTCCTTTTCTTTCTTCTCAGCTTCTTTGTACTGCCAGAGCCAAATCCTGGAAATCTTTGCTCACACGAGCAGCTTTTAAGTCTTATCAGTTGTATCTTTGGAGCGCCTTGTAGCTAAAAGCCATGCAGGTGACTAAGAATTGGCAAGATAGGACCCTACTCTTTTTGAAAAAGAAAGTAAGAGGGGCCCGTACAAATGGGCTCATACGTTGAGGTGACCCCACGTGAGGTTTGAAACGATCTCACCCCAATTCCTGCCTTTTAAAAAACAACAACAGATTGTTATCAGCGTGTGGGGTTCTAGAATATGCTTTTCCACTCTTATATCGCTTTGGACATCAGAGGAAAAGACAGTGTTGTCAGAAGATATAATAGCGTAATATAACATAAGCGTGCCCTGTCCTAGTGGCTTTTTGGAAAGAGATATTCTGATGAAGGATATTTTTTCTTGTGTATAGGTGGGTAATATTAGAAGGTTGAGAAACTTGCAGCAATAAGTGAATATATATCTTAACACTTCAAATATTTTTTATACATTTCCCTGAATACATATGGATACGCTAGCAATACTGGGTGGAGAGGAGCAGTTTTTAATTTTACATTTAGTTTTTACATTTAGTCCAAGCCTATGTGGCAGAATTAATCACACAGAACCGAATGCTAATACTAGCTGGCATTTTTCATGGTATTTACTTTCCTACACCTTAAATAGTTAGCAATGCGTATACACGTGTCTGAAAACATGACTAGCCTTTTTTCAGTAGAAAAAATAAGGATTTAAATATAATGCATATCTGCTAAAGAGAAACAGATGGCTGAATTACAAATCCATAATCTAGTTAAGGGAAGGACCTGATTTTACACTTAAAAAAAAAAATCCAGCGGGACTATTGTTGGACTCCTAAAGTATTTACTGGGAAATTCGAGTCCATACTTTCAAGGGGATATTTCCCCAAGTAAAATATCACTGAAATCCAGGTGCTAATCTACTTCAGTTTACATGAACTGAAATTTAGCTTCTGTTTCCTAGTGAAAAACAAGGTCCAGTTTAAGCTCATTCGGGGCTGGATGTGATCTCATCGTCTTGGATGAGACTATCTGAAGGTTGTGGTCAATCTGCTCCATACCTAGGCAGAAGAAAATCGTGCTGAAGTATGTTGGATTTAATTCAAAAGAATTCAGGAATGGAATAGGGAAATCCTGATGCCGTCTGATTTTATAACTGGGGGAAAACAATTCATTGAGCTGAATGCTTAGTTAACTTTTACCGTGGCTACCTAGCAATCCAGCCTTCTGATTGCTAGTTGACTGAATGGATACTAGCCAGTGAAACACATACAGCTTTGTGAACAATGTCATTTAGGCTGCAATCCTATACTCACTTCCCTGGGAGTGAATCCCATTGAACTCAACGAGACTTTCTTCTGAGTAGGCAAAATTCCTCACGCACAAAAAACCCCCACAAAAAAGTCAACCCCTAAACACAAGATGAATTCATTGAACATGCCAATAACTATGGGAATTGTCACTATTTAAAAATATTTCTAGTTTTCTGTCATGCCACGTTGAAACACTCTACCGAATAACCTAGGCAAAACACATCCACCCGAAACTCCGGAATGTAAAGCCCATTTAAAAATAATATTGTATGTGTATTTAGTGCAAGTAGATCTGATGGTGATGACTGTCGTATCACTGTTACTTTCTTTCTCTGACAACTGTATGGTTTATTTTACTTAAATTACCGCGAGCAATTCTGAACCTTAGAAGTACTTCGCTGGCCCAGATGTAAGCACCAGCGCCATTAAAGGTTAGACAAGGGTGTGTGTATATAGCAAGGGCGTCGGAAGACTTCACTTTCTTTAAAGCGTAAGATGGCTTTTCTAAGTCACATGATTCGATGGTTTGCGCGTGCCCCTCACTACAAAGCATCATGGGAAAATTATTAGTGGCGTTATCTTAACGAATTAATTTCCTTGTCTTCAAAAGAGTGAAATTGCAAGTGTTTTCTACCTTATCTGCCCAGCTTTCAACATTACATTCTAATATCGAGAACATAAGCACTTGGATTGCATCTTTCCTGTAATCCCTCTCTTTCTTCCCCTCTTTCATCTGATTTTCTGATCTGTATAATTCGGCCTTTGGGAGTTTTTTGTTCCTTCTATCCACTCTGATCACATAACCTCTATTTTTCGCAGGCTTTGTTTTCACGATTCTCCAAAATCCTAGTAGTTTCCCTGGCGGCTAGCGTTTCTCGAAAACAGCTCCTCCACAATCACAGGGCAGTATGGTTTGCATATTGGACGCAAACAATGCACTGTGATCTCAGAGAGAAAGACACCATGTTTTCCAAAGGGCGTCTCTTTCCAGGGAGCCTGTCCCCTTCTTTTCCTTCTCCACATAACCCTCTGAAATGGGCTTTTCAATAATAATATTTGTTATGAAGGTTATTGGGTAATTATTGCAGTTTTTGTGAAACAGTCCTTGCTCGAGGTGAAGTCTGTCTCTGGATAATAAATGGCAGCCCTCGCAGTTCATTGCCAGGTTAAGTAAATGCAGAAACTAAGATAAATCTGCACACTCCAGAACTCGCCAGCAGAGCTCGCTTTAGACCAAGTTCACAGTCAACTTGCTCTCTCCGTGGCCAAGGCTTCTCGACTCCGTTGGATCAGGGTCTTTATTAAATAAATAAGATGGCACAATGGCCAGCCTGGATAAATTGCCCGGTCACTGCGCCCCACTTCGCATCCAGAATTTACACATCTACCAATCGAAAGCACATCGTTCCTTTCAGTATAATCTAGTTAATCTCCCACGCTGGTGTCTGGGCTTTGCGTTTGATTTTAGAATTCGGTTTCAGTGATGGAAACCGTTGAGGCTGCTCTTTTTTTAAAAAAAAAAACCCAAACAAACAGCCATGCAGAAACTGCATTCCCTTAAAATCTTAGCGAAAAGGGAAACAGTCAAGGCTTGATGGCAACAAACGAGAGAGCTGGAGATTCTTTTAAGGAGATAGGAGCTGCTTCGCTTTTGTATATCTCTGTGGTTAGGGCGTAACAACTCTAGGTCAAAAAGTTGAGGGTCAAAAGTTTACGTTGTGCGCCACTCTTAGTCATGCGCCCAGACAGAGTTTGATGTCAATGTTATAGCCAAGATCTTGACTATCAACACAAAAGATAAAATAGCTTTGAGTTAGGCGTGTATCATAGTATGGACTCCAGGTGAACTCTAGTGGTTGAATGACCTCAATTACCGAGGAAAGGATAGAAAATCCCTCTTTTCAAAGAGTAATGCACGTTGTATTTCATCTTGAATTATCAACCACATTTCCCCCATTGAATATCGTTGGCTGGCAGATGCATCAGGTGAATGCGGGCGCACATTCCTCCCCCCCCCCCCACAACTGCGCATACACGCACCACCACCAATGCATTTTAAAGGTTCGTGCGAGTCCTATCAGAGTCCATCGGAAATTTCCATTGGATTTTAATAGTTCTGAATCTCAGCGAAGTGGACTCTTGTTCACAGAAGCGTACGCCATAGTACAATTGTCTTGCTTTTAAGTGCCACAAGACTCTGTTTTTGTGTGTGTGTTGTTCGGCTTTGCTACAACAGACTAACACAGCTAGCCCTCTCAAAAAGGCTCAATGAGGTGCCAGTTGAGTTCTTAACTGCCCAGTGGGTACCAGAAGACTGCCCGCTGGGTGATAGCAATATTTGAGGAAGCGAGTAGACTGAGATGACCATCTCACTGCCGGATCTCGCAGGAGTATAAAATACAAGCATGACAATACTGGAGAAGTCCAGATATGCTGTCTTTCTGAGTGAAAGTTAAGGAATGACCCTACGCAAATTGAATTGCCCCCCCCATCCTTTAGGGGTATACGTTTAATAAGAAATATATAGCTTCACCCTTTTGGCCGCCTTATTTAGCCACAATGAAGCTTTATTTTTTCCTTCTTTTTTTTCAAAGCGTGTTTGTATCTGAATAACTATTTATTTCAAATAGGGAAGTAGGGATTATTTATTTAGCTATGAGTAGGATTGCTTCCTGAGATGGATTTTCCGTTTTCACTGTGTTGCCAGGTGTTTTGTGTATTTTTTTTTAATCAGAGAAGGTGCGTTTTTCAGTCCTAAGAAATACAGAATATTTCCCAGAGATCCAGTGAGTGGTTTATTACTAAGCAAATACATAGGAGAGATTGCTCCTTTCAGAGGTGTCGAAACAGAGATAACGTGCAGGAGAAAGTAAGCAAGTTATTATTAGAAGGCTTTATCAATGCTTTGAAAATACACAAAGAGCTAGGGAACACCTCCCCGTTCGACAAGAAATAGTTTTAATTATAAGGCGAAGACATTGGGCTTCCAGGAAACATATTTGCAATGTATTTTGGTTTTTCATCAGCGACCTTCTCTTGAAAATTATCTTGCAACGTCCCCCGTCCCCCCGTGTCTCCTATATGTGCTTTTGCACTGAAATTACCACTGTAAGGTTGAGGGGGATGCTATTCACAACACACTGTTAAAAACACGCCTCTGCTATTTCGGTTTTGCCCTTGAAATACTGCATTGCCTATTTGGAAATTTAATTATAGGAAGCATGAACACTGCAAGGCGGAATGTTTGCCTAAACGTCCCTTTTATATACAGAGGACCAGGGAGACTGTTTCGAAGACAACACTTCTTTGACTCCGCCTGTCCTGAAAAACTTGACTAAAAAAAAAATAGAGGGAGAAGAAAGAGAGAGAATAAGATCTCTGTGGAAAGCAGCAAAGCGAAACCTGGCTTTCTTTCCCAAGGACTCCTAGTGCCAATTTATTTTGCTTCCATTTAAGGTGGAATTTTGGGCGGGGGGTGGGAGTGGGGACAAGTTTTTTCAAATACAGAATATTTCCAGAAGGGCTTCAAAGTGCATCTGGAAGAAGTATTGCCTTCTCAAGTTGGTTTCTATTCATTCATTCATTTTTTTAAAAGGTAAAAATAAAAACGACACAGTGGGCTTTTGTTGCTTTGATTGGAGTCATACCCATATAGTCCTACCTCTAGCGCAGCACAGACACTGGTACTTGGTGCGTAACGCGACCTTTGAAAAGATTAGCCTTCTCAGCCTCAAATGTAGATGCCAATCGCCCCATCTTCCCCTTCTTTAGAATTGTGCTTATTTACGGTCCTGGACGCCCAGGACCTCAAAGTCCAGTTGCCAAATACACGCACACGTACACACACGAGTTAGATCCTTATAAATAAAATCACCAATATTTCGGAATGGGGGGGAAGGAGAACATCCCAACCTCTTGTCCCAAGAATGAACTCCATAGGAACTCCATCACACCATCCAGTTCCCTGGAAGGACCTTTTGCTGATTCAAAGGAAGTTTAGGATAAACGCAGCCGCTGCGTTATCACAACGTTTACATGTTTTCTCGCACGGCCGCCTTAAGATTCCTTCCCCATTTGCGAATAAGTGACCTGCCCAGAGCCTCTCTCTGCCCCTTGCTATTTTTTTTTAAAGACGCTCTTAAAGACCTCGGAAGGGGAAGAAAAAAAACCCCTAAGTCCAAGGCCGAGGTGAACTTCAGGTCAGCGCGTCTAACAAATATGAAAATGTCGCTTTGTGAAGGGCACGCCTTGTTATTTAACAAAGACTGTCAATGTGTAAGATTAATAAGAAACAAAATGCGCCCGGTGTCACTTTTCGGTCACTTTGAAACTTGGGGCAGGCTTGCATTCAAGAGTGAAAGCTGGGTTAAATATATTCAAAATGCCTCGAATCAAATTCAAGCCAGGCTGCCGGGTGTCGCTCTCCACCGCCACCCCGCCTTCCCCCCCCCCCCCGCCCGCGTCTCTACTGCTTGCTCGCTCCCTCTCTCCCTCCCAGGCGCGTGGGCAAGCTGGAAAGTTTAATTGCATAGATTATCTATAAAAGCGCAACCTAAGATTGCGATGCGCGCGCACACACATCTATATTTACACTCTGAACTTGCTAGTCGGGGTTGGCACTCTCCGCTTATCCATTTACTTGGTTTGCTCCAGTTCTGAGACGGGCTCCTGTTTCTTGGGAACCTCGGATTTTATCTTGCCATCAACTTTCATTTCGGTCAATCTTCCACGTTCTTCACTGGTTAGCTGCTAAACTTCAGCCTCCCTTGATCTGCGATGATGATGAGGTCTTGGTGCTGAAATCCCCCTCACTGAAATGTGTGTGGTTTAAAAAAAAAAAAAGATAGGCGATGCTCTGAAGCAGTTTCAGGAGGCCAGGGTTCAGGGTTCGGTGTAGGTTCGTTCCGGGATTAGATCCGCGGAGCCATAAATCTCTGGAGGGAGCGGGAGGGGAGGCTGAACGTGGAAACCGCCGCATATGAGATAACAACTTGGTGGTCTTGGCTGGGCTCTTGTTTATGATATGTAAACCGCAAAGACAAGGAACAGGCCCATCTCTGCAGCCTGATAGAATCCCATGGAGGTGGGGGTGGGGGGGAGAGAAACCCTGGCTGCTCCCGCAGCTGAGCAGCTTAGGTCACCTTGGAGATTTACAGCCCCAGCTCTAGAATCGTATTCATTGCTTGTTGCAACTGAGCAAAGGAGACACCCAGTGGAAAGCTGACCAGGGGGAAACAGACCAGGCTCTGAGATACAATCAGGAGAGCTAATATTAAACAGCCCCTGGGACGTTCTCCGAAGGTAATAATCAGCAGACAAAAAAAAGAGAAAAGGTACCTGCTTTCCTTGTATTGTTGTGGTTTCTTTTCTTGTTTTGTTTTGGGGGAAAAACCTGCGGTTTTGACGCATGGTGGTTTTCTGGTATTTACTATCGCCCTCAGATGCAAGGGCACCGCTTGATCTCAAGGGAAATTGATAGTGTTTATGTCAGAGGTGCATCTTGCAGTGTTTCTGTGCCAGAATCGCACCGTCCATTTCAGCGTGTGCGAGAAAAGGGGGAGGGAAAAGCGAGACAAAACCCTGCGCCTTTGCTTTAGCCGTTTAACACCAACCATGGGCTTAATTGTTGCTGTTTGTAAGTAGCAAAAGACCTCCCCAAAGGGGCAGCTTTGCATCCCGGTCTACTATTCCCTGAAACCATAAAACGGGACTGGAGCCGGTTGTCATTCCTGCAAATGTCACAGGCGCGCAATCAGCGTTAAAAAGCCAAGTGTTGGATCCTGGTATTTGACTTCCGCATTGTATGCGAGTGTTTTACGGCCTGCCACTTGCCAGTGGCATCATATTTGCTTCCACAGTGTATGGTGCATTCGAGAAAGCTTTGCAAACATAGAATATCCACTGAAGATGTGCAAGGTGGGGGGTGAGGAGGGCTCTTGCCATTTCCAGGACGGAGGTATTTCCGATAGTATCTGGAAACCAGCACTTTTATTATTATTATTAATAGTATTATTACTATTATTGTTGTTGTTATCGTGGAACAAGGTCTCAGCAGTTTAAGGGAGACGCACAGAGTAGAGGAAGAGAAATTCAACGAGAGCATAAAAACGGGACCTATTGAGCGCACTGACACACATTTATACACAAAGAATTGTAGCTGGTTAATCTAGATGCAATCGTCATCCACATGAACGCTATGAGCGGTTGATACAACCGAAAAAGTCATCAGTCCACACTTCGACTGAAATAATCACGATGAGAATGAACACTCCTATTATATGGATATTTTTCTTAAAACTAAACTGGTTCTTTGGGAAGAGGGCAGAGCAGCATTTTAGCAAGTTCCAAATTCTTATTATGTCTTACTAATATTAATATTATATTAAATGGGTGTGTCCCTAAAGGCTCAAATATTAAAAACGAAGGTGGGTCACTAGACCTACCAAGCGGTTGAATTAATATAAACTATTATAAAGGCTAGTTTAATGTCCAGATTTCAATTACACGCCCCCCCCAGGTCAGGCCATCGCCTCCTTTTCCTTCCTGTCATGCAAACGGATCAATTTCCAGCAATCATAACGCAAGTCGAAGAGACTATTCACGACGCTCAACTGCAATGTTTACGGTACTTGTGAAAGATAACAGTGTGTTCTGTTTTAAATAACCAATTCCTCTCCCTTTCTCGCTTTCTTAAAGGGAAATACTGTTTCCTGGGCACTAGATAGCTTTATTTATTTATTTAGGCATGTGAATGGGCTTAATTCTTGATCTTAACTGCCTCTCTAGTCTGCTGGAGGTTTTGATTAAAATATATTCACCTTTTTTTAAAAAAGTCTTTTTATATTGGCCTTTCTATTTAATGATATGCCCCCGCAGCTCCAAATTTGCCACGGGGTGGAAGATTTTAAAAATAATTAAATTATCGTAAAAGAGCAACATTTAAAAGCCCCCGGGAGGTATCAGAGAGAAACAAATAGCTAGTTGCAATTAGGTGGTCTCTGTTTTCATAGGATCGACTGGTCTCATTGATTGCACTGCTACCGTCCAATCACTCATTGATGCCCCCGAAACCACGCGATCTCGGGTGCCCTTTTATGTCTCGGGAGGACACTGCGTTTCCTTTGCTTTCAATGACTTGGTAAGGGCTGGAGATACAGAGAGCGAAACCGTACGCTGCGTTTGATGTTCGGTTTCAGATACATATACAATGCTGGTGCTCAGTCACTTTGCTCACACTGTTGCTACCCACGGCCTGATGCTTGTGGTCAGAATAGCACACATGCGCAAACTCCCAGCTTGTGTTCAGGAGGATATATTATTCCGGAATAAGGACTACCCTTGGTTCCCTCATCATGATAGCGCACAAGGACGTCTCCTGCGACATACACTTTTGGGCTGCCCCAGATCACTGTCTAAACCACCTTGACTCTAAGTAGCACATAGCTGTTTAAAGGGGTAACGACCGTGCGTGGTTAGTCTTAGGTGACCTAGCATGTCAAGCAAGGATCCCTCGCTGCTTTCACTGGGGAAACTCGCTCAAAGCAGCAGCCCCCTCGCCCACAGCTGCATGGCCCGGAGGCTTTCCTCTGGGCCTAATTCTCTAGTTAGGCCGCTTGCGCCGACTTCGGTTCTGACTGCAGCTGTCTGGAGCGCGCAGAAAGGAATCTCCAGCTTCTCCTTGCCTCTGCTGCGAGAAAGGCAAGACAGGCAGACAGGGACCGTCCTGGGCTTGTCCACCAGCGTTTCATTTCCTGATCCGGGCTCTGCCAACCGCGTAGCAATTGGCCCTGCCGGTCAGGTGGTGGGGGTGGCACTGGTTTGTGTGTGTGTGTGTGTGTTTGCGCGCGCGTGTGTTCCAGGCTCTTGGGGTGGGAATTGGAAAGGAAGGGGGGAGCGGAGGCCCAAACTTTGGCAGCAGGCGCTTGACAACAGCAGCAAGGGGGGGTTGGAGGAGGAGGAGGAGGGAGTGAGGGAGGGAAGGAAGGAAAGAGGGAGGGAGGGAAGGAAGGAAGAAGGGGGAGGAGGGGAGGGGCCTCCTCGAGCCCAGAAAAACGACAACGCGAGAAAAATTAGTATTTTTGCACTTCACAAATTAATGACCATGAGTTCGTTTTTGATAAACTCCAACTACATCGAGCCCAAATTCCCTCCTTGCGAGGAATATTCGCAGCTCGGCGGCGGCGGCGGCGGCGGCGGCGGCGGGAGCAGCTACCACCACCACCACCAGAACCAGCCCCACCACCAGCAACCCCATCACCACCATCCTCAGCCGCCGCAGCACCTGCGCCAGCAGCACCACCAGGCTCACCCCGGCCAGCCTCTCCCCGATTACTACCAGCGGCCGAGCAGGGAGCCCGGATACCAGCCGCCAGCGCCGCCGCCGCCTCCTCCGCCTCCTCCTCCCGAGGCGCTGTACCCCGCGCAGCCACCCCACCACTACCCGGAGTCGCCTTATAGCTACAGCAGCCTCAGCGCCACTCCGGGCCAGGAGCAGCCGCCTCCCGGAGCCTCGCCGCCACCGCCTCCTCCGCCGCCCCTGCCTCCTCCGCCGCCACCCCCGCCACCGCCTGCTCCACAGACTCCCGCGCGGAAGGGCCACCATGCCCCGAGCCAGCCCTTGCTCCAAGGCCACGGCCCGCCACCGCCTCAGCCCCACCAGCGCCATTGCGAAGCAGCAGCGGCGGCGACAGCGCCCGGGGGAATCCCTGCCTGCCCGCTCTTGCCGGACAAGAGCTTGCCCGGCCTGAAAGGCAAGGAGCCGGTGGTGTACCCTTGGATGAAGAAGGTCCATGTTAACACGGGTGAGTTGACCACCTTCTTCCAAGGGGAGCCGGGATGGCTTGTATGTGTTTGTGTGCGTGGCGAGGTGGAGGAGGCTGGGCTAGGCTGGACTCCGAGGTTGGGGGCATATACGTGTGTATGTGTGTGTGCTGGCGCATTTCCTAATTTTAAAAAAGCGCGCACGCACACGTGAGAAGCCTTTTGTACTCGGGGCCCTTTATCAAGAGATTTACGAGACGCCAAACTGTTAGGGCAGTAATTATAGTCCCCATAAATTTAATCGCCCTGCCTGTGGCTCTGGGCCACGTCTCTTTGAAGCTTTTCTTGAACCCAAATGCCCGTCACCATTTTTTATGGCTCCCCAATTGTCTCCTATTGTCACGAGCCTGTGAACCATTTTCTTCCCCGCTTCTGTGGCTAATCTAAACCCAGTGTCGAGTTATTATATAATAATGATAATGTTCCGTTGCCTTCTTCTCCTTTGTGTCCGTGCGTGTGTGTGTGTGTGCGTGTGTGTGCGCGCCTGTGTACGCTCAGTCAACCCCAATTACACTGGAGGCGAGCCCAAAAGGTCTCGAACTGCCTACACCAGACAGCAAGTCCTGGAGCTGGAGAAGGAGTTCCATTTTAACCGCTACCTGACCAGGAGGCGACGCATCGAGATCGCGCACACGCTCTGCCTCTCCGAGCGCCAGGTCAAGATTTGGTTTCAGAACAGGAGGATGAAGTGGAAGAAGGACCACAAGCTGCCCAACACCAAGATGCGCTCCTCCAACCCCTCCAGTCTTAGCCAGCAAGCCAAAGCGTCAGCACAGCACCATCAGACACCACCGCCCAGGGGTAGGGCGACCCCAAACTCAGCAGCGCTCTGATGGCCTGACAGACGCAGGGACACCTTAACCCATCACACGTCCCGCTCCTGCCTGATTTAATTTGCCATAGGGACTATATTAAGGGGCATAAATGCAGAACAAGAACCAGTCACAGGGCACGTGTGTTTAAACCAAAAACCAAAACCAAACACCTTGGACAAAGTGTTCACCTTCTGTAAATATGACCTTTCCATTCCCACCATGTTTCTTTTTTTTAAATTTATTTATGGAAATACGGTCCACCTGCAGCATCATTAAAGAGTTGAGGATGGATCCTGTACCTAAGAAGGACCCTTTGCAGATATGTTTTAAGGTGTCAACATATGTTAATAAGTGACTTTGTGACATGTGTGTGTAAGTCATAGACTTTGTCTTGTTTCGTGGAACATTCGTGGACTCTCAATTACAGACAGAAGCAAAGCCATCTTATGACGTGGAAGTATTTTGGAAAGTTGGAGTGGGGAAGATGCCCAGAGATCCCAGCACCCTCCAGCCCTTACCGACCAAGAAAGTATGTTTTCTGTGTAATAAGAACAAAAAAGTGTAGTCTCTGCTGTAGTCGTGATGCATTATCCTCCCCCGACGGTGCATTTGTTACTTTTTTATAAAAAAAGAAAAAGAAAAGTATACCAATATTGCTATAAAGGCTATTTCTGTCTCCGTGTCTTGCCATAGTCAAACGTCCGTGTACAGTTTGTGAAATCTATGTGTACACATTTGTGAATGTGTGATGTATATATAATGTCCAGTGCTGGTAATAAAACAAAACAAAACAAAACCACACCTCTCTGTACAAAAATAAAACTTAAGGCACTAGACACACCGTGAGAAGCGTGCATTTGCCTAGAATGTGACTTTGTTGACATAAACATGAAAACTCTCGAAGATGTCATGTGTACATGCTGTTCAACCCATTCCTTGGGAGAGGCCGAGCACCTTCATTATAGTCGAATTAGTTTTATTAAGGAGTAACGTTTCTCTGTCCCAAACACCCTAACCACTTTATGTGTAAGGAAGTCACATCGTTTTCGATGACGCTGGATTCCACATAGGACCATAGACCGAAGCCCCTATGGAAACCAGAGAGTTGGGAGTAATTCCCATTGAAACAGGTTGCCGGGGGGTGTCGTTGTAGATGGGCTGAATAGGCTGCCATCCAAGTACCCAGTTTTAAGTGAGTTGTGGATCGGCCTGCGCAGCCTGCCCATTTCCCTCAGGAGGCGCTTCGGCTTAGCCACTCCTTCTACAGGATACAGTCCACTGTGTGTAGAACAAGAAAGGCGTCCATCCCCCCAAATTCTCATTCATGACATGTGTCCTCTGCCTACACCATTGGGGAAATATAGCTCTTTCCCGCCTTGCCTGAAGAGAAACGGGGTTAATCCAGTAGAATGAAGGGAATAATAACAGTAATAGTAACACTGCACTATCAATGCTTAAACATATTGCAGCATCAGTAGTGACCCCTTGGTTTATTCCAGCCGCAGTAACTTTCCACAGGGGGGAAGAGGGTCGAATTGCAATGGCCCACCGCTCTTTGGCAGGGGAACAAACCGGAAGCGTTAAAGCCGCACACCCAAAACATTATGGTAAAGCCAGATGATGCCCTTGACATGGAGGTTCATTGGTGTGGGGTGTCTTCTGAACAGCTTAACCAACCCATGCAATAAGTACAGGTGAAAGTTGCTAGTTTAACTCTACAGCCCCTATGGATGTTTACTCCGAGGCAAGTCCCACTGTTGCACAGTGAGGCTTATTTCCAGGTAAGTGTGTCTAGGGTTGCACTCTTATAAGTAGCAATTCTTCAATCTCCTCCTGGAGAGTGGAATACAGTTCTGGGCCCTTTCTGATATCCAGAACTATAATCCGATGCTGGTTTATATTGGAGACTTAAATGGCGCATTGAGCCCAAAAGCCTGTAGACAGCTCAGATAGAACTGCCGTGGAAGCATAAGCAGATAGTTTAAATGTATCCTTGGTCCATTGGGCTGGGAAGGGTGACATCGCCATTTGAAAAGTTGTGGTCTCACTTGCCGTGCAAAAGAGAAGTAAACATTGCTGTGAATAATCTGGAAGTGTGCGTCGAACTGAACCACCCCAAAGGACTTCCTTTCTTATTTACTATATCCTTGAAGTGCCCTGTCCCGCATGTTTGTTTGCTTGTTGTTAAGAAATAAAAGAGAATAGGCTGGAAAACAATATCGCCCCCTCTCCTCCCTGTTAACATGGACCTCTTTTTGTCTAAAGTCTTTGTTTGGTCTACCCTGGAGAATTCTCTTCTGCTAAATCCACTGACGCTCGAAAATCAAGAGGAGTGTCCCAAAACTGTTAAATCAATGATTAGTATTGAAGTATGATTGCGGATCTTCCCTGACTTCCGTAGTCTTACGCTTGGATCACCCCCCTTTCCCTCCCCCTCTTTCTCCATTGGGGGGGGGGAAGGGAGCCCGAAATGAAATCACGCTGAAAATAGCAATTTTACTAGGAATCATTAATCACCTCCTACAATAAATACTTCTTTGTAATTCAACAGCGATTCTGAAAGGCATTCTCTTGGAAAAAGGTCTGAGAAGACACGAAGGATTTTCCTGGGGAAAATGGGTTCATGTAGAAAGACACAGTCGCTTGGCTGTGCCATGAAAATGTATACTTTCTGGGTGGAGAACAGAACGAAGACTGGAAAATGCACGTGGCAGATCAACATCATTCAAGGTAATGTTTTTATTTGATTTTGGGGTTTGTTGTTTTTCTGTTTATGCCTTTCCCCTTGAAAACGCAGTGCTCTTCACTGTGATGTGTAGGTGTTGATTTTTTTTTTAAGCTTGGCTGCCATAATCGATGTAACAATAAGTTCGAAAACTACACCCGACCATTGTCCTGGTTTGTGCGAGGGCAATGGGGAGAGTTCACCGAAAGGACAAATTTTCTATCCCATTAATTGTTTTTTTAAGAGAAGCAGACTGACCCATCAAACCCTTGACCTTTAAAGGCAGGATTCTTTCTAGCTGCTGGACCTAAATCTGCTCCTCTTGCCCTGTTTCTCTCTCTCTCTCTCTCTCTCTCTCTCTCTCTCTCTCTCTCTCTCTCTCACACACACACACACACACACACACTCATTGTATATTACCAAAGAAAGCGGCTCTGGATCCTAAAGGTGGAAGCGCCTTCATGTTTCAGACAGAGTATATGCAAATGCCAGTCCTTGAAACATTCGGGCGTAAAGGTCTAAGCTCTAAGGGGTCCCAACCACAGACAAACAAGGGAGGAGGGCTAGAATTGTGCTGCTTGCCTTTTCCTCCCACTCAGAGATGTGGCATGCGCGGCGCAGGTTTGTTTGTTTGCGTTTTTATTTTATTGCTGCCTTTGGGATTCACCCATGGCCACCATCCAATGCTGAAGAGGGATTGCCACGTGGATTCCTGGAGAAGGGACTGGCCATTTTGGGTTGCAGCAGCTACAGGAAGAGATGGGTTTGCGTATTTAAGGGAACGAGAAGGGAGGAAGGCCCAGACTGGTGGGATTTGGCTGGTTTCCATCTCATGCTGTCTATATTTTCCCCAATTTTATAAGCAGAAGGGTGTGCGTGTGTGTACGTGGCGCTGTGTAGGGTTAGAGGATTGCGAAGGACCGTTTCGTCTCTCTCTCCCCCCCCTGCCCCCAATACACACAACCCATCTTCAAACTTTAGGCTCATATTTGCTAACTTTGAGCGTGTGAAATGATCGCCGCAGGCCTCCAGACGATTCTACAAGCTCCAACACTCCTGGTCCAAGTCTTTCATGCCCAACAGACGCTACAGAACTAGCTTGAAACTCTGCTCCCCTCCCTACTTTCCTTTTAAGAGAAGTGCCCCTCGGTTTGCTTAGCTTGTTCACTACAGAAATATACAGATCAATATCTTGGTGACACCATTTCACCGGGCAACCTCAGCATGAACCGACCGGGAAGACCAATAAACAAGAACTGCGAGGTTTTGGATGTGATTTATAGTATGCGGAGAAGAGACATTAAAAAAAAAAGACAGACAGAAAGAGAAAGTTTCAGAAAGAGAAAGTAGTGTCTTTTTCCTACACTTCCATTACAAGAGAGACAGATGGACACCTAAGACAGAAGTGCTACTCTCCGGGCAGAGACAATCTCTGACGCGCAGGCTTGGCTAGGTTGAGAAGGAGGAGTAGGTGTGAAGATATTGTTCTTGCCCAGCTTTGAGGGAAATGTTAGCTTTGCAGTTCTGCTAATTGCCAGCTCCCTCCAGAGCAGTTTAATTTACTCACTCCTTTGGCCATGCTGCGGCCCAGGAGGATTAGGCCGCCAAGTTCTCTTAACTTCATACTTTGACCCCATTTGAGCTCATTGGCGCTTTTGCCTGTTTCATGAATAATAAGCAGTAGTCCCTCCCCCCCCCCGTTTTAAAGTACATATTACCCCTCCTTCAAGAATCCTGAAAGCTGTCGTTTACCCCTCCAGAAAACTACAGTTCCCAGCACCTTTAACAAATGATGGTTCCAAGGATTCTTGGGGGAAGCGGGGATGTGCTTTAATGATATGATGCTCAGGCAACTGTAAATTAGGCGCGTTGAAATCTGGGTTGAATCCAACCTAAGGTACCTGCACTTGGATGCCATTGAAATCGATGCGACAAGTCAGACATTAAGCCTGCAAGCCTGACCCCACTTACCTGGAAGCCACCCTCCTTGCATGCAATGGGGCTTGCTTATGAGTAGACGTGGCCAGGATTGCTCTGCTAATGCCTGAAACCGGTGGGCCCTAAGTGCAACTAGCTCGTTCTAGATTAAACCCACCGCGCCTAAAGTGCTCGCCAGTCCTCATTGCATCTCATCCAGTCGAGTTTCCGCCTGCCTCGCTTCCTTTCTGGAACTGGCCAAGGTGTGAAACACCTTTGTCTTCCAGGACTGGGTGGCAACACTCCTGCTGACCTCAGAAGAATCAAGTTGTCACCCCATCCGACCAGTTCAAAGGGAATACTGACTAAATAGGGTTATGGCCCACGCCGTGGCCGTTCTCTTACCGACTCGCCTGCCTGACATCCCTATAGCCAGGACTTTTTATCAGGCGGTCCCTGTTGTGATGAAAGGCGTGGGTTCCAAATCATGTCTGCTGCCCCAACCTGCTGCCACTGACAATAAAAAGTCGAATTCAAATGACTGATTCGGGGGCTCGGCCGCTTCATTCTGCCTGGGCCTGACAAGCCCCGCGTTATTAATGCCCAAATGATATCCCCAGAAACTGAAAAGCTGTCAAAAACCGGCGAGATGATGAGGCCTAAATAAGCAATAGAGAAGCACTGCGAGGGTAGATAAAGCTGTTGTGTCTGTTCTTCTCGGGTATTGAAATTTTAATCTGGCCGGGTTGGGGAGGGGAGGGGAGGGTTGGGGGTGAGAGAGAGAGAGAAAGGATGGGATGTCACGTGACATTAAATAATTAATGCAGATCTTCACGAATGGATCTGTGACGGTCAGTTCTCACTAGTAGGAGTGATTCTTTCCGAAGTGAAAGGGAACTTCCTCCTTGACTTCCTTTTTTTTTTAATATATAAAAACAAAAAACCCCAAAAAGCATGCCTACCTGGTTTATCTTTTGCAAGGCTCCTTAAACTCCTTAAGCGAGCAATAAGGGGGATGAGGTCGGTAAGTATGCGCAGGCCGGTCGTGTGCCTGGACTGCCTTTCATTGTTTGCACTTGCCTTCCTTTTTGATTGGGGAGCCTTGACTTACCGTAAGCGACGGGGAGATTTACGAAATGTTCCATCTTTGTTGCGAAGTTGCCTTGTGGTCGCATTATGCCTTTTTGGTGATTAAACCTAAAGCGAGGCGAGGCGATTTGATAACGTTCGAGTACTAATTCACACACTGTGGAAAGTTGCCACAGTGCGGGAGTCCTGGCTTTTTTGTGTGTGTGTGTTTTCCCCCCAATTTGCCAGGCGTTCATAAATCACCGGCTCGCAGAGCAGGGCCAAAAAGAGAAACCGGAGAGGCGGCGGCGGCAGCACCAGCAGCAAGCATTGTGAGGAAGGGAATAGAGGCAGGCGAGGCGGGGGGGGGGGGGACGACAACAGAAGTCATGGACACATTTCTCTATGACTCATCATTAAGCAGCGCGATTTAGTACCCAGTTTAAAGCACCGCAATTAATAGCAGAGTTTTGTGATAAGGTCCCCCCCCCCTTTAACTCATGGCGTTTTGTTAAGTGCTCCATTGCTACTTTCTAACTTTAAAGCTGCAAAGGAGCAGCCCTCCCCCCCCCACCCCAAGAGGTCTCTAAAATATCATAGCATGTAGTTTAATCGTCCCCAAATATACCACCAAAAGCTATTGAATAGCACGAAGCTGATTTAATAGTAAGCACATTAAGTGGTTCTGTATGCTACTGCTTTCGATTGTATTACAGTTTGCCACGCGATGGGCTGTTTAGGAAGCAGTTTGAACGTTAAACACCAAAGGAGTTTCCCAGAATAGAGAAGTGGTAGGATAGAGAGCGAGCAAGAAATATTATTATACCCTTAAATACTCCTTGGTATAGAAGCAGCTGTCTGGCAAAATCCACGGGCAGTTCCAGAAATCGAAGCATCTTACTAATGTGGGAGTGCAATAAAACCCCCAGTAAGCGATTTAGAGCTTCTCCTTTCTTTTGTCCTGCTAGATGCCTGCTTAGCACCAAATCTAAAATTATAATGGTCATTACCAAACGATCCAATTACCAAAAGCAAATTCTATCATGCCAAGTTCTCCCAAGATGAGATTTAAAACTTTTTTTTTTCAAGCCTTCGATGACATTATTCCAAGAAACAGCACTAAGCAATTATTAGCAGTCACTTTTGCTAGCCAGGCGAAGGAGAATCCAGCGGGACATTTAAAAGGGGGGGGGGGCCTGTCAGTGGATTGCGGAAAGCAGGGCGAAAATCTTATTGTTACTATAAATGATTAATAAATATATTTAAATAAAATTATTATTGCTTTGGGAAAGTCAATATCCTTATCTTCAAGCTACTTTTCCGCCAACGGACCAAAGAACAGCCATTTAAACCCACAACACACGTCTGTTTCCCCTGTTTCAACACTATTTTTGTTGCTATTGTCCCTAGTCTGATTTTTAAGTCAATTGCAGCCAATGGGAGACAGTTCAGGGACGGCAGATCAGGCCCACAGATTCAAGTGTGCGCCTAGTTTCGACCGAAGTGTGCCTTGCATTTAAAGGAGAGAGTCACATTCTTATGCCATTAAACAGAGATGAACGTGGCCAGTTGTATTTAATGTCCTTACTTGATTAAATGATGCTAAACAAAGGCTTCCCAGAGGAATATGAAGCTTACATTTCATAAAAGAGGAATTATAAGATATTCACAGGGAGAATAGTTGTCTTCATAAGAAAGGAGCTTATCTTTCAATTTCATACACGATTGCAAAAGGCAATATTTTTACGTGTGTTTTTTTCTAAAAGAAAAAAAAAACCGCAACTCAACAGCGTCCTTTTAATGATTATATACCCACCGAGGATCTGCTAAAACAACTCAGCAGCTGACCCACGTCTTGTCTCGAAAATAATGCTCATCCCCTATAGTTCTCTTATTTAGCTGTTGCTTGTTCTTTATTTACAGCACTCCGGTGCACCGGAAAATACGGTTTAAAGACACCTACAATCTGGAAACAATTCTGCCCGGTGGCTGGAAACGCGAGGAGGTAAGAACCCTGTGGGTGGAAAGAGGGGAAAAAAAGAAAAGAAAGGAATCTGTTGTCCAATTGTTTAAAATAGTTTCATATTGCAGAGAAGAGGATTCGGTTTGCTAGCGCTTGTTACAAAGGTTACTGTGAGCTTCGGGTTTGATAAATAGCTAAATCGGTTGGAATTTTCTGCACTGCGCCAATTCATCTTTCGTCGTCGGTGAATGCACGTCTTGTCAAACAAAGAAATACATAGAGCCTAAGTAAGAGCAATTCTTTGAGAGCCATTCAGAACAGGGAGGGTTGCACACGGGCTGGAAAGAGCTGGAGAAGCCAATGAAGTCTTTAATGAAAATGCATTTTGCTTATAAAATCCAGCTCTCTCAGGATAGGCTCGTGATTAAGAGCAGCTCTGCATTTAGGATAGCCTGCTTGTTGTTTGCTGTTCCGGGGTGGCTTTAGATTGTTTAGAACATGAGAACAAAAGTCACCTTTGCAACTTAGAATACCTGAGTATTCTCTATGGCTGCTAGCAACTACTACTAGGAATCAGTAATATCTCATCTGCTTTACTTGCTGTTGTAGTGAAATTTAAAATTTTCTCTAGGTGGCCTCGTTTACACCCAGCTGAAGGCAAACGAAATATATTCATTGGTGGCATCTATTCATTGAAAACTGCTCTTAATCCTAATAGAGGTGCCTTGCACTTTTCTCTCATTTCAGTTCTTAAAATCGATGAAAACGCTTAAAACGTCACCATATGATTCCCCCCCCTTTTATTAACCAGCGTTAGAAGTCCAAGGGAGATGTAGAGCCGCTTGAGTTTCCTGCTAGAATTACCTGCTTTTATGAGGCTGAAGTACAATTAGTTTAGTTTACTACCTTTTAAACGGCAGGCATAAATTACAAGCCTACAAAGGCTTGTTGTGTTGATTTAGCAGCTTGTTGAAATTCTCCCTGCTAAAAGGCGCTGCGAATGCCCCTTCCTGAGCCATTTCAAGACAAAATGTTGATTTAAAACTATCAACATTCCAAGAAGGGGGGGGGAGAGGGCAAATTACTTTAAAATACAAAACACTTCCAAGTGTCTGAAATATAGCCTGACCGTATCCTCCCAGAAATAGCCTAGAATTCTCTAAGAATCGTATTCAATGCTTAAATTATATATATATATCCCCATTTTTCTGATAAGGATGCATGAAATTTGGACAAACTTTAAAAGATAATAGATGTGATGCAGCGCAGCTGTCCTAGTGCTTAAACGAAAAAGATAAAATTACTTAAGAGGAACCCAAAAAACCCAACACCCCCCCAAAACCTAGTGACATAAAAACTCACACCAGGCTCTGATAATAACAGAGTCTCTATGAGAACGTCATTTCCTAGTTCTGATTACCTTGCTTTGCATTTTCAGACATAAACGTGACATAAAATGTTCAGAGAAGTTCACTCGGTTTCTTCTCCGTGTACACAACATTTTAAGGTTAACCTTAATAATCAGCATTCGTTTTAAATGAGGCGTATTGCGGAACGGAATTTTAAACTAAGCCCAAAACTCAATTCCTCTAAAGCAAAAAGCACAAATCGCTTTATTTAATCTAAGCATGGATAGCGGAAGGGAAGTCCCACTTTCTTCGGAGGATTCTCTGCTCAGTATATTTACTTGGCAGAAAGTCCCACTGAAATCAATAGGACTTACCTCTGAGTAAATATGCTTTCAAATTCGTAGAGACTTTACAGCTTAGTTGCACTTGGATGCTAACCAATCATTTGAAAAACGACGTCCATTGATTTCAGCGCTCTCCCGCTCTCCGTCCAAGTAATTGTGTCTTGGATCTCGACCTCCTGTCTACTCCGCGCCTTCTTTCTTCCGCATGCATTCCACTGCTATGTGTGCAGAAAGAGGCGGGGCAGCCTAGCCCTGTTCCCTAAAATGAAATGTAGCGTTTTTAGCTCTCCCAAAAGCGTTCAGATTTCCCAGTCCTCGAAGTAACAGATGAAGGCAACGGAGAACCTCCGCGAGGAAGGCGAAATGGGTGGCGAGGCTGCTGCCTTCCTGTCCATTCCCATTTGTATTTCTCAAAATTCAAGATCTCTGAAGTTCGACCCAAGCAAATGAATTCCAGGTCAGCTTTTTGGTGGGTGTTTTTGTATTGAAAAGGAGAAATAATAAGCAGAGTTACCAGGACTCCAGTGAAGCAAGCTTGTCTCCTATAAAGCACAGCCTGAAGAATTAGCTCCTCATAAATCACCAAGAAGTTACTTTTCCTTAGGAAAAAACAACACACCCCACATATTCACTATCCATGCAATACGCACCGGAGTTAATAGTTCAACGGCAGATTTCACATTAACTTGATCGTTAAAACTAATACAGACCTACATAGCAAAGGGCCCTTCCCTTGTTTAAAAATAAGGAAAGGAAAGGGGGAAAGGATGTACTCATAGATGGCGTTAAGGCGTGTAAGTTGAATCTGCACCCCAGAGTTATGATTTATGGCTTTGTAGTTTCTATTTGGTAAAGTCATCTTTCTGCTTCTGACTCAAAGCAGTCGATAACGTTTTACTCGAGATTCAGGAAGATTTGCTGCGCCTACCTCCCCCATCTGCTCCATTATCCATTAATTTTGGCTGCATTGTTGCTGAAGAACTTCTGAAGGCCTCTTTTGACTGCGCTGAAGGCACTTTAGTTTAAATGCCTAGGAATCCATCTCTTGGATAAGGGTGCTCCCTGTTTAAAGTTTAGCATTTGTCAGTGGAACTATTAGTGACGGACATGCCTATGACTATTCTACAAGTTTCCCTTGAATACTCCCCTCACTCTCTTTTTTAAGGTTGCTTGTGGCCTAAGCTCTGCAGGTTCTAGTCCTATCAAGCGGTGTAATTTGGTTCCATTAAAGGCTATGTTCCGGGAAGGAAAATGTATAAAGGTAGCTTCGAAGTAATATATATTTGGGCATTCTGCCACTGAGTTCAGTGGGAAGGAAGAAAGAAAGTTGCTTTCAGAAGAACTCTGAGCTTATGAAAACTCTGAGCCTAGAGAGCTTCTGGATGACAAGGGGAGCTTTTTGTGTGAGCGCAGAAATCCCCACATTTCCACTTAACACGGTTGTGGAACGAGATGAAGGTTACTAGTGCGGTTAAATCCACCAGCCTCTTAAAAGTTAAGTTGCAGTCAAAGGAAGAGGACGGCTCATAATTTGATCAAAAGGCTGGCAGAAGATACATTTCATCTGCTCACACATAGTAAATGGGGTTCTCTCCCCGCCCCGAGCCCTAATGCAAGTGATGAAAGAAATAGAATACAGTGAAACTTGCTTTAGAGTTGGTTGGAGGAACAGCTGAGAGGGATGTTACATAGGAAACCGGGCAAGAAATTCAGAACCACCATCGGCAAAGTGGGCCCATAATGCATTTAAGGTAGAAACGACGTTTGCCTTGTAAGACATGGTCACTTTGTTAGAGCACTATGTAGCTTGTGGAAACTGAACAGAAAGAAAAAGACTTTTAGATCTGCATACAAATGAAAGATTAATTCATTTCTGAGGCTCACTCCAGGGACCTGTGTGAGATCTCCCCCCCCCCAATTCTTGCTTGATTTTCTTTTCTTTTTTTTAAACCCTCCCTCTCCGGACAGTTAGATCATTATTCCGCGCTAAATATTTCATCGTTCCAGAACCCTATAATTTTGTACATCACTCAAGTACTTGCATAGGAAATGCGTAAGCGCAGGTTGAAAGAGAAGGTCGCAACAGAGTTTGCAAAATGTAGATCCACCACAAAGCCAGCAGACGCCTTCCTCCTCCTCCTCGTCGTCCTCCTAGGGTGTTAACAAGTATAGAAGCCCACCAACTCTATACCAGAGGATCCTTGGGCCTTTTGTCAGGTAATTACGGGTCTTTGGGGTTCCTACAACGGCTCTGCTGTAACGTGGGTGTTCAGCAAGCTCCATTCAATAGAAGTACAGAGGAGCCCGTGGGATGGCGGATACCCCCCCCCCTTTAATACTGAAGGGCTTTTCCTTATGGAAATAGTGGCAGAAGTTCATCTCGGATGGAGCCAGCTGCCCTTTTTCCTCTAAGGGTCAGCGCAGAGTTTCTCCTTCAGAACGAGGCCAGTAGGTTAGCCTCAAAAAGTTATGGGTAATCACATGAGGGGGGGGGGAATTGTTGATTCTTCCTATCTTCCATCTGAAACGTATATAGAAAAATATTCGTGGGAGGAGTGGGATAAAAAAATAAAAGATAATCTGTGCCCCCCCTTTCTTGGCTAAAGCTTAAGGAGGGGTGAGAGAAGAAACAGAAAAGAAAGGAGGAGAAAGAAACACACACACACACACACACACACACACACACACACACGAGACTTGCGCTTCCAACCCTTGTTCCTTCAGTGATTCCCTGTTTCAAATAAAAGGATTTAAGTTGACGTATGACCACGTGAGCACATAATACAGCGCATTATTGTGGCATTTGGAGTGGAGACCCGGACTGGCTTCGCCCGTGATTACGTTTTTTCCGTTTCTGTTCAGAGCAAGAACTGCTTTCTATTATCCACCATCAGCGCCGCCGCCGCCGCCGCCGCCTCCCCCCCCCCCCAAACTACCAACCCACCCGCTCACCCTCGGAGAGAGAGCTTCCACTTGGGCTACGGCGCTCGGTCCTTATGGAAAGGTTATCGCCGGACTGTTAGGACGCGATGCTTCGCTTAAAAAAAAAGAGAGGATGGATTTTATTTTAAGGTATTTCCGCCGATTGTTCCTTTACCGTGGGTGACTTATGGCTGGGCGAGGCAAAGGTCAGGAGAAAAAGCTTAAGGGTGTATATGGACACCAGGCAAGCCTCGTTTCCCCCTTTGTTTCCCTGGGCTTGTGGAAGGGGGGCGAGAGAGAGAGCTTTGCAACAAACAGATCAGAGAATATTTGCCCCCCCCCATGGGTTTTGGATTTCTGCGTGTTCTTGTGACTGGGCTTTGTTGTGGCTTTTTGTTGTGGTCTGGATGCTTTAGTGGCCGTTGTTTTTTAAATCGCCCAACAGAAGCAGGAGAGGACAGAGTCAAGGCTTTTGGTTGTCCTGTTTATTATATACCCCTGATGCTGATTTAAGTGTGTTTTGGGAAGCGTCACGCGACCGTGATCCGAGCCATCTTTCTTTCTTTCTTTCTTTCTTTCTTTCTTTCTTTCTTTCTTTCTTTCTTTCTTTCTCTCTCTCTCTCTCTCTCTCTCATTCTGGACCTTCAAATCGATGAGTATGCAATTCTGCTACCATTTTATTTATGCCACTTACTGGTATTTTGTTGACTGGTGGCCCACTGAACGCGCGACTGGTGGGATCTCCACCATTCCAGGAGGAAGAAACCAGGCGGTTTTCCTGCTCTCCCTGCTCAATTTTCAAGCTGTTTCCCTGTCTTCTCCCTCTGTGAGAATGGAATAAAAGCATCCACCCATACCCCATAATAATCAATGGGAATATTGGAGCGGGGAGGGGGGGGGAGCTGTGGTTGGATTGAGCAAGGATCTGGAAAGGAAAAGAGGGCGCTTGAACCTATTTTTCTCTCCAAAAGCTTTACATTCGCAGTTAGATTTCCTTTACCTCTCACCAAGTCTTAACCAGCTATTCATTCAGTTTTATGGAGGGAGATGCACCGCAAATAAGGGGGAGGGGGAATGAAAGCACTGCTTGTGTTATACAAGGGGACAAATGTTATATAAAATTACATCCACCACTGAGTCCCAGCATTGCTAAAGGTCAGAGTGCTGACTTTTGATTTATGTTGCCAGTGGGCTAGGGGCAGAGCGCTCGCCTACACGCTGCTGCGCCTCCTCCCTCTCCCTTCTTAATGCCCAGTTGCAATTATTCAATTCAGGGTTAGATTTTAGAATTGGGGGTTAAGGAGCAAAAGCTGCTTCTTCTTCTTCTATTATGAATAAAACTCCCTTATCTAAAACATGATGGTTGTTTAATTCTAGAATGTGTCTTGCGGATATTGTATATTTCCCCCCTTCCCTGATCTGTTCACCGACCAGATCCTAAATTAATAAATGAAAAGTAAGCGGATCCAAATTGTCCAGGAATCTCTTTACACATATGCACCTCTATACACTCTTTCAGATAGATATGAAAGAGGTGGGGGAACTTTTTTTCTTTGTGGGGAGGGGGGAGGGGAATTAGATTTCAAATAGGCCGAAACCTCTTTGGGAAAATAAATAAATAAAATGTAAGTTTTAATTGTGGCTCAATTACTTTGTCACGGTTTCTTATGATTTATGACCTAGTTTTGGTGCATTTTGACCCAGTTAAAACAGTCATAAATAATAGGAGTGCTGAAGCTGATATGAAAAAGGGCTTTTGTGCACAAGTGTTGGTAAGTAAGTAAATAATAATAATAATAATGATTCCGGTTAAAATCCTCAGTATATATGCTGAGTAAATACAAAACGAAGTGTCAATAGCGGTTATATGGGGTTTGATAAGATAAACAGTGATAAGAGACCAAAGAGGCTTCTTCTCCCTAAGGTTGGAAGCGATACACTTCTGGGATTGAGATCCTAAACACCCTTACCGGGAAGCAAATGCCATAAAAAGCCAATGGTACTTACTTCCAAGTAACCAAGCTGAGGTTCGGCGTATTAAGCGTCTCAGATTTGCATTTTATCAAGACTCTGTACCAAACAAGCCTCTCTCCCTGCAATTAAATCAGTTGAGTAGTTCTTCTCGGTGCCTTCTTGCAATACAGTTATTCCGGAGTTCTGAATAATTTTCTCTTCCCAGGAAATAGATATATTTATATTTTCTTTCACAACGCATTCCGAAATCTTTGGGCTATTTGCCGAAATGATCGACGAAACTCCCCTGGATTTTCTACCCAGAGAAGAGAAAATGTTCCTTTACAAACTTCAGCTCCTCGTTCAAAATGTAGTGTAGTATCTGTTGGTTGGTTTGTTTGTTTTTCCGGTGAGCAGCCCACCCCCAGGTTGCAGAAAGGATTTTCAGGGAAGGGAGGGGCACCCTGAGATATTCATTTATTCCCCAGTATAATCCAGTTAACTGGAAACATATTTATGCCGCTTGACTCCCAATGGCATAAATCCAAACATCGTGGCTTCTTAGAAGGGAGAGTATTAAGCAACTGCAGCTATATAAAGTAAAAGTAAGATTTATTTATTTTTAAATGATCAGGTTGGATTGAGAAAAGATACAAAGCCTAGAACAGAATTCGGGGTGGGGGGTAATTTCACTTATTAAATTAAATAGCCTGTTTAATTTAAATATTCAGGGCTTAGAAATCCACCCCCGCTTCCAACCACAGATCCTTTATCTGATTTACCTCTAAGGTGAAATATGTTATCTCTGCGTCAGAACATTGCTCGCCACAAAATTATCCTAAAGTAATTCCGAAGTGTGACAGAGCTCTCCCACCTCGCCATCGCTGCTGGGAATCCCAAGACTGCCTTTGTGGCAAGTGGGGTGCGCGCGCGGTGGATACCCGGACCGTCTTCTGTAATTTGTTCCGGAGAGGGTTTCTCTCTCTGCCACCCGCCTTGCTCCCCACACAAATCCTCCCCCACTTTCTTAGCCGGCATCTTCCTCTTTTTTTTGGTGGCTTAAAAAAAAAAAGGAAAAGTGTAGCATCAGCAGCTTTCAGAAGAAAAGTACGAGGTTGATTATTGACCAAAAGAGGCGTTTTCTCTTCCAGCGCAACTTTCAAGGGGTTGTTTGTAGCAAAGAACTGCCTACCAGTGAATTTTTTGGGGGCCCCCTCCTACGCCGCTCAGCTTTCCCCTTTCAAGTTGGGAGCCGCCGCGATCTGCTACGAGGAGCAAGTGTTTTCTGTTGTGAAGCTCTGTTTACAGCTTGGGCGCACGGAGTCATAAATCTTGCCTAGCCATAAATGACAAAAACCATTGGTATGCGTAAGAGGCTACCCTGGCCTTAGAGTCCTTGTGTGTGCATGTGTTTAAATATCCTCTTTCTTCCCCTCCTTTTGCTTTGTTTCTGCTTTAAGGTGACATTGCGGTTTAAAGGGAGCCCTTTGTATTTCTCGCACCTTGGGTTTTATCGAAGGCATGTCAGATTCACACCTAGGCTTTATCCGAGTGCACCGCGGAAGGTCTGAAGCGCCGAGCGGCTCCTTTGTCTTGCCTTAGAAGAGCCTTGATGCTCTCCGTAGGTCCAGCTTGGTTTTGTTTTTTGTTTTGTTTTTGGAACCCAGAAGCATTCTGCTGGCTAAACCTCGCGACATTTGGTTTGGTGGTTGGAAGGGAATAAAGAAATGGTTAGGAGAAGGGAGACTAGGACAAAGACTAAGAGGGGGGCGGCGGAAGAGAACTGAAGTTCACAGAACCAAACATCCACGCCCATCAGCATGCAACCACAACATTACATATGTCCGTGTGCGTATTTTTATAAATACACACGGAGAGGTGTGTCTTTATGGATGAAAACACTTTCATGCTAGCCTCTCTGAACGCATTTACAGAGGTCCTCCGCGCACACCTAGGCTTCAGAAAGTCTAGGAGCCCCTCCAAATTATTTAGAACCCGAGTCCTATTTGTTTCTGCCGCGGAAGGATGCGCAGCTTCCCCATTCGATCCTAACGATGTTTGCTCGCCAGCAAACCCCGTCGATTTCAATTCGATCGGCTTTCACCTAAGCACCCTTTAGGAGTAGGTTTGCCTGTCTCAGTTCCATTGATCTGAACAGAGACAAACATGCCAGCAATTCGGTTCTAACTGGGAACGGAGTCTTTATGGGAGTGACATCCCATTTGCGCGGGATTCAGTGGCAAAAAAGAAATCGCCTCTCGGTGTTGAATCTTTGCAGCTTGTTTGCGTACCACAGTCGCGTGGGTATCCCGCATCTAGTTGCGCGCGTTAATGTAAGCCTAGGGGAAGGGCATGTGTGTGTGTAGATGCGTCCTTACATGGGCATCTGGCTGCGGTTGCCTATCTCGGGTGAGCGCGCCCGTTCATCATCCCGAAATGTCATTACTTTAATCGTTCCTTTGAAACGCTGTCTAGATTGGCCTGGGTGGTAGACAGATCAGAGGGCTCCTGGTTTATTACAATGGGGAGCACCCGAGCCTTCCAGGAGTTCCAGGTTTCGACCCCTTCTGCACGTCCAAAAGAGTCCATATCTACTATAAGCACCTTCATATAACGTGGAAATACGCGCGCGCGCACATATATATCAACAATCCGGTCTAGGGAGGGTGACCCCTTTGTGAGCATCCTTTGTCTTCATTTGCATAATTTCCCTGGCCTTCAGTGCCGCCCCGGCGCTTCCCTCCCTCCCTCCCTCCCTCTTTCTTCGCCCTCCCTCCCTTCCCGCTCCCCACCCCCCACTCTGCTCGCCTGCTCGCCTGCCTGCCCCGGACTTCCCGAGGCAGCTGCCTTACCCCCCCTTCAAACAAACGCCCCCTTGGGCGCACAAAGATTTCAGAAGAAACATCCCTGCTGCTTTTTTTTTTCCTGTAGAAAATCTGGTCAAGGTGGGAGAAGCCGGGCTCCCGTAGCCTGGGGAGGCTCTTGATCGCGGCCAGGCCCGAGGAGCGTGGGGAGGTGGAGGTAGGGGCTGGAGCGAAGTAAAGGCTCGCGCGGGGCGAGGAGGGGCGGGTGGCTCTCCGTCAGAGGCGAGCTGGAGAAAGATCCCCTTGCGCGCGTGCCCTCTTCCTGATCAAGGCAGGGCTGCTCCCATCTGTACTCGTGGGCTCGTCCTGGTGGAGATGAGTTGAGCTGGGACCCATCCCGGAGAAGCTGAGGGGACTTGCTTGGGGAGGGGGACTCGCGAGGTGGAGTGGGGGGGCAGTGGATTGAGGAGAAGAGTCGTGCTCCCAGGGCTGGCGGGGAGCGACTGTCGCCGAGCCTCCAAAGAGCAAAATGCGGGCTTCCGCCTCAGTCGTCAGAAGTTAAGGTAAGCAGGCCACAAATACGCTGCTATCAGTGGTGAATGGCGGAGTTTATGTCCTGGTGATTTATGACCAGAGACTTAAATCTCGGTTCAAGAAGAGTTCACAGGCTGGAGCTTCCTTCCAGGCAGTGACGGATAGACCCTGGTGCTTCGAGTTCAGGCCACTTGCCCACCCCCTCCCCTCCACTTTCCCTTTATCTGGCAGGAAATCTTGGGGCGAAGGGAAGGTGGGTGAGAGGGGGGTGCCCGCCTGGATTGAGTAGGGTGAAGGGAAAAGACGGGAGCGCGAGAAAGAAACAGCTCGAGATTGGTCGCCGCAGCTCGCTCCACGAGCCAGTTGAGGAGGATTGAAACTTTTAGGCCAGTTCAGTCTCCCTGTTTTCCAACCAGGACTGTATCGGCTCATGTCCAGGCAACCCGCCTTTTTCTGAGCTGTGGATCGAGGCGTGGAAGGGAGGAGGGTTTTTTGTTGTGTTTTTTTTTAAAAAAACAACAACTGAGTGTGGGGTGGGAGAAGCAATAGGGAGACTTCCCTAACCAAGCAAAAGTTTCCACCAAAGCTTCCTAGTGTTTCTAAGGAGCTCGGAAAGTCCTAATTGATGAGGATATTTTATTTGCAAGGGTCGGTCTAGTCTTCTTGCTCACCCCTTGGGACACTTTTGGATCCTGAGATAGTACAATCCTGCGCACATTTCTTCCTGGGAAGGGAGTCCAACCGAATAGAGTGGGACTTACTTCCCGGTTAAATAGACATGGGATCGCCCTATAAGGCAGCGAGAGTAAACTCCATGCAACTCCATGGAACTTACTTTGGAGTAAGCTTATGTAAGACTGGGCTGCGTATGATCCCACGATAAGCAATCAAGTTTTTATGAAGTCTGCTGGCCAAGTCACTGGGTTGCGTGACAAACTTCTGCGCGGCCTAATTTTGCTTGTAACCTGTTCCTCCCCGCCAGTTTCCTTTTGTCTAACATCTGTGCATCATCATCAGCAATAGGCAAATGATATGAAGAGTGCATTTTACTTTGAATTGATAATACAATATAAGATGTGATCCAGAGCCACGTCCTTTCGTGGAAGTTTTGCCCATGATTTCAACCGGAGTTGTTTATTAGCACCCCCTCCTTTCATTGTTTGAGAATACTTTGGTATACCTTTGCTCGGAGTGGGCTGCTGACTTTAAGGATGAGAATTGCCTTATTCCTCTCACTTCACACTCTCTTTGGCATCATCCTGCACCTGAGCTGGTTCTCGCCTCTCTGCCAAAGCTTACAAGAACAAAACTTAAACGCCTGGGACAGCGTGGAAATATTATGAATTTGATCAAACGGGAACCACGATCATAACAGACCCCACCACCTAATTTGTGGTTCACAGAAGATAACAGGCCTCTGCAAAGGAAGCCCGGAAATTAGCAGAATGATTAGAAGACAGATAGCAACAGTAGGATCTACAATCAAGGTTTTTTGTTTTTGTTTGTTAGGTATTTTAGGTTTAAGTCGATTCACTCTCAAACTGGAGGAAATCGGTTTATGGCTGGATTGTGTTCCGGGGCTACAGTTTCTAAACTGCAGCCAAAGAAAGTTAATTGCCTACATTTTTAGCTCTTAACCGCCGGGTTAAGAAAGGACTTGATTACTGTTTAAATAATAATAAGAATCAAAAGGCAGCTGCCATCTGTAAGGGGTTTATTAAATTAGTTTGTCTCTACAATGTGCCTTGTTTTCTAAGGAAACGAGTGTGGACTGAAATGCTAACACATGTAATGAATTTGAGTGGGTGCCTAGGGTGCTGTGTAATGTTTTCTTCAAGAATATAAGCCTTGGCACAAGACCATCTTGGCGGAGAAGAGGGAACCGAGGGTGTTTTGTAAGAAGATAGGGATAGGGAAACTATGAAGGTGCGGATAGATGGGTTTTGATATCGTGATTTGGCCGGCCTGTAAAAAAAAAAAAAAGTTCTTAGATGGCAGATAAAATTCCTGGGAATGGAAGCCCATCTCTAACCTCGGTTGTACTCATGCAGGTAAACATTGTGGAGTGAACAGAAAAAGATTCGCCTGGGTTGTAGGAGCCTTCTGCGGTTTTGTGTGTCCATTCTCCTTTTCCCAGCCAAATGACCCTCATACATCAAATTACATAGCAGTTCCAAAGACAGAGCCTATTATCGTTAAGTTGGTAGGAAAGTTCAATCCGTGGTCATGGAGATGAACGCTGGTTTTTCAGGTTCCTGGTGTGTGTCTTTCCCCCAATCCATCATGTTTGAGCAGGTAGAATTTGGGTATATTACATGAAGGGGTTTGGGGGAGGGGGAAGTGAAGATACTGACTGATAATATTTTAAAAGTTCATATGTGCCTAATATACCCCCGAAATAGTTATTAGCTGTTCCCGCAGAACGCAATGGACAGAAATAATATACAGTATAGGCCCGAGGGTGCGAAGGAAACGTCCCACAAAAGCAGGTCTAGCTGAAAGGCCGCCTCGGATTATTATGTTTGGTTACATGTTGAGGCTGTTTGATCCTGGAGGCCAGATTTGTGTCTCTGTCTAAAGGCGCAGCAGTTAAAGCTAATTTATGCGCAGGAAGTTGGCTGGTTATTAAACTGCGAAGGAGAAGGGCTTCCCTCGTCGCTGTGCTGTTTCATCACACGAGGGCCATTATGGGTTGCATTTGTCAAACGTTTCCTAGCAAACAGTTCATGTGTTCGAATCCCTCGAGTGCCAGAACGTTGAGTAGCCCTTCACGGGGAATGCGATACAGTTATTTATGGGTCTTCTGGCTTTCCCTTTTCTTGTTTGCTTTTTTAAAAAAATGCATTTCAAAATGATGTTTGCTTAATAATAAAAAAGGAGGGGGGAGCAAAAAAAATAGTCTAAAGAGGAAAGAGCTACGGATTTGCTCATTATTTTGGGGGTGGGGCGGGGAGAAAATATCACTTTCCCACGGTGACCACAAGTTTACTCTGGTCGTTCTTATCTAGAGACTCTCCCTTTAAATAACCTACGAAGTCCCTTTCCTGAGAATTGATAAATTGGTTCTTAGAGTAAGGGTGGGGTGCGTGTGTGTAGATTTTCATCTCTCTCTCTCTCTCTCTCTCTCTCTCTCTCTCTCTGTGTGTGTGTGTGTCTGTGTGTATACACACACACACACAAATATAGATATGAAAATCCTAGAAAACTACACTCTCCCGGAGCAGTAAAGCACACAGTACCGGCTGCCTAGTAAATCCCAGCCACTATCGAAATTCTCTTCGCCCTCCAGGCCAAGTCATGCTGCTAAATATTGCTGACCACTTTTTCTGTTATGGCTTTCATGTCACTTAGCTATTGAAAGTAAGATGGATTTGTACTATTTCTTCACTCTCCTGCGCTTTCCCTACACCCTAGGTCTACCAGGACGGGCCATTGGAGGAAAAACGTCACGTGACAGAGGGGCGCCAATGTTATTCTTTAAGGGTGTCAAGACCCTGTCAGTTTGTGAAATAAATATTGGGAAACAACGAAATGCAAAAAGCGACCTACTACGACAGCTCTGCGATCTATGGCGGCTATCCTTACCAAGGAGCAAATGGTTTCGCTTACAATGCTAGTCAGCAGCAATATCCTCCTCCGCCTCCTTCTTCCTCGCTGGTGGAAACGGAGTACCATCGACCGGCCTGCTCTTTACAGTCCCCCGGAGGCGGCGGCGGCGGCAGCACCACCGTGTCCCACCACAAGGCCAATGAAATCAATGAGAGTTGTATGAGGACCATCACCAGCCAGTCTCTCCAGCCCCCAGTCCTTTCAGAGCAGCCTCAGCAGCAGCCTCCAGCCCCCCAGCAAGCACCACCACCTCCACCCCCCTCTGTGTCACCACCTCAGAATGCCACCACTAATTCCGCCCCGCCTAGCGCCACCAAGAGCTCCATCTTGAACTCGCCCACCATGTCCAAGCAAATATTCCCCTGGATGAAAGAGTCTCGACAAAACACCAAGCAGAAAAACAGCGGCTCCAGTTCAGGTATGGCAAAAGGAGGAGGGCTGGTAAAGATTAACCGAGCGGATGTACTTACAGGCAGCCCCATCCACCAAGCCGTTAAGCAGAAGTTATTCAGATCCTTGACTTCTAGGTGTTTCATTAGTCTGGCAGGAATGGTTTAGATTCCCCACTCCCCAGCTATTTCACTTGGAAATTGGAAACACACACAATGGCTTGAGATCAGAAAAATTGCCTTATCTATAGCTACACACAGAGATATCTATATCTATATCTATATCTATATCTATATCTATATCTATATCTATATCTATATCTATATCTATATCTATATATCTATATCTATATCTATATCTATATCTATATCTATATCTATATCTATATCTATATCTATATCTATATCTATATCTATATCTATATCTATATCTATATCTATATCTATCTATTACACATACACACAGCAAAAGATAGATATGCAAATGCATACATACATACATACAGCTACATTTGCACATATTTAGGTAATGGTGTGTGTGTGTGTGCGTGTGTGTGCGTGTGCGTGCGCGCATGTGCGTGTGTGTGTGCGCGCACACACACATCCAAAGAGGCTGATCTCCAGAAAGAGGAGGACGCCTGAAGTTTGGTTGCTTTGCATGACCTCTGTTAAACTCTTGCAAAAGAATGTGAAGTTGCTTAGCTTCCAAGCTCTTCTCTTTGCAGACTTTGAGATGACTGTAACAGGCACCTCGGAGTCCTCAGCATTCCATAGACAACCCGCCCCCTCCTTCTTTCTGCTTCTATTAAATCATGTCCAGATACAAAGGTCCAGGCCTATCTTCAACAAGTGGCAAGACCTGTGTGCCTCTCTCTCTCTCTCTCTCTCTCTCTCTCTCTCTCTCTCTCTTTTCTTTTTTGGCACAGTGCTACAGTCACAAGACAGTGACCTATCCCTGCTGAAGTGTAATGAGAATAAAATAGCTCATCATTATCTGCAGTCAAGATCAATGCTTTGTTTGATATTCATAACCTCTTTTGATTTTAGCGCACAGACTGGCAACCTTACAAGCACGGTAAACAAAGCTTAGGTTTCTTTAGCACTTTGCAGGCAGGTCCATAAATACATTATGGGTGGATTATAGTGTTTATCAACAGTGCTATTACATAAGTAAACCCAAATCGATGAGAAAAGTATTAGCGTCAGTCTCCCCAGGCATTTGGCTCCTGTTTACCACTTACTTCCTTAATTTATCTTGTGCTGTGAAAATAGATTCTAAAATTTTTGCAAATGTTTTCTTTGATGCATTTCTAATACTGTTACAGTGGTGTATCAACACTGACAAGCCTGATTATTTGATATGTACTGTGGTTTAAACTGTATATTTATCTACATGCATATTATATCATCTAGGACCCTGGCTCTGATCCATAAACCCCGGGCAGTCAAAGTACTAAGGGTGGCAGCCTAATTCTAAACATGTCAACCTGGAAGTAAACCCTGCTCAGTTTAATAGGCCTTGCTTATTAGTAAATATGCAGAGGACTGCAGACATACCTCACTAGGTGCAACTGTTGGAAGGACAGTCCCACAGAACTGAATGTAATGTAGGCTTGATACTAAACTTGGAAGCAAATTCCTGGAATTCTGTGGGGCTTAGGAACTCTGCTTAACAGTGTATTCCTATATCTATCTACCTAGGAGGAATCCCACTGAGTTCAATGGGGACTTTTCCTGGGTAAGAAGGTATAGGATTAAAGCCAAAATCTCATGGAGTTTGATGTGACTTCAGAAATATTTCACTTATTTGGATTGTGCACTCAGCGAAGGCTGAATACGTTTTGGAAAATGTCCAAGTGTCCCCACTCCCACCCCACCATGGTGGTAAAAAACCAGCACAATGGATTGAACAATTAACCATTTTGCTGCCCTTTAATGGTACCCTAAAATCACTGCCTACAGCAGGCCCCTTTGTCCTTCCCAGTCACAGAGCTGGCCCTGTGTTCCTATCCATTCCATTCACTTGAGTGTGTCCAAGCTGGCTTTAAGCCAAGTAATTCTTCACTGGTGTGTGGAGCTGGCAGCCAGGCTGGTTTTATATTTGGGGAAGGAAGTGGATGGAGTATGGATGTTTGTCTTTGGCTTTTTGTATTCTGATTCTCGGCGTATTGACATAGATACCTATCTTGTTATACTTAATGGAATATACCTTTTGAAGTTCTCTGGACCTCTCTGAATGTCAGCCGCATTATCCTGACCCCACCAAAGTCAATGGGACTTTTGCGGTTGATTCTAAAAGAGTCAAGTTTTCTCTTCTCTAAAGTTCCATATGAAAGAAATAATTCAACCTACCACTTCAATTGGACTTTCATTCAATTACTTGGGAGTAATCCAATTCATATAGCAAACAACTTTTGTTTTAGCGGTTTGGGAGCTGACAACATGTAACCCCAAAATCCATACCTTTATTTGCCATGGTGTTTATCTTTCCCATGAAAGCATGGTTTCTGGTCAGACGCATTTCTAGTGGTTTTCAAAGACTGCATCTCTGATCCTACAGAGATACAGGCAATTTGCATATATTGGTGCAGTAAATGACTGTCACTTGAGCATATCTTTGGTCACAGCAGACAACCTCATGTGTGGAAGAGACAATGCTACCACTAGGCCAGGGGTAGGCAACCTTCTCAATCCGGCCTGCGGACGGTTGGGGAATCAGGGTGTTTTTACATGAGTAGAAGGTGTCCTTTTATTTAAAATGCATCTCTGGGTTATTTGTGGGGCATAGGAATTCGTTCATAATTTTTTTTCAAAACATAGTCTGGCCCACCACATGGTCTGAGAGATGGTGGACAGGCCCACGGCTGAAAAAGGTTGCTGACCCCTGCACTAGGCCCTGCAATGTACTAGCTCAGGCAAGGCTGATTGATGATTACTGGTTGTTGTGTGTTCAGGTGCCCCCATACTCACTTTGTTCTTTGTGTGATTTGCATAGGTGAGAGTTGTGCTGGTGATAAAAGCCCCCCAGGGCAAGCTTCCTCTAAAAGAGCCCGAACGGCTTACACAAGTGCCCAGCTGGTAGAACTGGAAAAGGAGTTTCACTTCAATAGATACCTTTGCAGGCCAAGAAGGGTAGAGATGGCTAACTTGCTCAACCTCACAGAAAGACAGATCAAAATATGGTTCCAAAACCGCAGGATGAAATACAAAAAGGATCAGAAGGGCAAAGGCATGATGACCTCTTCAGGAGGACAGTCCCCCAGCAGAAGTCCTGTCCCTCCGGCTGCTGGAGGATACCTGAACTCTATGCATTCCCTAGTAAACAGTGTTCCATATGAACCCCAGTCACCGCCATCCTTCAGCAAGCCTCATCAGAATGCCTATGGCATCCCTACGTCATATCCGGCTCCTCTCAATAACTGCCCGCCTCCACAAAAGAGATATACCGGAACTGCAGCAGTGACTCCTGAATATGACCCTCATCCTCTTCAAGGGAATGGTTATGGCAATCCACATATACAGGGAAGCCCCGTCTATGTTGGGGGCAATTATGTGGACACCATGGCAAATTCTGGGCCTTCCATCTTTGGTCTGACTCACCTCCCTCATCCTTCTTCTGCCAACATGGACTACAGTGGGCCAATGGGCAACAATCATCACCATGGACCGTGCGACCCACACCCAACATATACAGACCTTACTTCTCACCATCCTTCTCAGGGAAGAATTCAGGAAGCGCCCAAACTGACCCATCTGTAATATACCATCAGTTACTTAGTGGATCATAAAAGTCCCCCAGCCTTTTTAAAAAAAAAGAAAAAGGGAAAAAGAAGGAAAAGAAAAGAAAAATACTTTAAATTCCTCCCCCTGCCCTTTCTGTTTTGCTTCTGTTTTCTTTTCTTTTGGTTAAAAAAAGAAGAAGCATTTTCTAGTTTATGTGACGTAGCAATATCTGTTGCTTGAATTGCTCCCTAGTTTCAATAGTGGATATTTATCTCCTTGAACTCTTTGCCTTGTGTTCTCCCTTTGAGAGTATACATAGGCTTTCTACTCTTAACTTCAACACTTTTATCAAAACAGGGTATATGAACAAATTTTCTATACAGATGGTTCTTAAATGTGAATTTGTTCGTACATAATCGATCCCAACCGGGGAAGCATTTTTATTTTAATTGCACTTCTTTTAAATAGCGAGAAAGAAATAAAAAGGCGCTTGAACAGGGGCTCCCTGAGCGAACTTATTAATACGTGTACGTCTTTCAACGTGTGTATGCTGGTGAACTTTCAGATTTATTTATATTTTTTTGCAAACTTTGAATAATCTAAGTGTTTAAATTTTTTTATTTATCCCCATCTGTTCATATTTATATATATAAATATATTAAAAAAAATAAACTTCTGTACCCTGAATATTCAGGAGATATTTACCTGGCTGTATGTTAAATGACATACATAGGAAATATCATTTGGAAGGGGGGAACTTAAACTCCTTTATTTAAAAAGAAGAAGGAAAAAAAATGCAATAAAATCTGGAAAATAAACAGCAGGCCACCACAGGAACAGGAACGGGTGCCTGTTAACATCGAACTAAAGGGAAATGTGTAAACCTGAACGAGAACAACACAAAGCTAGATTTTGTTTTGAAAGTTATACATTCCTTGCTGCTCACATTCTGGAAAAAAAAAATAAAGTTTTTATTCTGAATAATACAGACTTAAGATATGATCATTTGATTTTAGAAAGGGGGAAAAAAGCGAGAGAGAAAGAGAACAAGGACTGACGCCCTTGGAGCTTTTAAATACATAAATCTCCGATATCCAACCTTCAGGTCTTCTCTGTTTCTCTGAGCTTTCAAGGCTTAGAAGCCTTACACATTTTTGTCTCCCCACTCCTCAAAAAACAACAACAGTAGGGAGAAATGGAGCATTGAAAATATCCAAGATGGAAAAAGATCCGCCCTTTCCGACCATAGCTTGAGGACTGCAGTTCTCCAGACGTTTTTCATAAACGCAGCCCATAGGTAGCTGTGGCAGCTTGCTCGTTTTTTGTTGCATTCATTGTGGTCGAAGGGAAGCGGAGGAAGGGGTGGAGGTGGGGAAGAGAAACTGTGTCCCTCATGTCTGGAGCGATATGCTGTAAATCAAGCTCAGGTGGCTGCGTCGCCTCTGCAGAAGGGAATCTTCTCCTGAGGCCGCAGGATGAGCTGGGTCCCGCTTGCAGGCTGTTCTCCCTCTCGCCATATTGGGTCCACTCTCTGCTGGAGGAAGCCAGCCGTTCCTAATGGGAGAAAAGGCTCTCCTCGCCTCCGCACTGGGGACCTTTGAGCCGATCGGCAGCTCGCTACTCCCACACTTAAAAGCTCCTCTCGGGAACCAAAACGGACAATTCAGCGACTGTTTATGCTGAGTGATGGGGGAAATATTTTTTTAAAAAAAGGAAAGGAAGGGGTGGGGATTTGGAGAGAAGAGAAAGAGGCGAAATTAAATAAACTTAAGGCTAAAAAAAACGAAGACTCATGTAGTTAGACTCATATTTGATATGGCACGAATTCAAAAGCACATTTGTTTACAGGCAAAATACAATTCATCACCCTAATAATGAAGGGACAGATTCAGCAATAATAAATCAGGCCTGTTTGCCAAGCGATCTGGCCCATCCCCGGGGTTGAAAGAGAGAGTTTGTTCCTTATGGTCTTCTCCACGTACTGAGCTGCTCATCTGCGGTCTTAGAAATTGAAGGGCTTTCATAATCTTCGCACGACTTGTTAATCGAGCGTCCTTTACCATCCTGCACCCCCACCCACATCTTTTCTAGATTGGGTGGGCGAGGTGAGGCAATCGAATGTAAATCTTCTATTGGGGGAGGGGGAGGGGAAATAAAATAAATGAAATCCTTTCTTTCCGAAATACCTTTTGATATATCCATAGCAAATTGGTCTCGAAGACCGTCATGCATGGATCTGCGCTAATAAACGAGTTATAATAAATCCAAACAGTAAACAGATAATTTAAAGCGGTGGGGCTTATTTGTTGTAGCAATTGGGTTTGGGATTCTAAGAACACCGGTATACACAATAGTGCATTTAGAGGGAAACTATTTTACACTCAGCATCTGTTATTTCAATCTGAAGGAGATTGTCGCCATGTTGGTCACCTTGGTAGAAATATTATTCATCTCTTCTCTTTTTCACAGTCTTAAGAATCTTCCTGATTTCTTGTCCCAATAACATTGCTACCCCCAATATAAAAGAAATAAACACAAGGCGTAGCTAACTACAATGCAAAGAAACGTAACTCTGTATTATTATTTTGCCATCCATACAAACCTTATTATAGCTTGAGTTAGGCAAGTCCCATATATACTTACAGCGACGCGCTCCAGACTGCAGAAAGGCTGCACCCAACCTTTTAAAACTCATTAATCTGTTTTTAAAGAGTCTTATAATGGGGGGAAAAAACTCCCAAATTGGAGCTCCGGAATGCAGCGTTTGGAGGAAGATGAAGCGAAAATGGATCGTGGTGGATATTCTCCTGTTCAAAATTAATTTGAGAGATGATGCCTTATATCAGTGGCGAATAGCTGACTGTTTGAGTATTGAAAACCAACCTTTTAAGACAATTTTCTGGGAAGGGGAAGTCAAAAAGCATATATTTTCTCCTCGTGAATTTTTTTTTTTTACAGGAAAGGGGTCACCTAAATTTTCTCCCTGCACTCCCTCGACTGTATCACATACTGTTCGGATTTCATTTAGAGAAACATAAATTTTGCTTTTGTTGTTGTTTTGGTTTTGCAGAGGGTTTTGAGTGGAGGGCATGGGGTTTTTTTGTTGGCCAGCCTCTTTGTTCCAGGTGTTTTTTCTATTAGGCTGCCCACCCCAAAATGCTGGCCCTAACCCTCCCACGCCGATTTGACTCACAAAGCCTTCCTGGACCCAACTGCCCCAGCCTTCTCCCACGTTCGCCTTTCCTCCTAGCGGGTCCTCGAACAAACCTTCCCACCCATTTCACTTCTAGCACCTATATTCTGTAGGGGGTGGGGGGGAAGATTTAAAAAACAAAAAAACGAAACCCCAGGATCGGAGCTGTCTTTCAGGGTAATGCGAAAAAGAGCAAGATCCCCACCCTTAATACAGGAAAATAAAATCCATTTGTGGAGCAGAATCAGCCTCGCCGTCCTCTTTTTCCTTGTTTACTCGCGTTTCTTGCTCTCTCTCTCTTTCCCCCCTTCTTTTCTCAGCCACATTTGATCTGGGAAAGAGCAAGAAGCTTCAAATGTGTTCTTAAAGGCCAGAAGCTGTCAAAGCGTTTGGCCCGGGAAGATTGATCGTGCGCAGGCTTCAGCGGATCTTTGTTTGGAGTAAAAGCAAGAAAATTAAAAAGAGAGAGAGAGAGAGAGGAAAGAAACCCAGCCTACATCTTCCAACAGCATGTATATTTGTAAGGCACCCTTTTCCATCCTCCCTCCCTCCCCTCCCTCCTTCCTTCCTTTCCTGTCAAAGATGCATTAAATAGCAACCCCAATCTACATTTTTTTAAAAAAATGTGAACAAATTATTGCAATATCTCGGCCCCTCCCCCACCCTTCCTCAGCCCCTGATCCATATTGTGGGAGTTTATTTGCTTGAAATAAAAAGGGGGTTTTGCTGCTTTTTTTGCTTAAAAAAAATCACCTTTAAAAACATTCTCTCTCTCTTTATTTTTTTGCTTAGCTTCACTCCACCTGAAGATGTAATGGTCAGTTTATTGTTTTAAGCGCTTCCAAGCTCTGCTCAGGATTCTGCTCTGAAATCTAACAAGGACTCGAGGTAGCGGATGGAGCACTTTCGGGCTTCACTGGAATGTATAAATATAGAAAGAGAGCTCTTCCATCCCACCCCTCTCGCCTTGCAGAAAGCCCTCTTCCAAAAAAAAACCGGAGGATGCGCGGCCTTTTTCCTGGTTTGCTTTGAAGAAGAGGAAACCTTCGCCTCGTTCCCACCGTGTCCTTCTGGGTCTTCTTCTCTCCTCCAGCGCTGTCCACCCCTCCCCTCATTTACCTTTTTTTTTTAATAAAAAAATGATAATAATAATAGTAATTGAGGCGATTGAAGAGCTATCCTGTCCAAACCATCGGCATCGCGGAATGAATGAGCAAATCGAATAAACCGTGCGCTCCAAAACGAGATGGTAAGGGCAGAAACGGATAGTCAGTTCCACAGTCCTTAGAGCTCTTTGGTTTAATCTGCAGCCTTATTGTGGTTTTGTTTCGTTTTTTTTAAATCCCTGACATTGACTTTTGACATATTTCACTGGAATCGAGAGGGGGGGAAATACTCGCCGGACCCCATTTTATTGGGGCTACGGAAAGAAAAAGCGTCAGCTGATTCCAGTGTCATTTGTGTGAATGCTCTGGATGTTGTTTTGTGACACCCTCCCCGCTTTTCTTTCCTCTTTTGATCGGAACCTGTGTTTACAGTCCCAGGGTCTAATGGAAATCTGTATCTCCTCTGAATCGTCCGCTTCTGTCAAGACAACTGCGGGGAGAAAGTAGCGACCCACCAGCCTGCGTGCTCTTACTCTTCCCCTAGGAGCGAAGCTGCTGGAGAAATTCCTTCGACACAATGGATGGAGGCAGGGACCGGCGGCCAATTGTTCTCCATACTGTACCCTCAGCTGAAACGGGGAGAGAATTGCGGGGGGAAAGGATGCCAGGTCGTGATCGAGGGGGAGGAAACCCCAACCTTGCCGTCCTTTAATTTTTTCTTAAGGAAGTGGTTAGTCCTCAGCACGGAGTTGGGTCCGGGTTTTGTTGGAGATGGGGGGGCGGGGGGAGGGGGGAGGGGGGGAAAACAAACCCAAATCAAATATAAGCAAAGACTCCCTTCCTTGGCATCCCCTGGCCGGGTGGAACTTTTTGTGCTGCGGTGGAGATGTTGGGGGCCCGCGGTGTCACAACTTTGGAGATTAATGGATGACTTCGTTAATGACTCAGGGCGTCCGATAGAGGTGCGCCCGTGATTTGTGAGGTGCAAGGCGCTTGCTTGACAGTCCCAAACAATGAGAAGGGGGAGTGTGCGGAGGGGAGGCAAGCGGGGCAAAGGAGCCTCCCCGGCCAAGCTAAGCATCAGAGGCAGCAGCAACAGCAGCAGCAGCTCAGACAACCCACCCGGGCAAACACACACACACACACACACACACACACACACACACACACACCCTCTCTCTCTCCCCCTCAGATATCATTTCAGATTAGGAGGCAAAAGGGGGAGAGCGAGCAAGAGAGCGCGCGGCGGAGATACCCTTTCCCCCCTTTTAAAAAGTATAAATAATGCCTTGCTGGCCCCCAATGAGGCGTTCCTTCCCGACTTTTTTGGATCAATCAAACAGACAGTGGCTTCTTTTGATTAAAGCCCAAATTGTCATTGGGCAGAGGCAATCATGTGACAGCCAATTCGGTCCAATTTCAACCTTGTCTCCATGAATTCAATAGTTTAATAGTAGCACGGTCCCCATACGGCTGTAATCAGTGAATTAGAAAAAAAACACCCCACCAGCGATCTTCTATGATATTTTTTTTCCTTTTCTCTCTCTCTCCCTCTTCCTTTCTCTCTCTCCCTCTCTCTCGGTTTTTTTCCCCTCCCCCCCCTTTTCCTGGGCCTTGCTCCCCCCTCCCCCTCCCAGAAGCGCTAAATAAGAGGGAACTTTTTCTCCAAGGGGGCTGCGAGTTGAAGGCCATGAATTTCGAATTTGAGCGAGAGATTGGTTTTATCAATAGTCAGCCATCGCTCGCTGAGTGCCTGACATCTTTTCCCCCTGTCGGTGATACATTTCAAAGTTCATCAATCAAGAACTCGACGCTTTCACACTCGACACTGATTCCTCCTCCTTTTGAGCAGACCATCCCCAGCCTGAACCCAGGCAGCCACCCTCGCCACAGCAGCAGCAGCCGCCCCAAGCACAGCCCCAATGCCAGCAGCGGCAGCCCAGTGCCAGCCGGCGCCCTCCAGCCTCCGGAATACCCCTGGATGAAGGAGAAAAAAGCCTCCAAGAAAACTGTCCTGCCGCCTCCTTCGGCCTCCGCCACTGGACCAGCCTGCCTGAGCCACAAAGGTCAGTTCAAAGACTTTGCTGCACCTTCAGCCTTCCTGGGACTCAGAGATCTCTCTCTCTATCTCCATATAATCTCCTTTTCTCCTCTCCCACTCCCTCTCGCTTGGATGGGTGCCTCCCTAACTTACGGCACTCCAATCCGGGTTCGCTGGAGGTCTGGTGGGGGATCCACAGGCAGATTCCTCAGAAACCAACCCCGCCGACACCCCCAAATCCCCCCACCCCAAACAAAGTTTCTTCTTTTTTCCCTCCCCTAACTTGTTTAGCGTGGGGTGATTTATTTGAGTTGGAGGTGACCCTCCTCTTGTCTCGCTGTCCTAGAGTTGGGATATTTGACAGTAATGAAGAGTGATAGATTGCTCTTGCTCAGCTAAGCAGCTGATGCATTAATTATAAATTGTTGTATGGCTAATATCAAAGTTTGCTCGGGTATGGGCAGGTTGGGGAGATGGAGGCAAATCAAGTTCCTGGAGCTAAGCGAGGAGGGTGGGGGGAGAAGCAAAAGTGGGTCCAAGAGACCGGGCTCACAGGAGTGCAAACACAATGGATTTACTGCATTCATGGGCGGCCATTTTGTTGCAGTTGAAATTTTAATGCTTTAAGAGAGAAAGAAAGAACCCCCCCCCCCCAGCTTCAACTAGCTCATTTCCCCCCACCAGGCTTGGATGTTCAAAATCCTAAAATAAGACATTCTCCCTCCTCTCTCTCTCTCTCTCTTTCCCTCCCTTTCATATCTCTCTTTCTAATGGTGATTGTTGTTGTCTCCTTTGAAGCAGAATCTCTGGAGATTTCCGAAAATGGGACCGGGGGCTCCAGGAGGCTGAGGACTGCTTATACCAACACGCAGCTCTTGGAGCTGGAGAAGGAATTCCATTTCAACAAGTACCTCTGCAGACCGAGGCGGGTGGAGATCGCCGCTCTCCTGGACCTGACCGAGAGGCAAGTCAAGGTGTGGTTTCAGAACAGGAGGATGAAGCACAAGAGGCAGACCCAGTGCAAGGAGAACCAGAACAGCGAAGGGAAATTCAAAGGCTTGGAGGATCCCGAGAAAGCAGAAGACGACGAGGAGGAGGAGGAAGAGGAGGAAGAGGAGGAGAAATCCCTCTTCGAGCAAGCCCTCAACAATGTCTCAGGCGCGCTTTCGGAAAGGGAAGGCTATACTTTTCAGCAGAATGCACTAGCGCAACAGCAGGCTGTCACTGTCCACAATGGAGAGTCCCAAAGTTTCCCAGTTTCGCCTTTAACGAGCAATGAGAAAAATCTGAAACATTTTCAGCATCAGTCACCCACTGTTCCCAACTGCCTGTCAACAATGGCCCAGAACTGTGCAGCTGGCCTGAACAATGACAGTCCTGAGGCCCTGGAGGTGCCTTCTTTACAGGACTTCAGCGTTTTCTCCGCAGATTCCTGCCTACAGCTCTCCGACGCCGTCTCCCCCAGTCTGCCAGGGTCCCTCGACAGCCCTGTAGATATTTCAGCTGACAGCTTTGACTTTTTTACAGATACACTTACCACAATTGACTTGCAGCATCTGAATTACTGAGAAATGACAGACAAACTTTTCTGAAAAGGGGTTTTCCCCCCCTCTCCTTTCCCTTTTTTGGGGGAGCGGGAGGGGGAGGGGGATGACTTGATTTAATTTCTTTCCCTTTTCCTGGTTATTTTTATTTTTCCTTCTCGGTGTGTTGGAGAGCTTATTTTGCCGTTTGCCTATGACATTTTTAGTTGTGTCGGGTTTTAAACCTAGTCCCATTCTAGGTCCTTCTATGAAAAGCAATATATAAGGCCTGTAAGAAAGTGATCATATCAAAATTGTATCTTCACTTTCTTTTTATTTTTGTATTACATTAGGATGCGTTGTCATAAGTATTTTTGGTAGAATAAATTCTTGTTTGCTACAAGCATTTTTCTTATCTCTTTATCTCTCTCTTTCTCTTTCTCTCTGCTTCATACAAGGAAGTTAATCTCCGCCCCTCCCCTAGTCCTGAAATAAAATTAAAAGAAACAACACAATTTGGTCACAACCTTCGTCCTTTTTCGTTAGAAATATATTTATTAGGGGGGAAGCCAGCGGTAAATGATGGATTTCCAAAGTTCTCAATATTCAAATAGGGGGGAGAGAGAAAAAAAGAAACCTAAAATAACTCCAAAACTTACATAAAAATATATCCCCCCTCCCTTGAATGCACATAAGACATTAGAAGCACAAGTTAAAATGTTTCTGTGCTATCGCAAACGATTTATTATAGTATAGGTTGAATATATCGTAACATTATATAAAAATTCTCTTCTACGTTTTAACTGATATTGTATTATAGGCAGAATATATCATATTATTGCAAGGGAAAACAAAAAGCACTACAGCAAGCCTTGCTGCATAAACGGCCAGAAATCGACAGAAGAGTATACTGGTTTCTACTATTGAACGCTATTTTTGACTATTTCTTTTGCGACCCGTGCCTTGGAAAGGGGGGAGGGATGGTGGTGTGGAGAGCCAGAGCTGAGAAAGGAAGGCATTTGATGGATTTCCCAGCTGTCCGAAGGCCCCGAGAAAAGAAACCTAAAAGAGAGGAAATCAGAGGAGAGAATTAAAACACAAGCACACGCGGTTAGGATGTATGCAACGTATATGAAAAATCGCTTTCAAATCCTGTGGTTTTCGCCAGGTCTACGGAACAAAAGCTGTTGGAGGGCATCGAGTCCTACTGGAACTGGACTAACAAGTGTAGAGTCATGAGGTCCGTTTAAAAGTGTTACCAGGCGGGGATAGCTGTGTGTATTCTCTAATCCGATTTCAATTCGGATTGTTAGCAAAATCCAGTGTGTCCCTTTTCTTCTCCTCCTTTTTTGTCCCTATCAGTAGGTGTTAGCATACATCTTCGTGTGTATGTAGATATGCCAACGTAGATATTTATAGCCCGCTCCTTAAGAACTTCCCCAGATCTTTGCAGGCGCCGATTTCCTGGTTGCTCTCCTCTGCGCGCGTTTGTTGTGGTCGCCGTTGGCTTCCCTGTTTTGCAAACCCCCTCTAAGTGGGGTGGCGCTGAGCTGCGTGGGTTATAGCTGGAAAGACTGGATGCAATTCTTCCTAAAGTCATAAATCAAACGCTTTCTGTGAATGAGAATGTCATCAAAGAGATCAATTGCAGGAACACATGCACAAATAAAAATCCTCTTACGTATTTGCTCGGGCTGGGGATCCCCGTCTGAAACCATTAAGCTAGGAGGCGGTTAGTCATAATTCATTTTTATTGCTCTGTTAAAACAACAGCTTGGCTAAGCTTCAGGTGCGGCAGGGAATCCCGGGCACTCCCCCGCTCTTTTTCTCTCCCCCCCCTTTTTGTTAAGGGTTTGCCTGGTTTGTGACACAGAAAATTCCACTCCGGGCGTGCATTTCGGAACGTTTTCCTTTTATACAGAGAAGGCAGCGCTCAGGTTTGTTGTGTGTGTGGGGGGGGGGGAGCCCCGGGTCAAAGAACAAAAGAAGCCTTGCGTACAAATCGACTCCCCCCACAGCAGATTCTCTTCCCCACCCCCGCATATCAGAACTAGGCCAAGCCCTGCAGATATCCTCTTTCAAAACGAACAAGAGAGAAATTCGAAAGATTCTTTTTCGAACGCAAAAACAGAATGCGCCCTGGCCGCAGGAACGAAGGCCAGAGATGGGTTTAGTGACGTTCAGAACCACCAGAGGAACCGATTCAACAAAGGCGGATGTAGGGTGACGGTGGGGGGGGGAAGAAACCGGTGGGGGGGGGCAGGGCCTGCTCTGGAAAAGGTCGTAGTCGAGCTTAGGGGGCTTTTCTGTGGGCCTGCTTGCGTTTTCCAGAAGACAGACATGGAATGGGAAATGTGGTTGCTTCGCCACACTGGGAAAGGCGTCCCCCTCCCCCGATCTCCCCGGCCGCCGCCACCCCGCCCTCCATGTGTCTCCTTCTGCATTCTGGTAAAACAGAGGAATTGTGTTGGCTTCAGAATGCAAAAGCGTTGGGCCACAGAGACAATATAACAAAAGGGGAAAGAGTTCTTCTGAACAATGGCGGAGAAATGGGGGAGAAAGTGTGGAAGGGAGCAACGAAGCAGCAGGCACGGGAGGGAGGTTTCTGCTCAGAGAAAGGCGGCCAGGAAGGAGAAAGAGAGGGAGAGGATAGGGGCCCAAATGAAATGACCAACTTTTCATAGGGAACAAGGCTTCCTTTAGATCAGGATTTATACCCTGTTTTCAAAGCCGGCATGCACCAACATAGTTTTACATCTAAAGCTGTTAGGGAAATATTAAATCCCTACATGAACGTTCTTTTGTTTTACAAAACGCCTCCTCGTGAATCCACTCCTCGGGCCACGAGTTGGCCACTCATATCGATGCGATCTACTCCCAGACCGTCGTGCCTGGGCAATACGTGACTGTGCGTGCAATGAGTAGAATGGCAATCAATGGGGCTACTCGTAAAGGGAACCCTGTAGCCTTCCTTCCTTCCTTCCAGTAAATTGAAGAATATATAAATATTACTCTTAAACACACACACACACACACACACACACACACACACAGAGAGAGAGAGAGAGAGAGAGAGAGAGAGAGGAAGAGAATGAGAGAATCCGAGGTGTGACTACAGGGCCAAACGGAAGTGTTTTTAAAAGTCCCACTCAGAGCGAGTTTAGCTCTACCAAATGAAAGCCAGGAAGTACGCATGAGACTTTCAAAGTCTCACAGCCAGATTCGGGGCATGTTTGTCTTAGTAAACAATGCATACTTATCAATATTTTGAGTGGGCCTCGGTTTTGAGAGAGGGAGCAGGAAGAAAGGGGAAGCTGGAGAACAGCCTAATCCAGATCAGCAGCATTTTAGGAATGAAAATAGTATTATAGTTTCAGAGGGACTAGGGTGGTACGGAATCATACATGGTGTGTGGGTGTGTGTATGTGTAGATAACATAGAAGCAACAGCCATTAACACACTAATACTAAATATTGGGCTGATTTCGACATTTGCAAGATGAAAGCATAAGAAGTGCACATAGTTATTTCCGGACTCCGGCAGGCAAAATTTGCCTTCTTTTAGTCAGGCCTGTTTTCCTTCCTGCATTGCAGGGGGTTGGACTAGATGACCCTTGGGGTCCCTTCCAAATCTACCATTCTATTATTTTATGCTGAATTCTGTGCTGTTGAGTCCTTCCTGCTCACCTCTCCTTTTTGTGCAGATGAAGCCCCCGTGGGACCCACCACCTCCCCACCTCCAACCCAGGGGCTTTCCTCCAGGTTTAAGCTGACCCTGCCTTTCCTCTGGGGCAGGTCTAGCCCCACCGAAAGCCAGGCGTCTCTCCTGGCGCCACGGACTTGAGCGGAATCAGGGATTTACATCTGCGAGAAGAAATCACTTGCGGTCCTCGCGAGGGAATCCAGAAAGGCCTCTCCCAACGCCCGGCCATTTGTTTCCCTCGGCTCCCTCTTTCCCTCCTCGGAAGGAGGGCGGCAGCTTAGTGATCAAGCGCCTGGAGGAGCGCTGTCGACCCCCTCGCCCCTTCCTCCAGACAGTCTCCTCCCCCTAACCGCTGGCCATGCCATCCAGAGGGCTGCTATTTTAAAAACTCGCATCTTTCTAGACCTCATGGTTTCAACCCGTGGACACTCCTTGCGGGTGGGGGGAGGGAGGCAAAGGTTATACGTGAGAAGCGGGGTGCGGGAGCAAAAGTGGATGGGAGGTGAGAGAGAGGAGAGGCCTGACAGTTTGCACAGGCGCTCTGGCGGCTCAGCTGCCGGAGAGAACCTGAGAAAGCTTCCCTGGCAACCTTTGTATAAGCGCTTCCTTCCTCTAACCGCGCCCAGCAGCGTCGGATCGTCCGAAAAAAACAGCAACCCAGTACCCAGTCGCCAGGCAGGCACACTACCGCCTCCGTTTCAGCCCAGGCTGCCGGCTCCAACTGCCCCCCACTGACTCCCCGTCTCCAGGAGCCAACGGCGCCATTCCCGTGCGTTAAAGCCAACCACGCTGCCCGCAGCAGCAGCAACAATGGCGTTGCCTTGCAGAGAGCCTCATTTCCATGCAAATAACCGCGAGAGAGAGGCTGGACCAAGCGCATTTTAACTCTTGCCGGTTCGCGCGCGCACGCCGGGGTCTGTCTGAGGACGCATCGGCAACTGGCAGAGCTCAGCCGCCGGCCTCCTACCTCTCTCCATGCCCCCAAACCTCCCCCAGCCCCCTTGATCTCTCTCTCTCTTTCTCTCCACACCTCTCTCTCTCACACAGCAACCCCAGACTGCTGGAGACTGCCCAAGGCAGACCATAATGATCCAAGCGATCTAACTGTAGCCGAGAGGGTTCAGCCTAGCTGTGCTCTCTCGACAACAGCCCTGGAGAAAGCAGCAGCAGGAGCAGCTACCCAACTGGGGACGCCCTGCGCGGGTCCCTTTGCTTACCTGCCAAGCCCAGGCTGTCCCTTCGTAAATCCATGCAAGAGCAGCCCCCTCCGGCGGCGGCTCTGTGCTTGCTGCTGCTGCTTCAGGCTGAGCGCCTGGGCGCGCACTGCCTCTCCGGCCCGGCTCTCAAACCCCAACGCGCTGACTGGGGACGGGGGAGGAGATGGGGGGTGTGGAGAGAGAGAAGGAAAGAGGGAGAGAGGGAGGGAGAGAGGGAGGTGGTGGTGGCTGCGCGTCACCTTGATGGAGGAGCGCTCGGAATTTAAATGCCACAGCCAGGGTGATCCATCACCAGGAAGGAGCAGGGCAACTTTGGCAGGAGGAGCAGCCATTGGCTGCCGCCCTCACGTGGCCGCCGTCTCACTGTACATTCATATCATTTTTCTTCTGGCCCCCATGGAGGAAGTGAGAAAGTTGGCACGGTCACCCAGGACTCCGAAGAGCCGGTCAACCGGTGATAGATGGACACGGCGAGGATGAATTCCTTCCTTGATTATCCGCCCATCCTCAACGGCGAGTCCGCCACTTGCTCACCCCGGGCTTACCACCACCACCGCCACCACCACCACCACCCCGACCATGGGATTACCACAACCACGTTCCAGTCCTGCGCTGTCAGTGCCAACAACTGCAACGGGGACGACCGCTTCCTCGTGGGCAGGGGGGTCCAGATCAGCCCCCATCCCCACCACCAGACTGCTACCTACCAGCACCACCCCAACCTGGGGATGTCCTACGCCCACCCGAGCTGTGGGCCCACCTACGGCGTGCAGAACTTCGGCGCGGGGGGCTACAGCCACTACCCACTCGCTCAAGAGGCAGAGATTAATGGGGGCTTCCCCCAGTGCGCTCCTGCGCTCTACTCTGGAAACGTCTCGTCGTCCGTGGTTCAGCAGCCCCAGGTTTATGCTGGGGGCCCCGTGGGCTCTGCTCAGTACATCCACCCCTCTTATGGCGACGAGCAACAGAGCCTAACCCTAACCAATTACAGCCACCCCCTGTCTCCACTTCATTCGAATCACCAGGAAGGCTGCGGTTCCCCTTCGTCGGAGACTTCTCCTCCCGCCCAGACTTTCGACTGGATGAAAGTGAAGAGGAACCCTCCCAAAACAGGTGAGTCACCTGCCTGAGCGATCACTCTGGACTTCGGGAAGTTCGGGCCCGAAGTTTTCTTCTTTTTATTATTATTTTTGTAAGGTGGACGCGGAAGATCTGCATTTAAGGTAGATGCAGGTCAACTTGATGGTCCCAGGTACGATGGGAACAGGTATGGCTGGGATCCTGAAGCGTACCGGTTCTCCAGAGGTGGGGGGAAGGTCGTGTTGTGATTTGGGGTTCGTATTATAATGCTCAGTTTGATGTGTTTGTGTCCCCGCTGTGGATCACAAAGCAGTCGGTGGTCAGATCTCCCCTGATCTAGGTGAGTTCAGTTGCTGTTTCACTGGACAGGCGGACACTAAGAAGTTAGCCCATGTGCATTCGCTAGGTCTTTACTTAGGAATAAGCAGGTTTCCGATTGGCCCACAAAGTTCCTTTCACTTAAAGAGCTCATTCTCTATGGTTTGTACCTGCGCGCGCCTGCCTATTGATTCATGTCACCTATAAATCATTGCTACGAGTTAACGCTTCTGATGTGGGTTGTTGTTGCTGTTTTCTTCCTTCCTTCCTTCCTTCCTTCCTTCCTTCCTTCCTTCCTTCCTTTCTCTCTCTCTCTCCCCCTCTTCTCTCTCTTTCCTTTCTCCCTCTAGGGAAAGCTGGCGAGTACGGTTATGTTGGCCAGCCCAACACGGTCCGGACCAACTTCACCACCAAACAGCTGACGGAGCTGGAGAAGGAATTCCACTTCAACAAATACTTAACCCGGGCCCGCAGGGTGGAGATCGCCGCCTCGCTGCAGCTGAACGAGACTCAGGTCAAGATCTGGTTCCAGAACCGCAGGATGAAGCAGAAGAAGCGAGAGAAAGAGGGCTTGCTCCCCATTTCTCCGGCTACCCCAACAGGAAGCGAAGAGAAAGCGGAGGAGTCCTCGGAAAAGTCCAGCCCATCCCCCTGTACCCCTTCGCCAGCCTCCTCTACCTCAGACACTCTGACTACCTCGAATTGAAAGACATGCTGCTCCTCATTCTCCCTCTAAGGCACAATCTAAGAGTAAATTTATTGTGTTTCGAACTTATCCCCTTGTTTATTTTCCGACTCTCACGCAATTGGCGGAGAGAGCAACCCAAACTCTCACCCTGAACCCTTTGATCTGGAGACAAGTCTCATTGATTTGAATGGAACTCTCTCACAAATTTAGCAACTTTGAGGCTGAGATCCTATAAGGCCTGCAAGCAAGCTCTCTGGAAGCCAACACGCCTGAGTAGGCAGGCCACAGGACTGCGCTGTTAAATCATCCCTAAATCCCATGAAAAGGAGCGGGATGGGACTTTGTGACTATTTTAAACTCAGTTGATTTCAATGGGAGCTGGCTCACGTTGTCTGGGTTGTGGCCCAGGAGTTTAGGACCTCACTCTGAGTAGCTTATTCAGTATCACTCACTAAGCCTGCCTCAGCTCCTCAGAGTTGATCTGTTTTCATCTCTCTAAAGACTGTATTGTGGGAACAATCAAGAGAATTTGTTAGATCAGAATCGAATTGCCAAAGATATTGCTACTGTTTTCTCCTCCAACCAAAGACCTGTCAGACCCAAATTCACGAATAGATGCACTATTGAAAGCGTTTACACGACTTCGAGAACTTTCACCACTTTAATTTAATGTCTCTTGTCTTCTCGTGTGTATGAGTTTTGTTGGTTGTAAATACTTTGTCCCAGAGATTTATCTTTTTACGGATTTTCTAGAAATGTTTAGATAAGATGATGAGCTTAAACAGGGTGGTTACATTCTCAACACTGGATTCGATTTTATAGCGAAAAGTGAGGATGTCACGAACGAAAAGTTGTTCAACTCAATCAGATACCTCAAAAATCATAGGTTGCTACTATTTCTTTGAACGAGCTAGAAAAGAAAGTGGAAATTGCACTAGGTTTTTAAAAAATAAACCTTGCTTATTAGTGTCTACCCCCGCTTTAAATCCCCCCCCTTTCCCGAACTCTGTGCTGGATCATTCCCAACCCCCAATATTATCATTAAAAAGGGAGAGGGGAGATCCCCCCCACCCCCAGGAAACGTTCCTTAGACTTGAAGTCTTTTCAGCCCAATTCCTGAATGTGATGAATGGCCAAACGAATGTATATTTTATGTGATTCGTGGACGGAACTTGCATGATGCACAACCGCTTGGATGTACTCAGTGAAAATAACACTGAGTTCTATCAGTTGTCATTTGTGATGGAGTACTTTCTGATTTTTTTCTGTACAATCATCCAAGGTTCTGAGATTCTGTGTTTAAAAAGGAAAAAAAAAAGAGAAAGGAATCCAGAGCAGAATTTTACGGGTCCTACAAATCTCTGTAATAAATATATTCATATCTCAGGTTTTTACTTTGCTTCGGTATCTTTTGGAAAGCGGAGTCTGGGGTTGAGGTTAAGCTTTCTGCACCCTTTGCAGTTCCCCTGGAGTGGCTTTTGATCGGCTGCTCAGATATCCCTACATCGAATTATTCGCGCCCTTTGACTGCACATTATGTACAGTACCCCGAGATTATACGAAGTAGGTCTATTAATCAATAGAAAGAGAAAGATCCATGTTTATCTTCTGCAATTAAGAGAAAGGCGAAGGAAGCGGAGCTATTTTTGAACCATACTTGCGGGAACTTCCTGGGTCAAGGGCTAACCTTTTCACCCCGAACTGAATATTGACCTGTGTGTAAACAGAGTCCTCTTCAAAAGCAGAAGCTGTCTTCGGCCGGTCTTTCCTCACATCACAAGCCACCAGTTAAGAGAGTCACATTTCATTATCCCTGGGTATAAAGCTGTCCAAGGAACCCCCAGCGTCACTCCCTGCCTTCTAAATCGTCAGTGACATCTTGAAGGCGCAAAGCACGATAAAAGTTCACAGAGGGAGAAAGAGGGAGGGAGAGATCCTTGTTGATCCAACTCCGATTCCTGCGTGGTCTGCAGACAATTTCCTAACCCAAGTATGTTCAACCCAACGTGTCCTTGCAAACCCCACACCATTCCCGCCCCCCTCTATTTGGAAAACAAGTTCTGGCAGGTGAATTGAAGTTACTTCCTGAAAAGACTTGCAAACAAGTTTGTTTTTGTTTTTTTAAAAGATCTGCAGAACCCTCTAACGCGCCCCCGCTTTTTCTTCCAAGCTCTCTAGTAAGAACATCGAGGCTTTCCATTCCATTCCATTCCACTCCAGCCCGTCTGAAGAGCTATGTTTCTTTCTTTGGGGATTTAAAACAACAAAACAAAACAAAACAAAACAAAACACCCTCCTGGCTGCAAGATCTGCAGGAGACTTTTACAAGCTTTGAGCCCGGGCTGTGAAAACAACAGCGGAGGCTGCTGGTTTTGAGAGAGCCGGAGCGCGCGAGTCGTCTGAGGCTTCTCGGCTGAAGTGTCAAAGGCAGAGCAGCCTGGATTTGCAGGCGCATCGGCCATATCAAGAGGGCGAGGAGGAGAGACCCCCTCCCGCCCCTCTCCCCTGCTATTGCGCAGGGCTTGTCTCCAAAGGGCTCCCTTGACTGCCTTCTTGTAACTTCAAAGCAGGAGACCCAGGTTTCATCTTATCCTCCCTTCCCCTTCTGGCCCCCCGCCCGCCCGCTCGCTTTATACTTTTATATACATAAAAAAATAAAATCATTTTGTTGACTAGGGTGAGGTTGCAAACTCAGCAGATGGCCTTCTGCCAGAGGCTTTCGTGACCCAAAGGGCATCTATCTCTGCATGCCGAGAGGGCCTGATCGGGATCACCTCTCGGAGAGGGCTGGCCCTCCTCAAGCACGCGGCGGCCGCCTGACCCTTCCGCATCCCTTGCGCTCTTCCTCCCTTCCTGACTCGTTTGGTGGAACCGGGAGAACAATAACAAAAGGCTGGCAATAATATTATTGAGGGTTTGGCGGGTGTTTTTAAAGGAGGACGCATGTGCCAGGCGGTGAAGAGGCTGTCCTAAGATAACCTTCTGCATTTCAATACACATTAAGCGCCCGTCCCCAGGGATCTAGGGAACTGTAGTTTATCCTTCACAGAGCTACAGTTCCCAACACAGCTCCCAGGATTCTTGTGGGGAGCGGGGAAATGCGCTGATCTGCATCTTCGCCTTATTCACCCGAGCATGCCTTTCGAGACCCATTCCTTATTCGTATTATTTTACCATCTAGTAGGGCTGCCGTTGCGATCCGCTTTAGATCAGATTCGGGGACATCAACAAAGGGCCAAATCCCCCAGGAAGAAAGTTCCTCCTTCCTGCTAAAACGTTTCGTGTGGAGGTTATTCAGGAATAAATAACTCACTTTTCGTGACGCAGGCTTCTTGACTGCCGCCCGCCGCAGCAGTGCTTCCTAAATAATAACCAGTTCGACCATGGGCACGTTTACCCTGAAATCTGTCCCCCCCCCAGCTGAGTATGCACTTGCTCCCCACTAAGATTGTGTGAAATTGCAGCTTCTCTGGTTTGGACAAAGACCAGCAAGAAAAAGCATCCCTCTCGAGCCGCTTCATTTATGCTGAGGCAGAAACACCGCCCTTCACTGGGAGCTGAGGCCTCTCCCCTCATATATCTATAGATATATACGTATATATGACATTTGATCAATAGGCTTGTCAGCCAAATAACATTGCTGACATCTCGATCCTAAGCGGATTTAAAATGGTGTGGTGGTCGGCGGACTCTCTCATCGATGAACGGTATTTGGAAGGAGACCCCAAAGCATGGCCTAATTTGAGGGGAGATATAAAGGCTCTGGGACTTCCTTTGGATGAAATAAAAGCCAAGCACACTGTGTGCGAATGAAGATTTGTGCACGCATGCTTCGGGGTAACTTCCTCCGAGCTTCACGGTTTCACGGCTCTCCGAAACCCACGCTGCTGTCTCCGCGGCTGAATTAGTCAATCGCTGCTCCAAATCGATTAATCACACCTGTGAATCGATTAGTGCCTCATGTTCTCTTTATTTACAAAAGAATTTGCGATTAATCTTCTCATCCTTTCCCCCAAATTGTGCAAAAGGATGAGGGAGGGTGTTACCTATTATTATTATTATTATTATTATTATTATTATTAATAAAATAGAGATAGAGATGCCAACAGCAACTATCCTTGGTCTGCTTATTTGCATCCTGGTCCTCTTATGACTGTGTATATATTTATTACCCTCAACTCAGCCAAACGTCTCAAGGAATTGAGCGTCTTTTTTCGAGCCTGAGATCTATTTTCGATGTTCACCTTTAAAGTTTACCTTTGGAGGCTACATTGAGATGCTCGGTGTTTTCCTCTGGGGCAATCAGATTGAAAGCGATCAATATTTACTCAGTCTGAAAAGGGTTGTTGAAAAGGCAGCTCGCAACAAACTGCTTAGCTGCTCACCCCTGTTTAATCTCAGGTTCACCGAAAGTTCAAGCAGAAATGAATTCAGCGGTGGGTCACTTTAGAATGTGTCCCAGTGGTTTATTTCAGCTCTCTGCTAAAGGCAACAATTATTTACACACACACACACACACACACACACACACACACACTCATCTCCCAGCGGAGCCTCTTGTCTATTATTCTAATGCTAAACTTGATCCTTTGACTTAAAACTAAAAACATTTTCCCCCCCAGTTGTGGGGTTAAAATCTTGTTTCCTCCTCGTCTCCTTCTAGTCCTTCTTTGTTCTAGCCCTGATGATCTTTAGCCATTGTTAAAATCAGTGCACATTTTTTTAAGCGAGTGAAAGAGGGAGATTGTTTGCAACAACAACTTTTCAATTATACAGAGCAAAGCGCGGGCCTTTCATCTGCTTTCTGGGCAGCAAGCCCTGATGACTTCAGCAAGAATGCTCTTCCCGGTAAATGCGTTTTTGGATCAAACTTTTTCGCAGTATCTACACAAACCAGAGAATTTAAAGGAACTCCTCCCCCACCCCCACGCCCGTCTCCAGCCAAGCCGTAGATCCCATTGCTTCGACTTAACTGGGTTGAGGACAGTTTTGGCGGCATTATTCAAGGAAAGAAGCACTCGAAAGAGGCGGCCATTTGAGGCGATTCAGATGTTCATTGAAGCAAGCCCTACCTGAGATCAAGGCAGCGGGCTTCCAAATCGAGAAAGCACAGAACTTGCCTTATAATAATGCAGCCAGCCTCTTAACAATTCCCGCGGAGACGCTTCGAAAGGCGAGCACAATTCAAATTCTGTGTGCGCGCGGGCGCGCCTTTGCTCGTGTGAACAAATGCGAGTTCTTTAACGTGTTTGCACGCTCCTCCCGGCCCGTATTTTAATGAAAGCAAGCGGGAAGGGACCTCGGGACTACGCAAAAACCGAACATTTGAAGGTGCTGCACGTTGTGTCTAATTGCAACAACCCTCCAGAGGTCAAAGTTCACCTAATCTCTGCATAAATGCATCCGGAATGGGAATTTATTAGCCTTTTTCTCCGGGCAGATCACGTTCGAGGCAGAATCTAATTTTCATTAGCATATTGGCTAGCAGGAACTATCACCCATAAACTCGGCGGCTTCCCATTTTTCCTTTGAGATGCTGAGCATCTTTAATTGTTTTGTCCTAGCGCAGGGATAACGTTGAAAGATGCTGCGCCGTTTCGCTAGGCAGAGGCATACAGAGGGACTGATTCTTAAGCGTGCGCCTCTAAGCACTGTTCCTGGGGGAAGAAAATTCAGCCGCATTTCCAAAGCTCTGATCCTGATATACCTCTTTCTGGCATACCGCACATATTAGATCTGCGGAACTAATCCAAAGCAAAGGTTTTCAGGACCCCCTGCTTTCAGATTCTCGCTGGTAACCGAATATATTACGCTGAGTTTAGTTTCAGGGGGGCGTTTTAGGGGTCATATGTTTTTCTCTTTTTAGTAACCCCATTTAAAAAGAAGAGAAGAGAGGTGGATGCTGATAAAAACTCACCTACGAGGAAAGGCAGAAGATGGGTTAAAAATAAAATAATTGGGCATACTAAAAATAATTTTTAAAATATGCAGCCGATTAATACAAAGATGTGTTGGTGGGGTCAATCGTAAAAAAACCCCAAAGACTTCCCCTCCACCATTCCTGTGGCCTCTAGGCATGTTCCTCGGCTGTCTTTCACAGTTGAAATTCCTTTCTTTTTTAAATGGCTTGTGCATCATAAACTCTCCTGGGTGCCCCCCGCTCTTTGTCTCAAGCTCAGGAATTCAGAGGGACAACCTCGGCCAAACCCGATCGAGGCTGAGATATCTGCAGGAGGAAGGTGTTTCAACCCAGCGGGGCCCGCGCCTGGCTTGTGAAGCTCATCCCAGTCACCCGGTTTGCCCACTCGAGTTCGAGGGAATCCAGAGCAGGAGAGGGGAGGGGAAGAGACTTG